GATTTTTCATTCTGAATTTTTGAAATCAAAATTTTGGCGCCAAAATTTTGCTATTTTTTTTTTGAAATAGAAATTTTGGCGCCATTTTTTTTTTGAATTTTTTTCTGAAATTCTAAATTCTAAATTTTAGCTCTAGAAATTCGAAAATTTGAATTTCATATTTTGCCGCCTAAATTTGGATACCGTAATTTTTGACACCAATTTTTTCCCGCATTTTTTGAATTTTTGAAACTCCCCGCCAAAAATGAGTCTGAATTTTTTTTTGAAAATTCTTTTTTGGCGCCAAAAAAATCCTGTCAAGATTTTCACGGCCTGAAATTCCTCTTCTCTAACTGAAAAATCTAAGCTCCGCCCCTTTTTTGTTCAAAAAACCAACTTCTACGATTTTCCCCTTTTTCCAACCTGAAAAAAATTAATTTCCGATCGGAAATTAATTATATTACGTTTTTGGTTACGTAGGTAAAAATTTTCCATATAAAATCTGAAATTTTCGCCCAAAAAATTCATTTTTCTCATTTTTTATATTTTTCCTCCCAAAAATTCAGCAAAAAATAATAAAAACTGGCAACTTCCCCATAAAAACACCATTATAAAATCATTGTTGGTGAATAGTTTAGTTTTTGAGAAGAGGAGAAATAAAATAAAAAAAATAAAATAAAGAAGAAATAGAAGAGGAGAAGGTAATAACCATAAAACAATCCTTTCTTTATCTTCAAACTCCATCTTCTTTCGATTTTCACATTAAAAAATAGTTCGCTACAAATATGTGTGTAGAAATAAAATGAGAATAAAATTTTAGTGCCCCTCTCCTTCTCCACCTGGACGAGGTAAACAAAGTGATTAGTGAAAAATTGTAGGAGGTAGGGGGAATTGATCCAGGACCTTTTGATTTGAAATCAGCTGGAATTCGGAGTTTTTTTGATATCCCATGAGCTTATGAAAATCTGGAAATTCTATGTTGCTTTGAAAAACCACAAAAAAATAACTGTTTCAAAAACTTCATGAGTAAAAATATTCAAATTCTGAATTTGATTTCAATTTTTATCATATTGATAAAATTTGTTTTCAAAAAAGTTTACTGTTTCAAAATTTTTGTAAGTGAAAATTTTGAAACGTTAAATTTGATAACGATTTTCCAAAATATCACAAATAAATTTTCAAACATAAAAAATCACTGTTTCAAAAACTTCATGAGTAAAAATATTAAAATTCTGAATTTGATTCCAGTTTTGAAATTAATTTTTCAAAAAATTTCACTGTTTCAAAATTATTGCGAATACAATTTCTAAAATTTCAAATTTGATACATCTCGCGTTTAGTTTTCCAAAATATTAAATTACTGAAAAAAAATTCACTGTTTCAAAATTTTCATAAAACTTAAGTCAATCGAATTAATCGACGTGTTTTTTGCGATTAATTGACAAAAAAAGTGAGTCTTTTAGGGCGATTAATTTCACGTTTTTGTCAATTCATCGCTTTCATTTCTTGGCAAAAATGCGATTAATTGCATTAAAAATAGAATTTATTTGACCTATATTTTAAAACGTGACCTATATGAGTTGGAATTATCAACAAAAAAATTGTCTTCTCTCAATTTTCTTTCATTTCGAAATTAATTCAAAAAATAAGCAGTGGATTTGGGACACGTTTCAAAAAAGAGGTCAAATAAATTCTATTTCGTATTGAAATTCCCCATTTTTGAATGCAATTAATTGCAAAAAAAGATGGAATTAATCGACAAAAACGTGAAAAAATCGCACAAAAAAGACTCACTTTTTCTGTCAATTAATTGACAAAAAATAAAATTGACTCACCCCATAAGATTTGAAATGTTGAATTTGCTTTTCAACTTTCTTGGTCGACAACGACATTTTTCTGAAATACAAAATTTCTATTGCAAAAAAATATGCTCTAAAAAATCCACTGTTTCAAAATTTCCCCCAATATTTATACAATTTTTCAATCGAATCGTTCTTGTTGTTTTACGACTCTTCTCTTCTGTTTTTTATTTTATTTTCAAAAAATACCAAAATAATATTTAGGTAGCGGGCAATAATCGTAAAAACTTTCCTATTTTTAATGATTTTTTTTATTGAGCACAACAAAAAACTTTTTATTGAAAAATATATAAAAAACTTTCGAAATTACATGTAAATTTATTCAAAAATTGGGATTTTTCCCCATTTTGTTATAAAATAGCTTCTCCATTCATCAAAAAAATTGATATTTTTTTGAATAGAAAAATGTCATTCATAGTTATCTATGACTCATATTAGTTTAGGCTACCAAAATTTTTTTTTTTTTTTTTTGAAAAAAAAAGTGTTTGCCATAAGCGTATGATTCGATTTTACGCGCCAGGAAGAACAAAAATTGCGCCAACAAAATTTTTTTTTTGGTTGGTAAATATTGGCGCGTCAATAATCCAATTAGTTGATGGGCCAATGCGCGGCAACACAAATATTTTTTTTTGTTTGGGCCAAGAGTTTTTGACGTGGAAATTTTGGCGAAAAATGGGTCAAGAAGATGTTTATTGACGCATTTTTTGTAGGTAGGCACGAAAATTCTGGAATTTTTGAGCTTGGGCACAAAAAATGCGTCAAGAAGATGTTCCTTGACGCATTTACTGTAGGTAGGCGCGAAAATTCTGGAATTTTTGAGCTTGGGCACAAAAATTGGGTCAAGAAGATGTTTATTGACGCATTTTTTGTAATTTGGCGTGGAAATTTTGGATTTTTTGAGCTTGGGTGCGAAAAATGCGTCAAGGAGGTGTTTATTGACGCATTTTTTGTAGTTAGGCGCGAAAATTCTGGAATTTTTGAGCTTGGGCACAAAAAATGGGTCAAGAAGATGTTTATTGACGCATTTTTTGTAGGTAGGCGCGAAAATTTGGGATTTTTTGAGGCTTAATTTGATAGGGTACAAAAAATGGGTCAAGAAGATGTTTATTGACGCATTTCTGGTAGATAAAAAATTTTTTAAGCTAAAAATTTTGCGTCAACACTTAAGCTTTCCAAATTTCTCAAAATACGTCAGCAAAATTTCGATTGACGCATTATTTTCTACCAAAAATGCGTCAACAAGAAAATGTTCTATCATTTTTCCCCCGCCAAATTTAAATTTATTAGGTTAGTTTCCTCTTGCCTGATCAGTCTTATTTGATGATCAAATCATTAATTAATTAGTTTGCGGATGATTTGAAGCGCCTTGGAATTTATATGATTTTTCTGGTGATTTGATCTACCTGTCGGTCTTTTATGCGGTGTAATTTGAAATTTGATATTTGATATTATTTTTGGGGGCTTCTGCTCATTTGCTCTCATATGATTTTTATTGATTTTTTTTCTGGGGAAAATTTTTTGAATCTCAGAATTTTTGGCGGGAAAATCCGTCATTTCCTGTCAGATCTTCGAACACTGAACGAAAAAATCGAATTCAAATCAAAATTCTTCAAATATTTCTCTTCCTTCTAATCCGATTTTCGCTCGCTCGCGCTCGTTTCACAAAAAAACTGTCAATTTCAATTTCTGTCACCAACCCCACTAATTTTTGCCGATTTTTTTTCAACACACATTTGATTTTTTTCTTATGACTTTTTTTTGTTGATTTGTTTGTAATTGGGGGAATTTGTTTTTTGAGAATGAATTTAGTGATAAAAACCCGGGAAATTATGATTTTCATCACAAAATTTCAGCTCCCGAAGGTTTTTATTGAACATATTTTTGGGAAAAATTCAATTTCAGGTCAAAAATATGTTTCTAGGCTGAAATTTTGTGCTGAAACACTTCTATACTGAAATTTTGTGCTGAAAACTCTGAAAATTGCTGGAAATTATGATTTCCATGATTTTCAGCGCGAAATTTCAGCTCCAAAGGTTCTTATTGAAAATTTTTGGTAAGAATTAGTTTCAGATCAAAAATATGTTTCTAGAGTGAAATTTTGTGCTGAAAATCATAATTTCCAGCGATTCTCGAGATTTTCACGATTTTCAGCACAAAATTTTAGCTCCCGAGGTTTTTTTGACTTAAAGTTTTAATAAAAATTTAATTCCAGGTCTAAAATCTGTTTCTAGACTCTAATTTTGCGCTGAAACACTTCTATACTGAAATTTTGTGCTGAAAATCGCAATTTCCAGCGATTCTTGAGGTTTTCACGATTTTCAGCGCAAAATTTCAGCCTGGAAACTTTTTTTGGCTGAAAGTTTTAGGTAAAAATTCAAGTTCGGGTCAAAAAATTTTTTAAAAATTTTTTCTGACTGAAAAAAGTTCGCTTATCCAAATTTTGTGCTGAAAATCCCAATTTCCAGCGATAAATTTTCAGCCCGAAAATTTTTTTCGAATCGAATTTTAGTTTGATCTACCCGCTCAAAAATTAATGTTTTCCAAAAAAAAAATTTTTGAAAAAAATTATTTTTTTGAGAAAATTGTCTTTTTTTTTTTGGGTTTTCAGGGGAAATTTGCAATCAGAAAAGCCACGTGGCAAAAAATCGATTTTTCTAGGCTCAGCTACTTGACAACTAAGATCTCTAGGCGCGTCTCCTTGTCACAGTGGTTCTCTAGGCGCTGACCCTTGACAATACGGTTTTCTAGGCTCGGCTGCTTGACATAGAAGCTCTCAAGGCGCGGCTCCTTGTCAGAGTGGTTCTCTAGGCGCTGACCCTTGGCAATTCAATTTTCTAGGCCTATTTTTCCACCCAAAACTCCAAAAAATGTCTAGTTTGCTCTCCCCTCCCCCTTCTAAAAAAATCGCCAAAAATTCCACATCCCCAAAAAAAACCATAAAACCCCGGATAAAAATAAAAAAGACTCTTCTTCCCAATTGTCTTAATGACTTTGATGAACGATTTGTTTTGTGTCTCGAATCTCTCATTTCTCCGTGCTATTTCGTCGTGTTTATTGCGTGAATAACAGACAGACGAAAAAATGACATTTGAATTTTATTTTATTTTTTTCTTTCTAAGATTTCTCTATTTTTTTCAGTCCAGCTTGAAAAAGAAGAAGAAAATGATGATAAACTCCGCCCCTTCGTCTTCTGAAGATGATGAGAACAAAATGGAAATTGCGATGGAGCATTTGGAACTTGGCCAACAAAAAAATTCGACGACGACACATTTGATGAATTTGCCCGGAGAGCTGTTTGCACAAGTTGATCAGTATTTGACTTTGGAGGAATCGCATCATTTTAAGGTACTGTAGGTTTTGGGGTACTGTAGATTTGGGATACTGTAGCTCAATGTTTTATAATAGTTACTGTAGATGTTAGGGTACTGTAGGCTTCAAGTACTGTAGATTAAGAGCTACTGTAGGTAGGAATACTGTAGATGAATTCTTGTTCATCAAAGGAAAATGTGAATTTTGAAAATTTGAGGTTCTGAATGTTGTATTGGCGTTACTGTAGATGTGAAGGTACTGTAGGCATCGAGTACTGTGGACAGGATTACTGTAGAATTAGAGCTACTGTAGGTTTGAAAGGGTACTGTAGATGAATTCTTGTTCATCAAAGGAAAATGTGAATTTTGGAAATTTAAGGTTCTGAATGTTGTATAGAGGTTACTGTAGATGTTAGGGTACTGTAGGATTTGGACAGGATTACTGTAGGTTTTAGTCATTCTGAAGTAATGTTGAAATGGGATACTTTTAGATACCGTAACTGGATTACTGTAGATCGAAGTTACTGTAGATTTATTCCAGAGATCTTACGAAAAAAAAAAAGAATTGTATACTGTACTTTGAAACTACAGTAACCAGAAATGTACTGTAGATGTCAGTATCTCTAGGTATTTTTTTAAGATACTGTAAACAGTCTAATTTTGAAGCCTAAAGGGTACTGTAGCCCCTGTTCTACAGTACTCCTATAGATTCCTACTGTAGCTTCTCTAGATCTCTAAAAAATCAGAATTCTGCCAGAAATCGCCCTCCGAAAAGTGATTGACAGATTTTTTTGATTGACAACTGACATTAATAGGAAGAAAATTGAGAATTGCAACTTTTTGCGGGGGATTTTTGACCTGAAATTTGGAAATTTCAGATTTTTTTTCATCTGAAAATCTAATTTTTCTGGAAAAAAAATGATTTTTGCAGATGGCCGACGAGAGAATCGAATTTGCGCTTCACAAAAATTTCCACATGTACGATAAACTTTTTGTGAGTTTTTTTGGAGAGGGGAATTTTGAAAAAAAATTTGAATTTCATTTTTTTTGGCGCGAAAAATGGTGGAAAATTAGATAGAAAAGTTCAAAAATCTCGAATTTTGGTGTAAAAATTCAAAAAATTTCGAAAAAAAACCCGTTTCCACCTGAAAATTCCAGATTTTCACCCAAATTTCATAAATTTTCCAGTTGAGCGACGATGATTCGGAATGTCGAATCAGCGACACAACAGGCCGTGTTCCAAATCGCACTTTCAAAGGCGACAACACTCCACAAATCATCAAAATGTTGCCGAATTTGAAAGAGATCACAATGATTATCAAAGATGTGAATTTGCGCAGAAAACGATCGAAAACACCGCCGAATGCGATTTCTGGTAGGGATTTTCGGGAAAAAAAAACAAAAAAAATTGGCAGGGGCTGTGGTTTGAACCTGGGACTTGTAGATTGGAAATTGGAGCTCTTACCAGCTGAGCTATGAATTTTGAAAAATAGGAGGTAGCGGGGTTTGATCCAGGACCTTTTGATTGGGAATTGGAGCTCTAACCAGCTGAGCTACATAGATTTAGGCAATTATTTTCATTTTTCAAAAATAGGAGGTAGCGGGATTTGAACCCTTGACCTTTCACCTCAAAATCCAAGCGTTACCCAGCTGAGCCAAATTTCTAAAAAAAAAATGACAGACTACAGTATTTATTTATATTCATCTGACATCAAACGATGTCAGACTCTGAAAAAAATTATGAAAATTTTGAAACAGTAGATTTTTTGAGCAAAAAAAATTGGCAGCACCCGGCATCGAACTTGTGACCTTTTACCTAGAGAAATCAGAGATCTAACCAGCTGAGCTATAAATTTCGAAAAATAGGGGGTAGCGGGAATTGATCCAGGACCTTTAGATTGAAAATCAGAGATCTAACCAGCTGAGCTATAAATTTGAAAGAATATGAGGTAGCGGGATTCGAACCCTTGACCTTTCACCTCAAAATCCATTTCCAAAAATCGTCAAACTACAGTAACCCTGATCTATAATCTACATATTCATCATCAATCAAACGATGTCTGACTCTGAAAAAAATTATGAAATTTTTTGAAACAGTAGATTTTTTTTAGCAAAAAAAAATTGGCAGGGGGTGAGGTTTGAACCTGGGACTTGTAGATTGGGAATTGGAGCTTTAACCAGCTGAGCTATAAATTTGAAAAAATAGGAGGTAGCGGGACTTGATCCAGAACCTTTAGATTGGAAATCAGAGATCTAACCAGCTGAGCTAGAAATTTCGAAAAAATAGGAGGTAGCGGGATTTGAACCTGGAACCCTTCACCTCAAAATCCAAGCATTACCCAGCTGAGCCAAATTTCCAAAAATCTTCAAACTACAGTAACCCTGATCTACAGTAATCTCTTATTCAAAAAAATTATGAAAATTTTGAAACAGTAGATTTTTTGAGCAAAAAAAAAATTGGCAGCACCCGGCATCGAACCTGAGACCTCCCACCCCAAAATCATACCTCCAACCAACTTTTTTCTCCAGACTGCACACCATATTCTCAAGGCGGCTACTTGACGCAACTCTTCAAACACATCTCGCCAGCCGAGCTCAAAATCCGTCAACTCTCCGTGCACGTCGACATTATGATCGAATCGCTCGAAAACGTCTTCCTTCAATGTCCCACCGAAGATCTCAAATACGCCATGGACAATCTAGTCGCCGCCCAATTCAGCTCATTCGTTCAGATTTCGATTTGTTGTGCACAAATTCGTGCCAGCGACGATTTTGCTCGCAATTTTTTGCTCCAAGGAATGCAGTATGCGTTGAAACAGTCGGCTGAGGTTGGAGCCAAGACGGAGTTTGTTGTTGAGCCGTGTGAAGGTGGGTAGTTTTGAGAATTGGGCTCCCAAGGCGCTGATGCTTGAGGACTGGGTTCACAAGGCGTTGATCCTTGTCACAGTGAGAATGTAGATAGGGCTACTTGAGAAATAGGGTTTGTAGGCGCGGTTGCTTGAGGACGGGGTTCACAAGGCGCGGATCCTTGTCAGAGTGAGGGTCTAGATGAGGCTGCTTGAGAATTAGGATTTGTAGGCGCGGTTGCTTGAGGACGGGGTTCACAAGGCGCGGATCCTTGTCAGAGTGAGGGTCTAGATGAGGCTGCTTGAGAATTAGAATTTGTAGGCTCGACTACTTGACATCTAGATCTTCTAGGCTCGGCAACTTGTCAGATTGGATCTCTAGCCTCGACTCCTTGAGAACTAGGCTCTAAAGGCGCGGCCACTTGACATCTGGATCTTCTAGGCGCGGCTACTTCACAATTAGACACACTAGGAGCGGAACCTTGTGAAGTACGATTTCTAGGCTTAGCTGCTTGGCATAGAAGCTCTACAGGCGCGGCTGCTTGTCAGAGTGGATCTCTAGGCGCTGATCCTTGACAGTTAGGGTTAGCTAGGCACGGATGCTAGGCAACTTGAATTTGTAGGCACGTCTGCTTGACATAGGAACTCTGAAGGCGCGAGTCCTAGACTATAAGGTACTCTAGGAGCTGCTCCTTGAGAATTAGGATTTGTAGGCACGGATGCTAGACAATTTGTATTTGTAGGTTCAGCTGCTTGGCATATGTGCTCTCAAGGCGCGAGTCCTAGACTTTAAGGTGCTCTAGGCTCAGCTACTTGAGGACTAGGGATCTCTAGGCGCGGCTACTTGAGAACTAGAGATCTCTAAGATCAGCTCCTTGACAGACTAGAAGCCTAGATGTGGCTCCTACACAATTAGGTATTAAAGGCGTTGATCCTTGACACATCCCCTTTCTAGACACGGTTGCTTGACATAGGAGCTCTCAAGGCACGGCTGCTTGAGGCTACAACCTCTCAAAGCGCAGGTACTTGACAATTGAACTTTCTAGGCGCGAATCCTTGACACATGCCCTTTCTAGACACGGCTACTTGAGGCAACAACCTTTCAAGTAGCTGCTCCTTGTCAAACAGACTGGCGACCTTGCGGTCGCACGTCCAGTTTCCGAAAAAAAATCCCAAATTCATTTTTTTCAGGCTATGTCGATATGACTGTCGAAAAAGGCCAACTCGAATACACCTTCGCCTTCTTCTACTACAATCCCACAATCTGCGACCCGACTCCAGAAGATGCCCAACCTGTTGTACCACTTTTGACCAATTATTATTTTTAGGCCCCGTTAGGCCTGAAAAATTGGGCCCAAGCCCTATTTTCATATTTTTTTTCCTGTTTTTTGACCCAAAATTGATCTAGTCTTTTCCACTATCATTCAAATCGAGCTTATTTTTTTTGAAATTTTTTAAAAATTTCTAACTTTCTCCCCTAATTAATCAATTAATAATCTCCTATTTCGGGTTGAAATTTATTTTTTTATTTTTTTTTCAAATATTTTTCCCATAGATTTAGAACATTTTTTTCTCTATTTATTTATTTTTGGACCATTTTTTCTTGTGTTTGTATTTCTGACATATAAATTTGATTTTTTTTCGACACTGAACTTGAAATTTTGAAGTTAGGCCAAGTTTTCTTTCTCTAATTTGATTTTTTAATTAACAAATTTTTCGGTTGAGTGAATTTTGAATGATTTTTGGAAGTGTAACTTGAATTTTCAGCAAAATTTTATCTGAAAATCGAATTTTTCCATAAAAATTGAATTTTCACATCAAAAAATCCCATTTTGCCCCGAAAAAAAACAAAAAAAACGAAAAAAAACAACGACACTCCGCTTGTTGACGGGCGTGCCTGTTGTTTAGCGCGAATGCGCATTTTTCATTTCTTCTTGTTTTTTTCCGGGGAAACGCGGGTTTTTTGGCGGGAAAACGGAAATTTTTGAATTTCAGACATGAAGAGCAGGTTTGGAGTAACATGAGCAATGTGGAAAATCTACAAATTGATGGAAAATGTGAGTTTTTTGGGGGGTTTTTTTGGAAAAATGTTGAAAAAATCGAATTTTCGTTGAAATTCTTCGAATTTCCCTGTAAAAATCCCAGACATTTTCTCTTTTTTCTCAAAATTGTCTTTAGTTTGAGTAAATAAAACTGAAAAACGTGAAAAACTTGTAAATAAACATTGTTGAAGTGGAAAATTGTCTGGCAAATGAGTTTTTTGAAAAGAAAAATTGTTTTTTTTTGATTTTTAGCGCCAGAAATGGTTTTTGATTAGAGACAATGTGAAATTGAGAGATTCTAGACAGAAAATTTGTTTTTCGAGATGAAAATACAGAAAACTAGGCTGCGTCTGGAAAAGTTAGGCTAACTTTGCCGCCTGTGTTGAAGTTTGCGGTATAAACTTGCTCCACAAGCTTCCGCGAAGCTGCAAAGTTACCCTAACTGTATTTTCAGCCCTATATTTTCAGCCTGAAGCCTGTTTTTCAGCCCGAAAAACTAATTTTCTGTCTGGACTCTCTCAATTTCACATTCTCTCTAACCTAATTTTCAAATTTCTATTTTTTCGCGCCAAAATAGTTTTTTTGTTATCAAAAAAAAATGTTGAACTTTTGATCTCTTATCAGCTCATCACGAAAACCACAAACAGAAATGATTTGAATTCAAAATTTTGCGCGCCAAAAAGTACAGTAACCCAAAATCAACGTGACTTTTATCAAATGGAAACAATTCCATCTATCATTCATCAAAATATCGTGCAAAAATACAAAAATCAAAAATCTATTTTGGCGCCAAGAATACTGTAGATCTCCAAAAAGTACAGTAGTTTTTGCGCCAAAATCCCATTTTTTTCCGAATCTTTCAAAATCACAAAAAATGTGTGTTTTCACTACAAACTATCTGCTTTTTCAAGTATTTACCCACTTTTTTGCTACTATTTTTTTCTCGCGGAGCGAAAAAAATCTGTTTATTTATTTTTATTTTTCACAAAAATTCAAAGTTCAGGTTCGTGAAAATCACAATTTTAAAAGCAAAAAAAACGATTTTTCCCCGCCCCAGATTATAGACTACACATGATTTTCATGACAAAAAATTTTTGATTTTTTTTTTTGAAAAAAAAACTGGTTTTTTTCAACACTTCCGGGTTCTCCTCCCACACAGATTTTCAGCCAAGAATCTGAAAATCCTGCTGAAATTCTGAAAATCCCAAAATCCCAAATTCAAGGTCCAATTTTTGATCAGTGACCATTCAAGTGGTTGAACAAACTCTACCCTACAATTTTTTTGGATCAGAAAAAAAATCGTAGACTCCGCCCACTTTTTCCACTAATTTGTATCAAAAATCGAACATTTAAGGGACAAATAAAGTTTGGATTTTTTAGTTTTTGTAATTTAGTAACAATTTGTTGGGTTACTGTAGGTTTTGGCGCGAAAATTTGATCTACTGTGAGATTTCTTAGGAGTGTTGGTAGGGACTAAAAAATTTCAGATTGAATTTTTGACGTCGAAATTTTTAATTCAAATTTTTTAAAGATTTTCGGAACCTAAAATTTCGCAAAAAAAAATATTCAGAATTTTTTAAAATAAATTTTGAAATTGATTTTCGGCGCGAATTATTGACCTGCTCCCCAGGTGCCCAAAACCCAAACCAAAACTTTTTTTTCTGTAAGATCACCTGAATTTTCACGGTAACATAAAACACATTTTATTCGCCAACAAAAATTAATCAAGATCAAATCTAATCTCAAAATTTTTCTCGCCGAAAAATTTTTTTCAAAAAAAAAAACAGTTCAATCAAATTTTCGGGCCGTAAAAAGATTTAAAAGTAGGTCGAATTTTCGCGCGAAAAAAATTTATTTGAAAAATTTTTGAAATTGAGATTTGTCGATTCACGAAAAGTCAAAAAATGTCGAAAAAACATTGTAGGTCAAAATTAGTTTTTCGAGTTTTTCAGCCAAAAATGATGACAAATCGATTTTTTCAAGCTTCTGGAGTAATTTCTGATGAAAATTGATTTTGGAATTCATTTTCCAGAAGGTTTTGCTGATTTTTCATAAAATAAAGCAAAATAGGGTTCTAGAAGCTTATTTTCATCAGAAATTACTCCAAAAGCTTGAAAAAAATCGATTTGTCATCATTTTTGGCTGAAAAACTCGAATTTTTGACATTTTTTGACTTTTCGTGAATTGATTTTTCAATGTTAAAAAAACATTTTTTCCTTATTATCAAAGTAAAAAAATTTGGCAAAAAAAGAGAAGCCAGAAATTCAAATCCCAATTTCCCCAAGTACGGTATTCCTCTGCGTCACTAACACTGTTTCGAGACCACACCATTGGGCAGAGAAACAAAGTCAAAGACGCACATATGGGTCTCGCAGCGACTGAAAGAAACACCGTACTTGGGAAGAGTGTCATTCGAATTTCTGGGCTCCGTTTTTTTTGCCAAATTTTTTTATTTTGATAATATGAATTTTCGCGCCAAATCACAAATTTTCAAAAAAAAGTAGATCAAATCTAATCTCAAATTTTTTGGCCACCAAAAATCGTCCACCTTTCTTATCTAGGCCAAAGTACACCATTATCTATATATTATTTACACACCAATTTTTCTTCCCGGCCACCAAAAACTGATAAAAATCTGTCTGTCTACCCTCCTTCCTGCCACCCAAAAACCCTAATTTTTTCTTATCAAATTTTTTCTGATTTCCTTATTTCTGATCAAATCTAGGCTAGAAAAAATGCGAGTTGATCAACAGAAAAAAAAATTATCTGTTTTGATTGAGAACACTCTCAACCGGTTTCTCATTTTTTGATAAGAAATATTCATCAACACACTTTTTTTGATCATTCACATTTTTGCAAGAAAAATTTGAGTTTTGATAAGATTCTTTCTGCCTGAAAACCCGTGATTTTTCTGTAATTTTTGTCAGTTTTCAGGTGAGAAATGGGAATTGTAATTGTGGCAATTATCAGTGCTGTTTTGGCCTATTTTGTGTATTATGCTAACTCGATTTGGAAATATTTTCGGACTTATGAACATGCGAAGAAAGTGAGTTTTTTGGGGGGAAAATTTTAATTTTTCATGAAAAAAGTGCAGAAAAATCAAAGTTCTTGAACTATTTTTTATCAGTTTTCCTTTTTTTTCTCCAAAAAAAATTATGCTTTGTAGTTTGTATCAAAGAACATTTTTTCACCAAAAAAATTAAATTTTTTTGTTTTTTTGAAACAGTGATTTTTTGAAAATTAATTTTCATTCACAAAAATTTTGAGTTTGTTTTTCTCAAAACTCTAATTTTTCCGCCAATTTTCCAAACTCAAAAAGTTCAGAAAAATCAAAGTTCTGCTTCTCAATTTGTTCATTTTTTATCAATTATCAAATTTTCTGTAGATAATTAATTATCATTAATTAATTAATCAACTCGTAGGTACAAAAAAACCGTGGTTTTTTGAAGTTTGGTTGATCAAAACACAAATTTTAAAGTTATTTTTTGCCATATTGATTCTTGAAAATAGATTGTATTAGAGATCGGAACAAATGAAAATCTCGAAAATTATTAGATTTCTTTGAAACAGTGAATTTTTGAGAGGAATTTGAAACATCGTGATTCTGGTGAATAAAAATTTTTGTATCAAGAAAAATTACTGTTTCAAAAAAATCTCCTAAATTTTTGTAATACGCAACTTTTTGATAAACGGATTTTGGAAGTAACAATTCATTTGAATATAATTTTCTCAAAATTCAGAAAATAAATAATTATTTGACAAAAAACTGCAATTTAAAATTTTCTTTTGAAAAATTTCACTGTTTCAAAAAATCTAATAATTTCGGATATTTTTATATATTTCATTAAATTATTATATCTTCCAAAAGTCCTTGTGTCAAAAGTTTCAGAGAATATTTTTGGAAATTCAAATTCACCAAAACTTCAATAATTCGATGAGATTTAAAAAATCTGAAATTCTTAATTGTTCAAGTTTTATGCCCACAAGAAAATTTCACTGTTTCAAAAAAATCTAATAATTTTGGAGATTTTCCATTGTTTCGATTACTTTTTTGGTGTCCGAAAATCCACATAACAAAGCAGAACCTGAAAAATTTTTGTGAATCAAAATTTTTGTTTTGAAAATTATCCAGAAAAATCACTGTTTCAAAAAAAACAAGCCCAAAATTTTCACTGTTTCAAAAACTTTTAATAATTTTGGAATTTTCAAATATTTTGATTCATCTGCTCATTATCGGAAATCCCAGATAAACTTTATTTGAAATTAAAAATGTTCACTGTTTCAAAAATCCCATGAATTTTTGAAATACAAAATTTTTTGATGCAATTGTTGATGGGGCTAAAATTTCACTGTTTCAAAAACTTTTAATAATTTTGAAGACATACATTTTTATATTAAACTGGATTTGCATACCACAAAACAAAAAAACAATCTGCAAATCCTGAAAACTCTTCCAAAATGTCTCAATCTTTCCAGATTCCCGGTCCAGAAATCCATCCAATTTTCGGAAATGTTCCCTCATTAATCAATTCAACAACAGCTGATTTGGGTGGAATTTTCAAAAATTGGGCAAAAAATCAGCGAGAAAAAGGAGATCAAATAATGCGAATGGTATTATTTGGAAATATGTATGTTTGGCCGTTGAATGGAAAAACTGTGGCAAAAATATTGGATTCGACAACTGAATTGAATAAAGGAGATGATTATTCGTTTTTTGATCCATGGTTGGGCGGTGGACTTTTGTTGGAGTAAGTTGTTTTTGGGGCTGGGAGGGGGAGAGGGTGAAATTTGGAGAATTTTGGTGTAAATTGCAAAATTTTTAGTGAGATTTGAAGATTTCTGAGATTTTCCAACAATTTTGAAACTTGTGTAAAAAATTCTGTGAAATTTCACTGTTTCAAAATACTTTTGAATTTCTGAAGTCGATTTGAAAACGATCGAAATTAATTTTAAATTTTATGAAAAATAATTTTCAATAACTTATAAAAATCTACTGTTTCAAAATTTTGATTCAAAAAATTGTGTGAAAACTTCGCCGATTCTTTAATTTTTCATACCTTTCAAAATATTATAAATGTTTTCTATTATGAAAAATTTACTGTTTCAAAATTTTTATGAAGTTTTTTCATCGATGAAGTTTTTCATTACCCAGAAGTAATGTGTTGTGAAAATTTGACTGTTTCAAATTATTCAAAAAAAAAATCTTTGTGGTAAATGTTTAATCTTGATTGGATTCTGAATTGGAATTGTTGTTTAGCGCACAAAAAATAAAAAAATAAATCCCACAAAAAATACGTTTCGAAATTTCATTTGATTTGAAAGGTTTTCGAATAAATTTGATTACGCCAAATTTTCTATTGATTCATTCTTAAAGACAAATCTCTGAAAATTTACTGTTTCAGAGTTTTTATAAATTATTGGGATAGATTGATTTTCAATTTGTTCTTACAACAAAAATTTGAAAACAAAACATAAATTCACTGTTTCAAAGTGTGCATTAAATAATTTTTTTTTGATTTTGGAGTCACGTTTTTATTCGAGGAAAAATGCACTGTTTCAAAATTTTGTATAAATTTTAGGCTGGCAAAAAATTACCCGAATACACTCATTTCAGAAATGCTCAAAAATGGCTTACCCATTTACACTACACGTTTTTAGAAATGATGCCTGTTTACACTATTTTTATTTATAAGGCTACACTTTTACACCTTTACACTTTTACACTATTTTTCTGGAAAAGAGTTGTTGAAAGAGCCGAAATAGACTGAAAAATAGTGAAAAAACAGTCATTATCTGAGAATTAGCAGAGCCAAAGCATAACATCACAGAGAAATTGATAATTCAATGTTTTTTGTTCTGTTCAAGTCTGAAAATCAGAGTTATACTAACCCAAATGCCAAGAAATGTGACTTCTTCATTTTCTAAACAGGTTTTTATAATCCTTTTTCATTTTCTGAAACTATTTATTATTCGAAAAAAAACCTTTTTCTTACTCTAAAATCCTTTATTTTCGAACAGAACTCTTTTATTCACTTTAGGAAACCATTGGTCTGTTTCGACATTGAGATTTTGACATTTATTTTCTTTTTTCCAAGCCGGAGCAAAAATAGTGTATTCGTGTATTATTGTAAAAATGTATGTAGTGTAAAAGTGTAAGTGTATTCGGGCATTTCTGCAAACGTGTGAAAATAAAATTAGTGTATAGAAATACCCGAATGCCTCATTTTTGTCAGCCTAATAAATTTCGAAAAATATCAGATTTTTCAATGATTTGATATTATTATAATGAAAATTTAACAAAATAACTTTGTAAAAATTTACTGTTTCAAAATTTTTTTGAATTATTGGAGGATTTTTAATTTGCAATTAATTTCGACTACTCAAAAGTTCACTGTTTCAAAAATTTGTGAAAATTGAAGATTTCAAAATTTTATTATTAATTCCTCGAAATTATTTTCACTGTTTCAAAAATTTTATTGATTTCTTGAAGATTGTTTTCTAATTAATAGATCCAAAGTGAATTTTTTTTTGAACACATTCAAATATTCTTTCAGAAATGGCGGTGATCGTTGGCGTTCTCACCGTAAAATGCTCACACCAACATTCCACTTTGCAAAACTCGAAGGATATTTCGAAGTGTTCAACACGGAATGTCAAATTCTCATCGAACAAATCGAAAAATTCGCAGAATCTGGAGAAAGTTTCAACATTTTTCCGTTTGTCAAACGATGTTTGTTGGATATAATTTGTGGAACTGCAATGGGCACCAAAATCGATGCTCAGATTAATCATGAACACAAATATTTGCATGCTGTTGAGGGTTTCAATCGAATGTCTGTTATTTATTCGTTTACACCTTGGGTTCGACATCCATTGCTTTTCAAACTTTTGGGATATCAGAAACAGACCGAGGATTATTTGACTACAATGAAAGGATTTACTGAGAAGGTGGGAAAATTTTAAGAGGGGAGGGGGAGAATTTTCAAAAAAGTGTTTATTGAAAAGTTTTTCTGAAAATAATTTTTGAAGATTTGATTTTGTTGTTAGAAATTTACTGGTTCAAATTTGTTTCAAGTTTTCATGGCCTAGAAATTCAAAAATTAGTTATTTTCCTGAATAATCCCTGAAAATTCGCTTCAGAAATTTCACTGTTTCAAAAATTGTATAATTTTCAAAGACATACAGAAGATTTTATTTTGCAGCTAGAAACACTCCAAAAAAATTTTATAAGTTCACTGTTTCAAAATTTGCAGAAGTTTTTATGAACTAGAAATTCGAAGCTATGTTCTTGATTTCTGGATGATAAAATTTGAAAAGAAAATTTCGCTGTTTCAGAATTTTAATAATTTTTGAAGTCAAACACAAATTTTGATTCGGTTGCTAAATTTGCAAAAGAAAATTCACTGTTTCAAATTTTCTACAAGTTTCATGGCCTAGAAATTCAATACGAGATATTGGTTTTCTAGGTCATGATCTGGAATTTTGAAAATAAACATTGTGAATATTTTTCTGTTAACTACTTATTTTCCTAGAAAATTCCCTGTAATTTCATTTTTTTTGCTTTACAAACAATTTTTTGCTGTTAGAAAATTTCGCTTCAAGAAAAATTCACTGTTTCAAATTTCTCATAATTTTTGAAGACAAATATACACTCTTATTCAGATGTGGAATTCCATAAGAGTGTCTATTCCGGAATAACAACAAAAAACAGGAAAAAATTCACTGTTTCAAATTTTTTTCAAGTTTTTTGGTTTTTTAGGTCACAAGATTTGAACGAAAATAAAGTTGAATTTAAAAAAAAATTAAAATCCCAAAAATTTAATTTTATAAAAATTCACTGTTTCAAAATTTTCATAACTTTTAAAGGAAATCAGAATATTTGATTCAGCTTTGATAAATAGAACACTACAAAAAAAATAATTCACTGTTTCAAAAATATTACAATTTTTTCTAAAATTAGTCCATTCAATGTGGCTTTTAATTATTGGGCTTTAAAAATTTCGCTTCAAGAAAATTTCACTGTTTCAAAATTTTTATAATTTTCAAAGGAGAACAACATATTTGATTTGGCCCTGAAGAGTACTTTAAAAACTTTTGAAAAAATGCATTTAATAGAATTTTATTTTTAGGTAATCCGCGAACGCCGCGCGGCTCACGCATCCGGTGAAATCGAAATCAACACCTCAAAACGTATGATGAACTTCCTAGATCTTCTCCTAAGCCAAGAAGATTCAAATAATCTTTCGGAAGAAGATATTCGACAAGAAGTTGATACATTTATGTTTGCTGGACATGATACAACAACTTCAGCTTCATCTTTTGCTCTTTGGAATATTGCTCATAATTCAGATGTTCAACAAAAGATTTATGAAGAATTGGTTGAAGTTTTTGGAGAAGATCCAAGAACTGATGTGACTTTGGAAAATATTAGTAAACTTGGATATTTGGATAAAGTTTTGAAAGAATCAAAAAGAATTATTGCTCCAGTTCCAGCAGTTCAAAGAAAATTAAAAAATGAATTGGAAATTGATGGATATATTATTCCACGTGGATCAAATATCACAATTGCTCCAATTGTTCTTCATAATAATGCTGATGTCTTTCCAAATCCTGATGTTTTTGATCCCGAAAGATTTTCCCCTGAGGAAATATCCAAAAGACATCCCTATGATTTCATTCCATTTTCTGCTGGCCTCAGAAATTGTATTGGACAGAAATTCGCACAACTCAATGAGAAAGTGCTAATTTGCCATATTTTGAGGAATTTTGAAATTGAGCCAACTTTGAAATGGAATGAAACAATTCCATGTGTTGAAGTTGTTACAAAACCATCGAAAGGAATTCCATTGAAATTGAGACGAAGATAAAATTTCTGATTTTATCTTGGGAGAGGAAAATAAGCTGTAAATATTTTATTCTTGTATTTTTGTTGATTTGAATTGTTTCTGTGAAATAAACCTGAAATTTGGAAGTGCAGGATTTTTTCTCGAAAAAAGATAATTTTTTAGTCCCGAAGCGAATAGATTTCGTGAACATAGTTCTTTTGGAGAAAGAATTTCCCGAAAAAAATACGTTTCAAAATTTTGATGAATCACGGGGAAAATTATTTTTTCAGTCATCATTTTCAACACCTGAAACATGAAAAATTGGACCTAATCCGATTTTTTTAATAGTACATTTTCGCCAAATGGATTTTTAATGTTTTCAATAAAAATACATGAAACTCTCCAAAATTTTTAGATTTATTTGAAACAGTGAAATTTTCTTATCGAAGAAAAATTGAGCATTTTATACTTTTTCGGAATCAGTTTTGCTGCATTCAAATTTTTAACAATTTTTTTTGAAACAGTCAAATTTTCTTGCAGAAACAAATATTGATGTGAGTGAAAAAACCATGTTTTTCGAAATATCTACTCAAAAAATGAAAATTTTTGAATGGAAATTATCTAGAAATTTTTGCTGTAACTGTCATTTGCCAACTCACAAAATTTTTGCAAGTTTTATCGCAAAATTCGAGTTTTGTGATAAAATTTTTGCTGAAAAACCCGTGATTTTTCTGTAATTTTTGTCAGTTTTCAGGTGAGAAATGGGAATTGTGATTGTGGCAATTATCAGTGCTGTTTTGGCCTTATTTTTGTATTATGCTAACTCGATTTGGAATTTATTTCGGACTTATGAACATGCGAAAAAAGTGAGTTTTTTTTGGGGGAAAATTGAAATTTTTTTTTTAAATTTATATTTTCAGACGAATTTCAGAAATGGATTTTTTGTCAAAATTTTTTTACTGTTTCAAAAAGCGAAAAATGAAAGCTACATAAAAAATAACCCCAAAATTGTTTTGAAATTATCCAAAAAAAATTACTGTTTCAAGAAAAACCTTAATTTTGCAATACTCGATTTTTAGTGAAAAATTTCCACTGTTTCAAAAAAATCTAATAATTATTGAGATTTTTATATATTTTAATCCGTTTCCATTTTTGTGGTCTCAAAATTCACATTGCAAAAATTAACATGAAAATTGTTTGTTTTGTCTACCAAACTCCAAAAATCATAGTTTTTTGTACCTAAAAGTTGATTAATTAATTATAGTAATTAATTAATTATGTCCAGAAATACTGATAACAAAAAATTGCAGAGAAGAAGAAGAACTTTGGTTTATTTGGAAGACCACTGTTTCAGAAATATCTAATAATTTCAGAGAGAAATTCTTCCAAAATGTCCCAATATTTCCAGATTCCCGGTCCAGAAATCCATCCAATATTCGGAAATGTTCCCTCATTAATCAATTCAACAACAGCTGATTTGGGTGGAATTTTCAAAAATTGGGCAAAAAATCAGCGAGAAAAAGGAGATCAAATAATGCGAATGGTATTATTTGGAAATATGTATGTTTGGCCGTTGAATGGAAAAACTGTGGCAAAAATATTGGATTCGACAACTGAATTGAATAAAGGAGATGATTATTCGTTTTTTATTCCATGGGTTGGAAATGGACTTTTGTTGGAGTAAGTTATTTTGAGAAATTCACTGTTTCAAAATTTTCTTGAATTTCTGAAGACGATTTTATTTTTGTTCAGTATATCGGAATCAGGACTATTTTTGAAAGCTATTTAGAAATCCTGGTTATATTCTTGAAAAACCTCACCGTTTCAAATATTTTCCAAATAAAATTGTCAATTTTTTCTATTATAAAAAATTTACTGTTTCAAAACTATCATGAGTTTTTTTTTGGTGGATCGAAAAAATATTTCTTCAGTTAGACTGGTTTTTAAAAATCAGAAAATTTTACCGAAAAGAAAATTTCCGAGCTGAAAATTTACTGTTTCACATTATTTAGAAAATCTCGGAGTCAATTTCAAGTTTCTAATCATTTGTGAAAAATTCACTGTTTCAAAATTTTTTGAAGATGTTTTTCTAGTTGATACATTTTGATTTCTTTTTTATATTTTTTTTGCAGAAATGGCGGTGATCGTTGGCGTTCTCATCGTAAAATGCTCACTCCAACATTCCACTTTGCAAAACTCGAAGGATATTTCGAAGTGTTCAACACGGAATGTCAAATTCTCATCGAACAAATTGAAAAATTCGCAGAATCTGGAGAAAGTTTCAACATTTTTCCGTATGTCAAACGATGTTTGTTGGATATAATTTGCGAAACTGCGATGGGCATCAAAATCGATGCTCAAAACAATCATGAGCACAAATATATTCAAGCTTGTGAAAAATATATGCGAATGGCTGTTATTCATTGGTTTACTCCTTGGGTTCGACATCCATTGCTTTTTAAACTTTTGGGATATCAGAAACAGACCGAGGATTATTTGACTACAATGAAAGGATTTACTGAGAAGGTGGGAGAATTTTGAGAGGGGAAGAATTGGAAAAAAATGTTTTTTTTACTGTTTCAAAGTTTTCATAATTTTTGAATAATTGATTTTTTTGTTAATAATTTAATGGTTCAAAATTCTTCTTCCTAGCTTAGAAATTAAAAAATTAGCTTCTTTCCTGAAAAATTCCTGAAATTCCGCTTCAGAAAATTTCACTGTTTCAAAAATTGTATAATTTTTGAAGACATACAGAAGATTTGTTTTTGCATCCAGAAACTCCTCAAATAAATTTTAAAAGTTCACTGTTTCAAAATTTGCAGAAGTTTTCATGAACTAGAAATTTGAAGCTATGTTCTTGATTTCTGGATGATAAAATTTTAAATAATAAAATTTGATTTTTTTGCACAAGTTAGCTCAGTGATTTCCGGAAAAAAAACGTCCAAATAAGATTTTCTAAAAATTTGCTTCAGAAAATTTCACTGTTTCAAAATTTTCATATTTTTTGAAGACAAACACAAATTTTGATTCGCCTTCAAAGCTATACAAAAAAACAACAAAAAAAACATTTAAAAAATTCACAGTTTCAAATTTTCTACAAGTTTCATGGCCTAGAAATTCAACACGAGATATTGGTTTTCTAGACCATAAGATCTGGAATTTTGAAAATAAAAATTGTGAATAATTTTCTGTTAACTATTTTTCTAGAAAATTCCCTGAAGTTTCATTTTTTTGCTTTAGAAAATTTCGCTGTTTCACAATTTTCATAATTTCTGAAGACAAACAGACACTCTATTCAGCAACTTTTTGCAAGTTTTTGGTTTTTAAGGTTTTGAACGAAAATAAAGTTGAATTGTTTCAAAAATCAAAATCCATAAAATTTTATTTTATAAATTTTCACTGTTTCAAAATTTTCATAATTTTTAAAAGGAAATCAGAAGATTTGATTGAGCTTTCGTACGTACATTTCAAAAAAAAATGATTCACTGTTTCAAAAATATCACAATTTTTAATAAAATTAGTCCACACGAATGTGGCTTTTAATTATTGGTCTTTAAAAATTTCGCTTCAAGAAAATTTCACTGTTTCAAATTTTTTATAATTTTCAAAGGAGAACAACATATTTGATTTGGCCCTGAAGAGTACTTTAAAAACTTTTGAAAAAATGAATTTAATAGAATTTTATTTTTAGGTAATCCGCGAGCGCCGCGCAGCTCACGCATCCGGTGAAATCGAAATCAACACCTCAAAACGTATGATGAACTTCCTTGATCTTCTTCTAAGCCAAGAAGATTCGAATAATCTTTCGGAAGAAGATATTCGACAAGAAGTTGATACATTTATGTTTGCTGGACATGATACAACAACTTCAGCTTCATCTTTTGCTCTTTGGAATATTGCTCATAATTCAGATGTTCAACAAAAGATTTATGAAGAATTGGTTGAAGTTTTTGGAGAAGATCCAAGAACTGATGTGACATTGGAAAATATTAGTAAACTTGGATATTTGGATAAAGTTTTGAAAGAATCAAAAAGAATTATTGCTCCAGTTCCAGCAGTTCAAAGAAAATTAAAAAATGAATTGGAAATTGATGGATATATTATTCCACGTGGATCAAATATCACAATTGCTCCAATTGTTCTTCATAATAATGCTGATGTCTTTCCAAATCCTGATGTTTTTGATCCCGAAAGATTTTCACCTGAGGAAATATCCAAAAGACATCCCTATGACTTTATTCCATTTTCTGCTGGCCTCCGAAATTGTATTGGACAGAAATTCGCGCAACTCAATGAGAAAGTGCTAATTTGCCATATTTTGAGGAATTTTGAAATTGAGCCAACTTTAAAATGGAATGAAACAATTCCATGTGTTGAAGTTGTCACAAAACCATCAAAAGGAATTCCATTGAAATTGAAACGAAGATAACATTTCTGATTTCTTTTTGGGGAAAGAAAATAAGCTGTAAATATTTTAATCATGTATTCTTGTTGATTTGAATTGTTTCTGTGAAATAAACCTGAAATTAGAAAGTGCAGGTTTTGTGTTATTCTTTTGGAGAAAGAATTTCCCGAAAAAAATACGTTCCAAAATTTTGATGAATTACGGGGGAAATTATTTTTTCAGTTCATCATCTTTATCACCATCTGAAACATGAAAAATAGGACCTAATCCGATTTTTTTAATGGTACATTTTCGCCAAATGGATTTTTAATGTTTTCAATAAAATTACATGAAGCTCTCCAAAATTTTTAGATTTATTTGAAACAGTGAAATTTTCTTATCGAAAAAAAATTGAGCATTTTATACTTTTTCGGAATTAGTTTTGCTGAATTCAAATTCTCAACATGATTTTTTGAAACAGTCAAATTTTCTTGCAGAAACAAACATTGATTGTGAGTGAAAAAACATGTTTTTCGAAACATGGACTCAAAAAAAATTAAATTTATCTAGGAATTTTTGCTGTAACTGTCATTTGCCAACTCACAAATTTTTTGCAAGTTTTATCGCAAAATTCGAGTTTTCCGATAAAATTTTTGCTGAAAAACCCGTGATTTTTCTGTAATTTTTTTCATTTCCAGGTGAGAAATGGGAATTGTGATTGTGACAATTATCAGTGCTGTTTTGGCCTTATTTTTGTATTATGCTAACTTGATTTGGAATTTATTTCGGACTTATGAACATGCGAAAAAGGTGAGTTTTTATGGGGGAAAAATTTCAAAAATTTCCAGTTTCAAAAATTTCAAAAATGTCTTACTGTTTCAAAAATCCATTCAAAAAGCGAAAAATGAAAGCTACTTAGAAAAAAACCCTAAAATTGTTCGAAATTATCCAAAAAATTACTGTTTCAAGAAAAACCTAAATTTTGCAATACTCATTTTTTTATTGAAAAATTTCCACTGTTTCAAAAAAATCTAATAATTATGGAGGTATTTATATATTTTAATTCTGTCAATTTTGATGACCTCAAAATACACATTGCAAAAATTAACATGAAAATTGTTTGTTTTTATCTACCAAACTCCAAAAATTATAGTTTTTTGTACCTACCAGTTGATTAATTATTATAGATAATTAATTATGTGCAGAAATACTGATAATAAAAAATTGCAGAGAAGAAAAAAAAATAAAACCTCTAGATAATTTAGAAAATAACCGTCTGGGTTCTATCCTAGTATAACGGTCCCAGAATAATATATTGGTCCGAAAATAATTTTTTTCGGAATTGAAATTATCCAGAAAAATTACTGTTTCAAGAAAAACCTAAATTTTGCAATACTCGATTTTTTTCAATTACTTTTAAAATCTTACCAAAAATTTCCACTGTTTCAAAAAAATCTAATAATTATGGAATTGCGATAATCGACATTGAAGTTGTTCTATCAAACTCCAAAAATCATAGTTTGTTAGTTTACAAAAATTCCCGAAAAAAATACGTTTCAAAATTTTGATGAATTTTTCAAGAAAAATGTTTTTTTTCAGTTCATCTTGGGTTAGGTCCATAAAAACTTTATACATTTGAATTTCCGAATTTGGCCTCAAAAAATTAGGATTTCAAATTTTCAGTTGGAAATTTTAAAATTAAAGTTTTTGGGTCCAAATTCGATTTTTTGTTGTGCATTTTTTGGAAGTTCTTTTTTCGAAAAAAAACTTCCAAAAAATTCTACGTTTCAAAATTTTGATGAATTTTTCACGTGAAATTATTTTTCATTGCTTCGACAGATTCACAAAAACAATAACATCATTCTAAAAAAATAAATTTGTTATTAGTTCAAACAATTCCCGTGTCGACGAAAAATCATTTGATCTCATTTCATTCGATTTTCTGCTTCAGAATGACATGGCTAAACATCGTTCGAACATCTCAAAACATCTGTGCAATTCTCTCAATCACATTAAACATCTTGCTGACTTTTTTCATTCTCAAAAAATCACCAAAAACCGTGGGATCATACAAATATTTAATGATCTATATTTCATGGTTCGAAATCGCTTATTCAATTTTAGATGTGATTGTTTCACCAATCATCTTCTCGCATGGCTCAATTTTTCTGATTTTCGCGTCGGCGAAAAATCATTTTTTATCCAAATTTATACTTTCGATTCTGAACTCTGTGTATTGCGGGTTTTTTGGTTCATCGATGGGTATTTTTGCGATTCATTTTATATATCGATATTTTGTGGCTACACGGTGAGTAAATTGTGAAATTTATAAATCCCTCAATGTTCAAAAAGATATTCAAAAAAATTTCACAATTTTTTGAAACAGTGAATTTTTTTTACTAAAATTTTAAAATTCAATTTTGAAGAGAAACTAAAAAATATTTTTTCCCTGAAAATTCATAAAAATTTTGAAACGTATTTTTCGCGGGGAAAATGTATGTTTCAAATTTAGTATGAAAAATCCTCCAAAAGAAGTACACAAGCTATTTTTCGCTTCAAGACACTATAATTCTTCCACAATGCGCCTTTAAAACTGCCAAGCTCAGTTTTCGAAATGTTCATACAAAATTCAAAACTGTTTTCAAAAAAAAATCCACTGTTTCAGATCTTCCTATCTCAAAACATTCAAAGGCCTCCGAATCATATTTTGGATGCTTATCCCAATGATTTACGGATCTCTATGGGGAGTTTTTGTGCACATTTTGATTGGTCCCAACAAAAAAATTGACCAGGAAATCGAATTTCCGATCTTGAAAGCTTTTGATTGGAAAATTCAGGACATCGTGTATGTTGGACCTTATTTATATCAAAAAAATGCTGATGGAACTTACAATAATGTTGATAAGAATTCAGTTATTGCAATAATAATCATGTGTTCTATACTTATCTCTTCATTTTCTGCGATAATCTATTTTGGATCAAAATGCTATTTTCATATATCAAATTTCAAGGGAATGAAATCACCGAAATATCGATTACTACAATCACAATTATTTTTCGCATTAGTTACACAAACTATGATTCCTTTAATTCTTATGCAAATTCCTTGTGGAGTTTTATTCATTTTCACATTTCTTGATAAAAATCTTGGGCAACTTATTGGAATTGCGGCTATAACAATCGCATTGTTTCCAGCTATTGATCCACTTCCAACTATGTTTATTGTTAAGAATTATCGATTGGCGATTACTGGATTTTTCAAGACTACTGTTATTATACTTGTTAAACAAGCTGCTGAAATTTCGACTGTGTTTTGAGGCTTTATGAAATTTTCTTTAACATGAGCAATGTTTTTTTTCAGATGAATTATAGCCACAGAAATTCTGTAATTTTTGAATTTCTGGGTCGCCAAAGTTTTAAAGGCGCATTGTCGAAGAATATTTGGGTCTTGAAGCGAAAAATAGCTTGTGTAGTTCTTTTGGACGATTTTTCATACTAAATTTGAAACATACATTTTCCCGCAAAAAATACGTTTCAAAATTTTTATGAATTTCCCGGGAAAAAAGATTTTTCAGTTCTCCCTTCAATTCGATTGCAAAATTTGGCGCCAAAAATTAGGAATTCAAAAAAAATTTTTGGGTCTCAACCGGATGTTTTCTTGTGTAGTTCTTTTGGATGAGTTTTTCCAATAGAAAAAAAGGAATTTGACAGTTTTAAAGGTGCATATAATGAATTATTTTATGGGTCCCGAAGCGCGAAATTCTTGTGTAGTTCTTTTGGAGAAAAATTAAAAATATAGAAGGTTAGAGACGCAGAGAAGCTAGACGACTAGAGAAAAACGGTTTTGTAAAATCAGACGCCTAGAGCTAAAGACGCAGAGAGTTAGGAGAAGCTAGAGACACAGAGAGTTAAGAGAAGAGCTAGAGACGCAGAGAAGCTAGACGGCTAGAGTGAACGATGTCCGCCAAAAATAAGAATTCAAATTTCAGATTTTCGCGCAAAAATTGCAGAAAACCTTGAATTCCTCTCAAAAATCCCAATTTTCCTCGTTTTTCTTCGAGAATTGCGAATTGTGTGCATTTTGTCAATAATTCATGGTCAATTTATCGAAAAAGACACATTTTCCTTTTTTTTTCCTCCTTTTTTGTGTGAGTTAGCCTAACTAACTAATTCCCTTTCTCTTCTTCGTTTTGCACCAGGTTTTTTTGGAGCAAAAAAATGACGTGGGGCTCTTTTTTTTTTATTTTGTAAAAGAAAGGAAAAGGAAGAGTGCTTATGTTTTTTTTTGTTGAGCAAAAAAATAGGAAAAAAATGGGAGGAAAATGAGGAGTTTTTGTGGAGTGTGTCGAAAACAGACCTGTTTTTGAGCATTTTGAGATTTTTTGAGAGGGAAATTTGAGAAGCTTGGAAATTATTGAAATTCAAATTTTGAAAATTCGGTCCAAAATTTTCAGATTTGAATTATTTACCTTGGCGCCAAAATTTGACTTGAAATTAAAAAAAAAATTCTGCGTCTCTAACTCTAGACGTCTAGTTTTTCTACATTTTTCCTCACTCTAGTTGTCTAGCTTCTCTGCGTCTCTAACCTTCTTGAGTCTCAAAAATCCACGTAGCAAAAAATTAAAATTTTCTCAAAACAAATTTCGCAACCCCCATAATTCCAGCAATAAATTTCGAAATCTCTCTCTCGAAAAAATTGCACCCCAAAATTGCTTCCGAAACATTTCTGTATCTATTTTTGTCGAGAACTCAGTCCAACCGCTAAACAGCTTTTTTCCACGTCACTTTTTTTTCTCACTGCAAATAAGAAAACTTCTAATTTTCTGTGTTTTCTTTCATCAATAAGTTTTTCATGTCAAAAGTGTGTCAAAGTGAAAAAAAATGTTGAAAGTGAAGAATGTGACGTGAAAATATTCTCAGATTACATTCATTCAGCGATTTTTTTATTTCAATTAGATTGGAAGTTCTAACTAAAGTTTGAAGATTATCTCGGAAAATTCATAAAAATTTTGAAACGTATTTTTTCGGTGGATTTTTGAGCTCTTTTTGATTTTTTTTTTCAAATCGCTCAAAATTTCATTAAAAATTATTTTTGAGGCGAAAAATCCGGAATTTGAAAAAAGCCAACCCTGAACCTTATAAGCCTAAGCCTAATAAGCCTAAGCCCAATAAGCCTAGGCCTAATAAGCCTAAGCCCAATAAGCCTAGGCCTAATAATCCTAAGCCTAATAAGCCTAAGCCTTTTTTAGCCGAAACCTCTGAAATCTTGGCGCCAAAAATCTGTAATTTGAATTTTCGATTAGAAAGTTCCTGAAGAAAATTTTTTCCCGCCAAAAAATTCTTTTTTTTTCGGCCTCTCACATTTTCTCATCAACTCAAATATTCACTAATAAAAATAGGCACACATTTTTTCTTTGCGTCGCAAAAATAAAAGGACCATTCTCTAATTTCTCTGCGTCTCTAAATCTCTCTCTCTCTCTTTTTTTTTTACTTTACGCTCGCTGTGTACGCCAAATGCTCCAGGCTACTTCTTTCTTTCCATTCCATTCTATTCATCCAGCAAGATGAGGCGAGAGAGTGTGTGAATATGAGAGAGTGTGGTGAGAGAGAGAGAGAGAGAGAGAAAATGGAGACGACACAGACTCTCTTCTCTTTCTCTCTCTCTCTCTCTCTTTTTTTCTACGCCTATCGATTCCACCTCGGGTTTTTTTTCTACACACACAGAAAAGAGAGGGTGGAGTTCACCCTGAGCTTTTTTTTTGGTGCAATTTTTTTGGGCGCCAAGATTTCTTGCTCTTTTGATTTTTGCACATTTTTTTATTTTTATGCTCCAGATGTTTCAAATTGTGTGTGCGCTAATCCTCCCAGGCTCCGCGAGCACAATTTTCTCATTAAAGAAATTTTTTGACCTTTTTTTCGCGGAGCATTTTTGCTTCTCGGGCTCTTTTCTTGGAATCTTAAACGAAATTGCTGGGTTTATTTGATTTTTTGGAAGAATTTTGAGCTTTTTTGCAAGGAACCGCGCCTAGACTTCATTATTATCCATCTAGGGACCGTGCCTTGAGAGCAGAATATCATGTCAAGCAGCGGTGCCTTGACAAACCCAAGGATCTTGAAGGAACCGCGCCTTAAACTTTCTAAAGTGCATTTTTGTAGGGCTCACTGCTTGACAGTCATTTCTCCTCTCAAGCAGCGACTACTTGACGACCTTAAGCTCTCTAAGCAGTGGTTCCTTAACCTTTATGATTTCTTGTCAAGGCGCCGCTTCTTGATCTTTTATATAACTCTTAAGGGCTCATTGCCTGACAAATTTTAGTGCTCTCAAGCGGTCACCCTTAGACAATCGTACATTTTGCCAAGCAGCGGTTGCTTTACAAACTTATACTCCTGTCTAGCAGTGATTCCTTGTGTTTCTGATAATTTTTATAGTGCTTACTGCTTGATCTCCTCTCAAGCAGCCATTGCTTAACACATTAATTTGATGTCAAGCAACCAAGCCTATGCTAAATTTTTCAAGAGCCCACTGCTTAACACACCTTCATCCCTTCAAGCATCCGCCGCTTGCCAACCCTATTTACCCTCAAGCAATCACTCTTTGACCTTCTGTATGATCCCTCAAGGCTCCACTGCTTGACAAGCCGAAATCTATTCAAGCAACCGCTCCTTGACTTCCTATATGATCCCTTAAGGCTCCACTCCTTGACCCACATTATATGGTGCAAGGGTCAGTCGCTTTACACATTTATATCTTGTCAAGCAACCACTCCTTGACTTCCTGTATGATACCTCAAGGCTCCGCCGCTTGACAATCCATAATCTAGTCAAGCAACCTCTCCTTGACCATCCCGAAATTCTACAAGGGCCCACTGCTTGACAACCCGATTAGACCTCAAGCAACCCCTCCTTGACTCCCTTTATGATCCCTCAAGGCTCCACTCCTTGACCATCATTATATGGTGCAAGAGTCAGTTGCTTTACACACTTATATCTTGTCAAGCAACCACTCCTTGACCATCCAAAAATTCTACAAGGGCCCACTGCTTGACAACCCGATTAGACCTCAAGCAACCACTCCTTGACTTCCTGTATGATCCCTTAAGGCTCCGTTGCTTGACAACCCTATTAGACTTCAAGCAACCACTTCTTGACTATCTCAAAATTCTACAAGGGATCACTGCTTGACAACCCTATTAGACCTCAAGCAACCGCTCCTTCTCTCTATTCTGAACTTTTTTCCCACCCCCATCACATGTTCCTCCTATTATCCTACCTTCTGACCTCTCCAAAAAAAGATTTTCTATTTTTTCTCAAGTATCTTTCCGGCCACCAAAAACCTTCCCAAAAAAAGTGTTTCTGGTTGCGCCTCATTAGTCAAAAATTGCTCGCCGACCGCCAAAATCCTGTGTGTAGTGGTAACTCGATTTCCGTCCCTCCTCCCCCAAAATTTTTCCAAAAAAAATTTTTTTTCCTACTTTTATTTTTCCTTGGCTCAATTTCCCGCAGCTCCGGCTCAATTTTGGAACATTTTTTCATTTGTGCTCCAAAATTCATAGCTCTTTTTTGTGTCTGGAGCAGCAGAGCTCATCAATCATCATTTCGGGACCTTTTTGTGCACAAAAAGGTCCCAAAATTAGTTTTCTAGCTATTTTGGGGTAAAAAAGTTCCGCCAATTTTTTTGAGCACCACCAAAAAAACATCCAAAAAACAAAGCAAAATCCAAATCTCCAGGGAAAAATGAATCTTTTTTAGTTTTTTTTTTTGCTTTTTTTTAGCCGTCCAAAAAATTCGGAGAGGAAATCGAATTCGGTGTGTTCTTCACACTTCATTTGATTTTGAGAGGCCGTGAAAATTTTTTTTTGCTGTTTCAACTTTTGATTTTGAGTTAAAGGAGTTATGACGTGGCAGAATTTTTTTTCAAACTCGAAAATTCTGAATTTTTGCCACGTCATTATTTTTTTCTAGAAAAATTCTAGATTTTTTTACTGTTTCAAAATTCCTGAACAAAAAAAAAATCTGAATTTTTTAGAAAAATATAGAAAAATATTACTGTTTCAAAAAATTCATAACAATAATTTTGCGTCTCTCAAAATTCTTCGCTATCTCTAGGGTTCTCTGTGCCTCTAGACACTATACTCTCTAGTGATGTGTTTCTCTGCGTCTCTAACATTCTCTTCGTCTCGAGGTGTTTTCTCTGCGTCTCTAGTTACCCTACACTCTCTACCTTTATGTTCTCTCTGCGTCTCTTGCAATCTTCCAATCTCTAGGCCTATTTTCTCTCTCTTTCTCTCTGATTTCTCTGTGTCTCTCAAAATCCAGTAATCTCTAGCTGTATATTTCTCTGCGTCTCTCGCTATCTAATTTTTAAAAATTTTCAAAAATGTTTTTTTTTTCAAAAATTTTCTCGCGTGACCCAATTTTTTTCTTTTCCCCACGTCACATTTCAAAATCCCCCCAAATCATTCCCAAATGTTTCCAGGCCCAAAAAACACGGCAGGCTGTTGCTGCTGCAAGGAGGCGCTCCACAAACGGGCCGGCCCACACACCCCGAATCACAATTCCCCAATATATTTATATATAGTGTAGTGGGTGGTGGGTAGAAAGTGAGAGAGAGATAGCCTAACTCCAAAAAAAATGTCGTCCGATGTGATGTATCAACCACAACACGCAAAAGGACAATCGCAGTCGCCGTACGGTTATCCGATGAATTGTAATATGAGTCGAGTGTTTCAAGATATGAGTGAGGAGGATCGGAGATGTTTGGAGGAGCGGAAGTATTGGTGCTTTTTGTTGAGCAGGTAAGGAAATTGGAGATTGGGAACCCCATTGGGGAGACCTAGAGACCTTTGGGAAGATCCCGGGGCCTTTGCTAGACATCGATGTACGTTAAGGGCTCGCGCCTTGAGAAAAAAAAATTGTCAAGGGCTCGCTCCTTGTCCTGTGTTCTGACAAGGCTTCGAGCGTTGTCTGGCGTACTGTCAAGGGTTCGTGCCTTATCTGGTTTACTGTCAAGGGCTGGCTCCTTGTGATGTGTACTCACAAGGCTTCGACCCTTGTCTGGTTTATTGTCAAGGGTTAGCTCCTTGTGCTGTGTACTCATAAGGCTTTGACCCTTGTCCTGTTTATTGTGAAGGGCTCGCTTCTTGACAGCACATTCTTCAGTCTAGCAATGGTTACTAGAGATAATCTTGTAAGGGCTTCTAGAGCCTGCCACTTGACATCTAGAAGTGCTCCCAAGCAGTCACTCCTTGACATGTTTAATTCATCACAAGCATCGACTCCTTGAAACCTTTGACTTATCGCAAGAGCTTGCTACTTGACAGCAAGAAGTGCTCTCAAGCAGCGACTCCTTGACAAGTTTAGGTGATCACAAGCAGTGAATACTTTACAGGGAGATGTGCTCCCAAGCAGCTGCCCCTTGACATGTTTGAGTCATCACAAGCAGCGAACCCTTGAAAAGCTTAGGTGCTCTCAAGCAGCCATTGCTTTACACGAAGATGTGCCCCCAAGCAGCGACTCCTTGACACCTTTAACTCATCGTAAGAGCTTGCTACTTGACACCAATAAGTTCTCTCAAGCAGCGAAGCCTTGACACCTTTGACTCATCGCAAGAGCACGCTACTTGACACCAATAAGAGCTGACAAGCAGCGAACCCTTCACAAGTTTAAGTGATTACAAGCAGCCACTGCTTTACACGAAGATGTGCTCTCAAGCAGCGATTCCTTGACAAGTCTAATTCATCACAAGCAGCGACTCCTTGACAAGTCTAATTCATCACAAGCAGCGAAGCCTTGACACCAAAAAATTCTCCCAAGCAGCGACTCCTTGACAAATTTAGATGATCTCAAGCAGTAAAGCCTTGCAGACAATTTTATACTTTTTTCTCTTAACCCAGTCATCTGAAGCCATCCAAAAAAAAAAACTAAAAACATTCAGTGCTACACCGAAAATATCAAGTATCCCCCCTCCCCACAGAGAGGTGTCACATATCATTTGCAGAGCCAACACAAAACTGAGCCAGCTGAGCCAAAGAGAGAAAATTGGATAGGGATCCAGAGAAAAATGTTTTTTTGTTTTCATTTTTTTTGTGGCTACCTGGGGGCCAGGAAAAATAGAAAAAAGGGAAAAAGCGAGAGGAAATGGGTGATTTTTATGGGATTCTGGCTAAAAAAAGGGAAAAAATATTGTTTTTTGAAAATGTTTTGAGGGGAAAATGAAAGGGGGCTGGAAATTTCACTGAAAGCTGAAAAATCGGTAAAATTTCGAAATTTGCACGAAAAAATGAGAAAAATACATTGGGGACTAGTTTTCCAGCTCTGCTAATCCTAGTCCCTCTGATTTTCTTGTTGGAAAATTCAGAAAACTCGCTGAAAATAGAGAAAATCAAAATCCCGCTCAAAAACCAAGAAAAATCCACTGTGTTTTTTTCTAATAGAAAAATGCAATTCCGAGGAGACGCAGACAGAGAGAGAAAGAGGCTGGTCTCGACACGATGTGTGTCTGCCACACACTATTTCTCTCCCCTTTTCGGCGAGAGATTTGTCTGCCCACGTTAAAATCTGCGTCTCTCAGAACTGGCAAGAAAAAATACAGTGAATCGCAGAAAATACATTGGGGACTAGTTTTTCCAACCCTGCAAATCCTAGTCCCTCCCATTTTTCTGCTTTTTTTGCGTTTCAAATCGAAAAAAGTGGATTTTCTAGTGGATCAATTCATTTGAAGAAAAAATGAATTTCGCGACATTTTTTGTCGCGAAATTGCAATTCGCGAAACGACACGAAATAAACACAAAAATAAAGGAGAAATATTAAAGGGACACGTAATCGCTGCGAGACCCAACACACGAAAAAAGAATTTTCTCTTTAATTTTATTAATTTCGTGTCGTTTCGCGAATTGCAATTTCGCGACAAAAAATGTCGCGAAATTCATTTTTTCGTCAGATGAATTGATCCATAGGCTTCCCTCATGAAAAATACATTGGGGACTAGTTTTTCCACCCTGCAAATCCTAGTCCCTCTGATTTTCTTGTTGGGAAATTCAGAAAACTCGCTGAATATAGAGAAAATCAAAATCCCGCCCAAAAACCAAAAAAATCGCAGAAAAATACATTGGGGACTAGTTTTCCAGCCCTGCAAATCCTAGTCCCTCACCATATATCAGCGAAATTTTAAGGTTTCAGCTTTCAAACCAAAAAACCTGTGAAAAACAAGATTTTCATGCAAAAAAAGAGAAAAATACATTGGCGACTAGTTTTCCAACCCTGCAAATCCTAGTCCCTCACCATATATCAGCGAAACACGACTGTTCGGGGAAGAAGAAACTTCGGCCACGCTTGTGACGTCATCAATTTTTCAAAATGAAACTGGCGGCGCGGCCCGAAAATGTTCCAGGCCATATCTCGAAAAACTAAAAACGTAGCGATAATCTACGCATCCGAATCTCTTTGAATAAGTATTTTCCGAAGGTCCTGCTGCGACTTTACGAAATCGTGTCGAGACCCGTTTTCTCAAAAAATGGCATGTTTCTTTGTGCGTTTGCGGAAATTCAAAAATAGTTTTTTTTCAAATATTTGTTTTCGGTAATTAGCTCATTTTCGAGAGGGAATTCCGAGAAGATAAGCATATAAAATAACTTTAGATGTGAAAAAACATGAACTGACATTGAGTGCGTGAGAAAATGGTTAAATTCATGATGTTTTCTGTTACCTGAATCATATTTTACAAAGGTAATTCAAAAACTGAATGCTGTGTTGATTATCTGGGCTTGAATTTTCAGCTTTTTCATCATAGAATTTCACTTTTTGAAGTTTAATTTGTTCAGATAGCGATAATAACTTTGGTTATAAATTTTTGAGCTCAATTTTAAGCTGTTTTCAAAAGAAAAAATGCGTTGTTTTTCACACTTGCATTAAATTGAAAACGGATTTCAATTAACGAATGTTTTGAATGACCCTGGAACTTTAGAAATGTTCTTTGGTGAGTTTGTGTCTAGATATTCGGTGAAAAACATCAGGTTTTTATTGAAATCTGGAATTTCTTCAAATTTCGATTCAGCAATTATTCCCAATAAAGTTCAGCACTTATTTTAAACGAGACTGAATTGATCTTAGGTAGAATCTTAAGCATTTTCTTAATGAACCTTCATTATTTGCTCGCCAGTTCGCGAATGGCAATCATTTTAATTGTAAAACATAATAATAAATTAATTTATGAAAAAAATATGGCAGAAAAAAAATGAAATCCATCGTTTGACAAATGGAAGATGGTGAGCATGTTTGAAGGATGATGTGAAGTGATTTATCTGGAAAATTTACAATTAGTATTTCTCTGGAATATTTCATTTTTAGTGATAATCTTGCTGTCCAGAGCCTAATATTAATTAGGTAATTGAGTAAGCTTTTCTGTGAAAACTAAACATAATATTTTCTTACATCGTATTCGGCCTTGAAAAATTAATCGTGATAGAAATTTGAGTTGGTTTCTGTAGCGAGTAACTTTTCGATAGTGTGATTTTTCTTCAGACTTAATTGGTCTGGCGATTAAACTCAGGCCTGAATACATTCGTTTTTCGAACAACTAGAGTGAGAATTTTGGAATTTAAATTTTTATTTTTGGTTTTTTCTGCTAACCTTTTTCCACGAAATGTCAGCATATGTTTTGAAGATTTTAGAAAGAATTTTCAATATAAAAATACTTACCGAAACACAGAGATATCATGGCATTCAGAAGTTGTTTATAACAGCAACAAGCTATTCGCCGAATCTTTCTGTCGTTTTATTCAAACTTGCTCGCTTCATGAAACTCTCAATCATTCAAGTTCTGTTGAATGAACCATTCATTAATTTTGTTGGTGTCACATAGCTCGTCTTGTTGAGTTTTGCCCAGTCAAGCCACAAAAATATTGTTGGCTGATATTGAAATGTTGTCCAATTATAATCATGAATTATCTAAAAAAAACTAATTTAGACAATCCGCAGAAAACGTACAACAATAAAGAAATACGATGTTTTTCTGTTGCTCTCTATATTCAATATGTACGAAAATTTTAAACATTTTACATAGAGAATAGACAAACAATTGGTTCAGCGAAAAATATAAGTTCAAACACTAATTTCAGTAAAACCGGAGTGAATTCGCTCAAATACACACCTAACCATTACTCTCCGAGAAAAAAATAATCAATGTATGCTGTAAAAACTGATTTCTCTTCAGAAAACACTTAGCAAAGTGAAACGGAAAAAAAAACGAAAAAAAATAAAAATAAAAATAATGTGTGCAATTTCATGTCAGTGTGTATGCACAGTTTTGCGTACAGTAACCCGAAATTTTTATTTCCGCTGCCGAACAGGCGTGGAAATTTCAAGGTTTCAGCTTTCAAACCAAAAAGAACAAGCTTTTCATGCAAAAAAAGAAAAAAAAAACCTTGGGGACTAGTTTTCCAGCCCTGCAAGGCCTAGTCCATCACTATTTTACCTGAAAATTTTCATTTTCAACCTGGAAAACCTGTGAAAAATTGAATTTTCCAAGCTTCCCTCACAAAAATACACTGGGGACTAGTTTCCCCAACCCTACAAATCCTAGTCCCTCCCATTCTCATTCCAATTTTCCAGCATCACCACCTTCTGCGCCTCAATGATCCTCGTCGTCATCTGGCGTGTCATCTCACATCTATGCTGTCAACGTCGCGATCGCGAATTCTCGGCCGAACCCGCCGCAGACACCGTGCAAATTCAGATGAACGGCGGCAAGCACGGACTTCCGACAAGTGCAGTTTTGCCCGGCGGAGAGGTCGATCCGTTTTTGAAGCAACAGGAGGAGAAACATTTGGGTTGGATGACTGAGGTGAGTTTTTTGTGTTTTTCGAAAATTTTTTGCATAAATTTCAAAATGTAAAAAATAAAAATCTCTAAAGGATCTCAATTTTTGTCAACGAATTTCTAGACGGCGGGCAAGTTTGGCTTTTCGATTTTTCATTTTTTCCGTAGATTTCTCCCGCTAGGCTTGGTCTAGGCTTTGGCTTGGCCTAAACCGCTCCAAATAAATCTAAAAATCCCGCATTTTCAGGCCAAAGATTGGGCTGGCGAGTTGATTTCGGGACAAAGTTTGACGGGACGATTCCTCGTTCTACTCGTCTTCATTTTATCGATTGGAAGTTTGATAATTTATTTCTACGATGCGAGTTTCCAAAATTTCCAAGTTGAAACTTGTGTTCCGTGGCAGGATAATCAATCGCAGCAAATCGATTTGGGATTTAATATCTTCTTTTTGGTCTACTTTTTTATTCGGGTACGGATTTTGGGCGGGAATTTGAAAAGAAACCGGGGGACTAGGTTTTGACATATGGAAATTCTAGTCCCTCTCCATTTTCTGATGAATTTTTGATTTTAAAACCTGAAAAACCAGAGAAAAATGGATTTTCTGAGAAAAAAACATTGAGGACTAGTTTTCCACCCTGCAAAACCTAGTCCCTCGCCATATATCAGCGAAATTTCAAGGTTTCAGCTTTCAAACCAAAAAACCTGTGAAAAACAAGCTTTTCATGCAAAAAAAGAGAAAAATACATTGGGGACTAGTTTTCCCATCGTGCAAAACCTAGTCCCTCTGATTTTCTAGTCGAAAAATCGAGAAAACTGATAGAAACATCTGAATTTCGAAACCACACCCACAAACCAGGAAAAAAATCGCGAAAAACAAGGGGGACTAGGTTTCACCACCTGGCAAAACCTAGTCCCCCAGTTTTTATTGATTTTTTTTGCGTTTCAAACTGAAAAAAAAGTGGTTTTTCAAGCTTCCCTCACAAAAAAACGAGAAAAGTACACTAGGGACTAGGTTTCGCACCCTGCAAAACCTAGTCCCTCTCTATTTTCTTCTGAAGATTTGATTTTAAGACCTGAAAATCCAGAGAAACGTGGATTTTCTGAAAAAAAAAACATTGAGGACTAGTTTTCGCACCCTGCAAAACCTAGTCCCTCCGATTTTCTAGTCGAAAAATCCAGAGACATGTGAATTTCGAAATCACACCCAAAAACTAGGAAAAAATCGCGAAAAAACGAGGGGGACTAGTTTTCGCACATTGCAAATTCTAGTCCCTCTATTTTTATCGATTTTTTTCGTGTTTCAAACCGAAAAAAGGGGATTTTCCAAGCTTCCCTCACAAAAAAAAAGAAAAAACACATTAGGGACTAGTTTTCGCACCCTGCAAAACCTAGTCCCTCTGATTTTCTAGTCGAAAAATCCAGAAACTGGTGGAAACATGTGAATTTCGAAAGCACGCCCAAAAACCAGGAAAAAAATCGCGAAAAAACAAGGGGGACTAGTTTTTCCACAATGGAAATTCTAGTCCCCCAGTTTTTTATCGATTTTTTTCATATTTCAAACCGAAAAAAGGGGATTTTATGGGCTTCCCTCACAAAAAAAAAAGAAAAAACACGGGGGACTAGGTTTTTCTACCTTGCGAATCCTAGTCCCTCACCTTTTTTCTGAAATTTATCAGTTTTCAGTTTTCGAACCTGAAAAGCAGAGAAAAAGTGGATTTTCCAAGAAAATGCATTGGGGACTAGGTTTCGCCACATTGCAAAACCTAGTCCCCCAGTTTTTATCGATTTTTTTTGCCTTTCAAACATTTTCTTTCAGTTCATCGCCGCCTCGGATAAAGTCTGGTTCCTGCTCGAAATGTACAGTTGGATCGATTTCTTCACAATTCCCCCAAGTTTCGTCGCAATTTATTTGGAGCGAAATTGGCTGGGATTTCGGTTCCTTCGAGCTCTTCGTCTCATGACAGTTCCCGACATTCTGCAATACCTAAACATCCTCAAAACCTCGAGTTCAATTCGTCTAACTCAACTCGTCACAATTTTCGTGGCCGTCTGTTTGACTGGCGCCGGTTTGGTGCATTTACTCGAGAATTCTGGCGATTTTTTCAAGGGTTTTGTGAATCCACATCGAATTACCTATGCCGATTCGGTTTATTTTGTATTGGTCACAATGTCCACAGTTGGTTATGGTGATATTTATTGTACAACACTTTGTGGACGACTTTTTATGATTTTTTTCATTCTTTTTGGTTTGGTGAGTGTTTTTTGGGGGTGGAAAATTGATCCGGGGACTAGAATTCCTAATCAAAAGCTAGTCCCTCCAATTTATGTTTGAAAAGGGGACTAGCTTTCCAATATTGCAAATTCTAGTCCCCGAAAAATTTTTTTGCTAAATTTTGAGCTTAACAGAAATTTTTGATTGACAAGGAACTTTTTGAGCTCATTTTTTCGGCATCAAAATTTTTTGTTGGATTTTTTTAAGGGGTCGAATTTTGGCGCGAAAATTTGAATTTGAAAAATTGGCGGCAAAATTCAGGATTCAAAAAAAAAAGTTTTTGGCGCCAAAAAATCTTGTTCGAAAAGTTCTTGAATCCTCAGAGTTCTTCTCATATCCTAAAAACCCTTATTCAAAAATTTGGCGCCAAAAAACACCGGGGACTAGGTTTCCAATGATGAAAAACCTAGTCCCCGTGAGTTTTTTCTCTCCAAAATTATCATTTTTCATCGGAATTTTATGAAATTTTTCAAATTTTTTAATTTTCCAGGCCATGTTTGCCAGCTACGTGCCAGAAATTGCGGATCTCATCGGAAATCGTCAAAAATACGGTGGAGAATACAAGGGAGAACACGGCAAGAAGCATATTGTTGTCTGTGGACATATCACCTATGATTCGGTTTCGCATTTTTTGCAAGATTTTTTGCACGAAGATCGAGATGATGTTGATGTGGAAGTTGTGTTTTTGCATAGGTGAGAGAGGGTTTTGGAGAAGGGGACTAGATTTTTCATTGTTGGAAACCTAGTCCCTCACAATTTTTGAACGGAAATTATTCAAAAATTGAAATTTTCATAGAAAATTTGAAAATCAAGCCGGGGACTAGGTTTTTCATAATTGGAAACCTAGTCCCTCGCAATTTTTGAATGGAAAATATTCAAAAATTGTAAATTAACCCGGGGACTAGGTTTTTCATTATCGAAAACCTAGTCCCTCACAATTTTTGAACGGAAACTATTCAAAAAATGGAAAAACTCAATGAAAATTTGCACGGACTAGGTTTTTCATTATTGGAAACCTAGTCCCTCTAATAAAAGCCAGGGACTAGGTTTTCCATAGACGGAATTCTAGTCCCTCGCAAATTTTGCCCCAATAATCTTCAAAAAATGAAAATTGCCCCAGGGACTAGGTTTTGCAATTTTGAAAACTAGTCCCCAAAATCTAGTCGAAATTTGGCGGGGACTAGGTTTCTCATGAACAGAATTCTAGTCCCAATTTTGCACCAAAAATCTTCAAAAATTGAAAATTAACCCAGGGACTAGTTATTAAATTATTGAAAACCTAGTCCCTCACCAATTTTTCTCCAAAAATCTTTTCAATCTGAAAAATTCAATGAAAATTGGCTGAGGGACTAGGTTTTGTAATTTTGAAAACCTAGTCCCTTTGATATTTTGAATCATTTCTCGCAGAAAAAAGTCAGGGACTAGGTTTTTCTTTTTCCAACCTCGTCCCCGCTTTCAAACAATTTTTTTTCCAGAGTTGTTCCCGATCTCGAACTCGAAGGTCTCTTCAAACGACACTTCACAAAAGTCGAATTCTTCACCGGAACAGTCATGGATTCTCTCGATCTTTCTCGCGTCAAAATCGGCGACGCAGACGCGTGTCTTGTTTTGGCCAACAAATACAGTACAAATCCAGATGCGGAAGATGCGGCAAATATTATGCGAGTGATTTCAATCAAAAATTATTCGTCAGATATTCGAGTAATTGTTCAACTTATGCAATATCATAACAAGGCATATCTATTGAATATTCCATCTTGGGATTGGAGAAGAGGAGATGATGTGATTTGTTTAGCTGAACTCAAATTGGGATTTATTGCTCAGAGTTGTCTGGCTCCTGGTTTCTCGACAATGATGGCTAATTTGTTTGCCATGCGATCTTTCAAAACTGTAAATTTTTGCGAAGATCGAGATTTTTTGATGTTGTGTTAGTGTTGTGGTTTGGTTTTTTTTTGGTGGTTTGGATGATTGGGTGGAGCAAATTCGCTCTAGTGAACTATGGGAAAATATTGATTTTTTTTATTCGAAAAAATATCCTGCATGAAATACGTTTCAAAATTTTTATGAATTTTCCGGGAAAATTTTTTTTTTGATTGTGTGAAAACTAAAAATATTAGCCACTTGTAAGCCTAAGACTAATAAGCCTAAGACTAATAAGCCTAAGCCTAATAAGCCTAAGCCTAATAAGCCTAAGCCTAATAAGCCTAAGCCTAATAAGCCTAAGCCTAATAAGCCTAAGCCTAATAAGCCTAAGCCTAATAAGCCCAAGCCTAATAACCCTAAGCCTAATAACCCTAAGCCTAATAAGCCTAAGCCTAATAAGCCTAAGCCTAATAAGCATAAGCCTAATAAGCCTAAGCCTAATAAGCCTAAGCCTAATAAGCCTAAGCCTAATAAGCCTAAGCCTAATAGGCCCAAGCCTAATAACCCTAAGCCTAATAACCCTAAGCCTAATAAGCCTAAGCCTAATAAGCCTAAGCCTAATAAGCCTAAGCCTAATAAGCATAAGCCTAATAACCCTAAGCCTAATAAGCCTAAGCCTAATAAGCCTAAGCCTAATAAGCCTAAGCCTAATAAGCCTAAGCCTAATAAGCCTAAGCCTAATAAGCCTAAGCCTAATAAGCCTAAGCCTAATAGGCCCAAGCCTAATAACCCTAAGCCTAATAACCCTAAGCCTAATAAGCCTAAGCCTAATAAGCCTAAGCCTAATAAGCCTAAGCCTAATAAGCATAAGCCTAATAAGCCTAAGCCTATTAAGCCTAAGCCTGATAAGCCTAAGCCTAAGCCTAATAAGCCTAACCCTAATAAGCCCAAGCCTGATAAGCCTAAGCCTAATAAGCCTAAGCCTAATAAGCCTAAGCCTAATAAGCTTAAGCCTAAATAGCCTCTAACCCTCTGGACTCTCACCCAATCATCCAATTTTCCTCTTGTTCTCTAACCCCGCATTGATTGTTTTTTCTTACTAAACCCAATTTCAGTCGCCTCACACACCAGCCTGGCTGAATGATTATCTACGTGGCGCCGGTATGGAAATGTACACTGAGAGGCTGAGCCCCGCATTTGCCAATATGTCATTTCCCGAAGCGGCAAAGTGAGTTGGCCTAACTTGATTTGGGGTGGTATACTAAAAATTTGTCCATGAAAATTTGTCTAAAAATATCTGAAAATCTCCTAAATTTTAGTCACAAACCACACCCGATTGGCTGAATTTGTATTTGTGTGGGGCCGGAATGGAGATGTACACCGATACATTATCGCATTCTTTTGTCGGAATGTCGTTTCCGGAAGCGGTCGAGTAAGCGCAGAGTGTGTTTGCAAAGACTAACCGCTTTTTGACCCTACTAATTTAAATTTATTATGGAATTAAAAATTTAATTGAAGAAATAATCAGGGTTTTTTTATAAGAAAAAATATTATTGAAATTCTGAAACAGTGGATTTTTTCACTGTTTCAATTTTTCTTCGTCTAGAAGATTAGAAAAGAATTAAATAGAAAATAAATTTTAAAAAAATTTTATTGAAATTTTGAAACAGTGGATTTTTAAAAGACGAAAATGGGAAATTCCAAAAAAAAAAAATTTTTCACTGTTTCAATTTTTCTTTGAAAAATTTTAAAGCATCCTTTATGATGTTTTTATTGAACGATACATTTTCAAATAAATATTTGGGAAATTTTGAAACAGTGGATTTTTTTATAAGACCAAAATTACTTTATATCAGAAATGGACCTGAAATTCTAGGATTTTTGATCAGAAAAGGTTGAAGAAATTCTGAAACAGTGGATTTTTTGAGAAAAAAGTTCAATTCTGAAAATAAATTTTTTTCTCTGTTTCAATCTTCCCCTTATATTTTCAAATTAAAAAGAAAGTTAATAAAGAAAGTTTCAAAAAAAAAATATTATGGAAATTTTGAAACAGTCGATTTTTAAAAGACAAAAAAACGTAATTTTCCTTACAATACATTTTTAAATTAATTTATGATATCTGAAGAATATTTTGATAGGAAGAAAAATTATGGGAAATTTGAAACAGTGTATTTTTTTGGATCTAACGTAAATTTACCTACTCCAATTAAGAATTTTTATCAAAAAAAATTGTGGAATTTCATTTTCAAAAATTATCCGAAAATTCACTGTTTCAAAATTTTTGTAAAATGTTTATTATTTTTATGAATTTGGTATATCGCGCACTGGAAGATTCAGAAAAAATCTAGAAATTCAGAAAAAATCTAGAAATTTTCAGAAATTATCCAATTATCCAAAATTGAAAAAGAAACCTGAAAAAATTGAATAAAATTCACTGTTTCAAAATTTTTATAACATTGTTATCTATTTTCGGATTATTTTGATAATCCAAATGCTTTCGGAATACTGAATAAGTGAAATTTTCAACTGCAGAATCAAAATATTTTGAAAATTTCTCTGTTTTCGAAATTCAAACATTTTCACAGAAATAAAAAATGCAGTTTTTGAAAAATAATTTTTCATTGTTTCAAAATTTCGGTATATTTTACTCAATTTTCCCATGATTCAATGTGCAGTATCTCTCCCATAGATATTTCCACAAGAACAAATATTTATTTAAAAAAAAACCTTGAAAAATTTTTCCCCGGAAAATTTCAAGCAAAAAATAATAGCTGAATTTGAAAATACTTTTCGACATTTCCATCAGAAAATTTCAGCCGAAATAAATTTTCGAAAATTCACTGTTTCAAAATTTTTGTATATTTTTTCTGGATTTTTTTTGAGTTTGATAACACGAATCACCTCTCTCTAACTAACCATTAACTTTTTCAGTTGAAATTGATTTTTTCTAAAATCAAATTTTTGACTAAAATGATATTCTTTCAGAGAGAAAATAGAATGAGAAAATTTTATTGATAATAAAAATCAGCTGAAAATTCACTGTTTCAAAATTTTTCTAATTCAATCATTTTTTTATTTTTTATAATTGATTAATCGATCAAAAACCGAAAAAAAACGTTGAAAACTTTCAAAAAAAATTTAATTTGAAAATTCCAATTGATAAATTTTTCACTGTTTCAAAATTTTTTTATATTTTGGCGGATTTTTATGAGTTTGATTAGTAATTTGAATAATGAACAATAATAAAAATTATAGAAAATCTCCGTATCTGAAAATTCTAGCTCAAACTGAAATTTTTATCTGAAAATTTCAGCCGAAATAAATTTCAGAAAATTTAGTGTTTCAAATTTTTTGTTTAATTTTTCTGAATTGTTTGAGATTGATAAAGCGAATTAACGAAGATTTCCAAATTCAAAATAAAACTTCTGAATCTGAAAATTCCAATTTCAATTGATATTTCCGACAAAAAAATTCCCAAAAATTTACTGTTTCAAAATTTCTGTATACTTTTTCTGAGTTTTTAAGTTTGATGAATTTCTCACTAATGTTCAAAATTAAAGAAACTCGAAAATCCCGGAAATTTCAGCCAAAAAATATACTTTTAAAAAATTACTGTTTCAAAATGTTTGTTTAATTTTTGTGATTTTTTTTGAGTTTGATATGTCGAATGATAAGAATCCAAAATCAACAAATAATATTTGAAGGAAAAGCTATAGCTGTTGTGTTATTTGATTTGTGTTAAATTATAATTTAACACAAATCACCCCTCTCTAACTAACCCTGAACTTTTTAAGCTAAAATTAATTTTTTTCTAAATTCAAGTTTTTGACTGAAATTATATTTTTCAGAGAGAAAATAGAATGAGAAAATTTTATTGATAATAAAAATCACCCGAAAACTCACTTTCAAAAAAATCCCAGAAAATTTAATTGGAAAATTCTAATTGAGAAATTTTTTACTGCTCAAACTCCTCTTTTTTGCGAAAAATCCAAATTTTCAACAATAATTTTTCACTGTTTCAAATTTTTTGTATATTTTGGCGGATTTTTCCTGAGCTTGATACTACTTGGTTATATTCCAAAATTAAAGAAACTCTGAAAACTCCGAAAATTTCAGCCGAAAAAATTAAGAAAAAAAAGTTCCCAAAAATTTACTGTTTCAAATTTTTTGTTTAATTTTTCTGAATCGTTTGAGATTGATAAAGCGAATTAACGAAGATTTCCAAATTCAAAATAAAACTTCTGAATCTGAAAATTCTAATTTCAAAAAATCAGCTGAAAATTCACTGTTTCAAAATTTAGCATAATCGATCAGCGATCTTCTTCAAACCAAAAACCGAAAAAAAACGTTGAAAACTTTCAAAAAAAAATCCCAGAAAATTTAATTCGAAAATTTACTGTTTCAATTTTTTTGTATATTTTGGCGGATTTTTTGAGTTCGATAATAGGTTATTGAAAATTACTGTTTCAAAATATTTGTATGTTTTTCTGGAATTTATATGAGTTTGATTGATTCAAACAAAATTTATTTGAAAATTAAAAAAAAACAAATTTAACACAAATCACCCCTCTAACTCCTCAACCATCAAATTTCCACCCGAAATTAATTTTTTCCCTAATTTTCCAGCCTTCTCTTCAACCGTTTGGGCCTTCTTCTAGTCGCCATCGAACTCAAAGATGAAGAAAGCAAAGAGTGCAACATAGCTATAAATCCAGGTCCAAATATCCTCATCCAACCCCAAACTCAGGGATTTTTCATTGCTCAAAGTGCGGATGAAGTTAAGAGGTGAGATTTTGCTCCAAATCTCTGAAATCCTGAATTAAATTTTCAAATTTAGGGCGTTTTTCTGGTGCAAACAATGTCATGATGATATCAAAGATGTTTCGCTCATAAAAAAATGCAAATGTAAAAATTGTGAGTTGAAAAAACTTTATTTTCAGAATTCTAAAAATTTCCAGCCAAAAAAAAATAATTTCAAATTTTTTTCAGTGGCTCTTTTCCGACGAAACACCAAACATTCAACAAGAGGTATGTTCAATGGGGTTTTAGAGTTGAAAATTTAATTTCAGGTCTGAAATTGAAGGGAAAGGTTGCGAACTTAAAATAAGCCACGCCCATTTTTTTCTGGAATTTTTTGAGCTTCATTTTGACTCCAAATAAGCTCCGCCCACTTTAGTGTGCCGCACAGTTTTTCCAGGAATTTTTTGGGCTTCATTTTGACTCCAAATAAGCTCCGCCCACTTTTGTGTGCCGCACAATTTTTTCTGGAATTTTTTGGGCTTCATTTTGACTCCAAATAAGCTCCGCCCATTTTTGTGTGCCGCACAGTTTTTCCAGGAATTTTTTGAGCTTCATTTTGACTCTAAATAAGCTCCGCCCACTTTTCTGTGCCGCACAGTTTTTCCAGGAATTTTTTGGGCTTCATTTTGACTCCAAATAAGCTCCGCCCATTTTTCTGTGCCGCACAGTTTTTCCAGGAATTTTTTGGGCTGCATTTTGACTCTAAATAAGCTCCGCCCATTTTAGTGTGCCGCACAGTTTTTCCAGGAATTTTTTGGGCTGCATTTTGACTCTAAATAAGCTCCGCCCATTTTAGTGTGCCGCACAGTTTTTCCAGGATTTTTTGGGCTTCATTTTGAGTCCAAATAAGCTCCGCCCATTTTAGTGTGCCGCACAGTTTTTCCAGGAATTTTTTGGGCTGCATTTTGACTCCAAATAAGCTCCGCCCATTTTTGTGTGCCGCACAGTTTTTTCCAGGAATTTTTTGGGCTTCATTTTGTGTCCAAATAAGCTCCGCCCATTTTAGTGTGCCGCACAGTTTTTCCAGGAATTTTTTGGGCTTCATTTTGACTCCAAATAAGCTCCGCCCATTTTTCTGTGCCGCACAGTTTTTCCAGGAATTTTTTGGGCTGCATTTTGACTCTAAATAAGCTCCGCCCATTTTAGTGTGCCGCACAGTTTTTCCAGGAATTTTTTGGGCTGCATTTTGACTCTAAATAAGCTCCGCCCATTTTAGTGTGCCGCACAGTTTTTCCAGGATTTTTTTGGGCTTCATTTTGAGTCCAAATAAGCTCCGCCCATTTTAGTGTGCCGCACAGTTTTTCCAGGATTTTTTTGGGCTTCATTTTGAGTCCAAATAAGCTCCGCCCATTTTAGTGTGCCGCACAGTTTTTCCAGGAATTTTTTGGGCTGCATTTTGACTCCAAATAAGCTCCGCCCATTTTTGTGTGCCGCACAGTTTTTCCAGGAATTTTTTGAGCTTCATTTTGAGTCCAAATAAGCTCCGCCCACTTTTCTGTGCCGCACTATTTTTTGGCGCCAAAATTTGAATTTTTAAATTCTCCGCAACCTTTCCTCAGATTTTCTGACCTGAAATTTGAAATTTGAAATTTGAAATCCAGTTTCAGATTTCCCAATGTGTTTTTTTATTCTCATTTGAATTTGAATATTTCAAAAAAAAAATCTCACATGATTTTTCCCATTTTTTATTTTTTTTCTAGACTACTCGGATTTTGACGCACTGTTCTATCAGAATGACGGTAAACACTTGTTTTTTTTCATTTTTTGCGTATTTTTCTGATCAGTTTTCATTTTTTCCATTCAATTTTCCGTATTTTTCATGTTGTAACGCTTTTTTTCATCCTTTTTTTTGAAGCATGCCATTTTTTTTCGAAATCACCTTTTTTATTTTTGATTTTTCTACTATTCCCACTTCAAATCTATCCGAGGCTTTTTGGATCTACAGTAATCTTTGGGTACTGTAGATTTTGATCTACAGAATTTCGGTAGATCAAATATGATCTAGATTTAATTTTCGCGCCAAAACCTTCTCTAGAGTACTGTAGATTTTTGAGCGTACAAAATTTTGATCTTCAAAAAAAATTGGTTTTTTTTGGATCTTCAGTAATCTCGGAGTACTGTAAGATTTTGATCTATGGAATTTTGGCATTTTTTGAATCACAGGAAATTTTGGAATACTGTAGGTTTAAAATTACTGTAGCGAAAACCGTATCAAGATTACTGTAGCTCAAAAATGATTTCTAGAGTTTTGTATTAAAAGCTTGTCTGGAGTACTGTGGATTTTTTTTTGCTAAAAAATTTGATCTACAGTAAGCAATGAGTACTGTAGTTTTTCTAGAGAATTTCGATGATTTTCAAGAATATAGAAATTAAGCTACCGTAATCTGGAATTTTTTTTTGAAACTACTGTAGCTCTAGATTTTTATGCCGAAACATTCTCTCTAGAATACTGTAAATTTTTGGCACCGAATTTTGATCTACAGTACTCCAGAAAAACTTTCTACAGTACTTTTTGACGACGGAATTTTGGTCTACAGTATGCCAGGCTCCAGATAAGCCACGCCCATTTTTAATCTACAGTATGCCTAGGCGCTATAGTTGGACAACGACTCGACTTGAGTCGACTCGAGTCGACTTGGAGTCGAGTCGTTTGGAAAATACCTTTCGACTCGACTAACGACTCGAGTCGTTTAGTCGAAAAGGTGAGTCGATTAGAAAATGACTCGAGTCGAGTCGAATGGTTTTTTTCGACTCGACTCGACTCCGATGGTCAATTTTCTCATGGTGGGTGGGGCTTCTGTAATATGGTTAAGGTGTTGGCTTAGATGGTGAATATTGGATGGTGATTGGTGGACATGGTGATAGTGCACCAATTGCACCAATAATGGTAAATTGGTGTGATTGGTGCAGTTGGCGCAATTTTAATCATTGGTGGAATTTGTTGAATTGGTGGATGGTGGAATTGGCGAATGGTGCAATTCGCCAATTGGTGTGATTGGTGAAATTCACCAATTGGTGTAGTTGGTGCAATTTCACCAATTGGTGTAGTTGGTGCAATTTCACCAATTGGTGTAGTTGGTGCAATTGGTGCACCTATGACCAAATATACCAATCACACCAATTGGCGAATTGCACCATTCGCCAATTCCACCATCCACCAATTCAACAAATTCCACCAATGGTTAAAATTGCGCCAACTGCACCAATCACACCAATTTACCATTATTGGTGCAATTTGTGTGATTGGTGCACTATCACCATGTCCACCAATCACCATCCAATATTCACCATCTAAGCCAACACCTTAGCCATATTACAAAAGCCCCACCCACCATGAGAAAATTGACCATCGGAGTCGAGTCGAGTCGAAAAAAACCATTCGACTCGACTCGAGTCATTTTCTAATCGACTCACCTTTTCGACTAAACGACTCGAGTCGTTAGTCGAGTCGAAAACAGCTGTCTTATCGACTCCGAGTCGACTTGAGTCGACTTGAGTCGTTGTCCAACTATACTAGGCGCCAACTTGAAAAAATTCAAAAATCTTTTTTTTTCCTCACACATTTTTTCTATCGGGCCGAATGTCTACTCTTCCCTTCCCCTACACACACCTTTCCCCCAAAAATGTGGATTTCTCCCGAAAATTCTGAAAAAAAAATCTGGAAATCATTTTCAGCTCGACCTTCGGATGCCCATCAACAAGCTCAGCAAGGCCAGCAAGTTCAATTGAGGCTTATCAATCAGCAAAGGTATGGGGGATTCTGGAATTTTCAGATAATTGTTTGTAGTTTCGGACCGGCTGATCACGATCCAGGTGGAAAAAATGAGTTAGCTCAACTCGGAGCTGAGTTATGACGTGGCAAAGTTTGGAGGGACTTTGGAAGCTTTGCCACGTCATAACTCGGCTCAGAGTTGAGCTAACTCATTTTTTCCACCTGGATCCAGATCAGCGGCCCCAAAACTACTAAACCTTTTCAGATTTTGTCCAAAAAAATCCTTGGGCCCAAGTTTCCTAGCCTAAAATCCAGTTTCAGTTCGACAAGTGATACGCATCTCAACACAAAATCGCTGCGTTTTGCGTATGAAATCAAAAAACTCATGTAATCCATTTTTTTCGATAGAGAGTATTGTAGTTTTTTCCCTTCTTCTCCTATTTTTCTCGTTTGGCAAGGGAATTTTAGAGCTCGCCGAGCTCTTCAAAATGATGTGAAAATCAGGTTCAGAGCTCCAGGGAGAGCTGAGAAAATGAGCCTTGAGGCGAATGGTGTAGCCGGTTAGTGCGTAAGCCTCTGAGTAAGAGGTCGCGGGTTCGAGTCCACCTGGCGACTACTATTTTTTTTTCAGTAGTTGTCAGGTGGACTCGAACCCGGGACCTTCTGAACAGTATCATAGGTACTTACCGGTTGCACCATTCGAGCTGATTTTTGCAGCATTCTAATCAGCTCGGCGAGCTCTAGAACCCTATAATTCCCTTGTCCAAGAGAAAAAACATTGTAAATCTGTGAGCATGATTTTTTCCACCACCACACACCACCACACCCTTCGCTTTTTTTCTCTCTTCAAATTTCTTTTTTTTTCGAGCACCGAAAGTTTTTTTTTTCAATTTTTTTAGTAGTTACACCACCTTTAGACAGCCTGATTTATGGAAATTTGTGGAAAAAATTTTAAATCTGAATTTTTCAGGCCGAGTTCGGGTGGAAGACGAAATTCGATGAGTATACCGCCGGATGGAAGAGGTGTTGATTTTAATAAGGATTTTGAGCAGCAGGTAGGACATTTCGGGGGGAAATTTGAGAAAATTATGAATTTTGAGCCTAGAAAATCTAAAATTAGTTTTGCAATTGCGAGAGATCAACTTATTAATTTACTGTTTCAAAATTTTAATTATTAAATTTTTGAAACAGTTATTTTTTTCGATTTATGAAAATTATTCCGAATCAAAAAATTTCGAACCTAATTGTATTTCTAAAAATTTTGAAACAGTGAAATTTTTGTCATTTTTCATTATCCCAAAAAAAGGAATTTTGACTGAATTTGAGCTGGGTCCTTAAGCTGTCGAGCAAATTTTTTGAAAACCCCAATTTTATTTCTACTAATTTTGAAACAGTTAATTTTTTCTGACAAAATTCAATAATTTTCGAAAAAAAAATGTTCTTCATTTTTCTAATGTTATTGGAATCAAAAAAAAAAAAACAAATATTTGAAAACCTAATTTTATTTCTGAAAATTTTGAAACAGTGTTTTTTTTACCAAAATTTCTAAAAGTTTTAGAAAAATCTGATGTTTTGACTGAAAAATTGAATTTTTCCTGAATTTTGCGGCCAAAGCTCAGATGTTAGCAATTTTTTTGAAAACTGATTCTCTTTCTCAACATGCAACAAATTTCGAACCTAATCTTTTATTTCTGAAAATTTTGAAACAGTTAATTTTTTTTACAAAATTCAATAATTTTTGAAAAAAATTTTCTCAATTCCTTTGGAAATTAAATCAAAAAAATTCGAAGCTAAGTTTACTTTCATAAAATTTTGAAACAGTGAAATTTTTGGCTCACTTTTCATTAGCCCAGAAAAATCTGGAATTTTGACTGAATTTGACTCGAATTTTTCTGTCGACCAAATTTTTGAAATCCCAATTTTATTTCTGAAAATTTTGAAACAGTGCATTTTTTCGATGAAAAAATTAAAATTAAAAAAAATGTTCTGATTTTTTCTATTGTTAATGGAATCAAAAAATTTTCAACCTGGTTTTGTTTTTAAAGGGTGAAAGAGTGAATTTTTCGATGAAAAAAATTCAATTATTTTCGAAAAAAAAATGTTCTTCATTTTTCTGATGTTTGTAAGAAATTCAAAAAATTTCGTATCTACTCTTTTATTTCTGAAAATTTTAAAACAGTGAATTTTTTGACCAACATTTTCAATAATTTTAGAAAAATCTGACGTTTTGACTGATGGATTGAAAATTTTCTGAATTTTGCGGCCAAAGCTCAGATGTTGGCAATTTTTTTTTGAAAACTGATTCTCTTTCTCAACATGCAACAAATTTCGAACCTAATCTTCCATTTCTAAAAATTTTGAAACAGTTAATTTTTTCTGACAAAATTCAATAATTTTAGAAAAAAGTTTTGACTGAAAAATTAAATTTTTTCTGAATTTTGCATCCAAATAGCTTTCATTGGCAATTTTTTTAACTAATTTTATTTCTGAAAATTTTGAAACAGTTATTTTTTAAAGAGAAAAATTTGATGATTTTTGCTGTAAAATAGATGCCATGATCCAATCAGAATTTTCATGCTATTTTCATCATAAAATAATTTTGAAACAGTGCATTTTTCGTCAACATTTTTAATAATTTTAGAATAATCGTTTTTTGCCTGAAAGATTGAAAATTTACTGAACTTTGCGTCCAATGCATACGATTTTTAGCAATTTTTTTTGAAAACTGATTTTCTTTCTAATAATTTTGAAACAGTGCATTTTTTCAACAACAAAAAATGAAATTCTGTAGAAAACTTATGAATTTGGGAAATTTATGGTTTTCCAGAAAGTTTGGCTGACCAGTTTTCCGAAAAATTTGATTTTAATTTTTGAAAATTTTGAAACAGTAAATTTTTTGAATGAAAAATTTGAACAGGAAACCAAACATCAGAATTAAAAAAAAAAATTTTTCCCATATTTTTGAAACAGTGAATTTTTCTGACTTTTTTAAACTTATTGTTAAAATATTTAGTTTCACGGGAATTTATTTCAAAATAATATTTTTTTTTTCAAGAAATTTTCGAAACAATGAATTTTTGTTGGGAAAAATTAGTGAATTGGAAATGCACACTCAATACGAACATCATTTTTGAACAGTTTTTTTCTCAAATAATTTTTGAAACAGTGAATTATTTCAAGTAGAAAATTATTCAAAATCAAATTCTGAATTCGCCACGTGGAAAAATTTCGAAATTTTGAAAACTTTCATTCAAAAATCGTAGACTGGGTATTTTCAAAACTTAATTTCAACCAGGGTTGGCCATTTCGCCTCTCTCGCCCGGCGAAAAGGCGAACTTCGCCTCGTTTTTCTTCTTTTTTCTTCAAAAACGAGGCGAAACTCGCCTCTTCGCCGGGCGAGAGAGGCGAAATGGCCAAATGGCCATTTTCAACTTACAAATTTTTTGAAACAGTGAATTTTTTGGAGAAAATTTGGATAAAAAATCAATAGAGAAACATTTTTCAAAATCAATTTTTTATATCCAAAATTTTTGAAACAGTGAATTATTTCTAGGACATGAAATACGACAGTACCGGAATGTTCCACTGGTGTCCAAGTCGAAATCTAGAAGATTGTGTTTTGGAAAGACATCAAGCCGCGATGACAGTATTAAATGGACATGTTGTTGTTTGTCTGTTCGCTGATCGAGATTCTCCTTTGATTGGACTTCGCAATTTCATAATGCCCTTGAGATCTTCTAACTTCCATTATCACGAACTCAAACACGTTGTAATAGTTGGCGACTTGGAATATCTTCGAAAAGAATGGAAGACCCTATACAACCTGCCAAAGATCTCAATTTTGAATGGAAGTCCATTATCGCGTGCTGATCTTCGTGCTGTCAACATCAATCTTTGCGACATGTGTGTTATTATATCAGCAAGAGTTCCGAACACTGAAGATACGACGCTAGCGGATAAAGAAGCGATCTTGGCATCACTTAACATCAAGGCGATGCAATTTGATGATACGTTGGGATTTTTCCCGATGAGACATCAGGGAAGTGAGAGAAGCCCGTTGGGAAGTCCGATTTCTATGCAGAAGAAGGGAGCGAAATTTGGCACGAATGTTCCGATGATTACCGAGCTTGTTAATGATTCGAATGTTCAATTTCTAGATCAGGATGATGATGATGATCCGGATACTGAACTTTATTTAACTCAACCTTTCGCGTGTGGAACTGCTTTTGCGATTTCAGTATTGGATTCGTTGATGAGTACGACATATTTCAATGACTCGGCATTGACACTTATCCGAACTCTGGTTACTGGAGGAGCTACCCCTGAACTTGAGTTGATTCTTGCGGAAGGAGCTGGATTGAGAGGTGGATATTCGACGCCGGAAACACTTGCGAATCGTGATCGTTGTCGGATTGCACAGATCTCATTGTTGGATAATCCGTATGAAGGAGTTGGACATAATACGACTTATGGATCGATGTTTACGGTGGCTTTGAGAAGATATGGACAATTGTGTATTGGACTTTATCGATTGCATGATCAGGATAATCCGGATTCGATGAAACGATATGTGATTACGAATCCGCCGGCTGAGTTGAGGATCAGGAATACGGATTATGTAAGGGTTTTTTTTGGAGGGGGGGGGGGGGATTTATTTTGAAAATTTTCTGAAATGTTCAGTCAAAATTTAAAAAAATTTTATATGCTCTGAAATTTGGCTGGTAAAAATCAAACCTCGTAAAATCTCAGAAAAATTATATAAATTTTTTGAAACAGTGAAAAAATATTTTAAATAAAGAATCAAACTGTGGAAATCACAAAAATTCTTATGAAAAATTTGAAACAGTGAGAAAATTTCTATGAAAACATTTTGAAACAGTAATTTTTTCTTGAATTTTTTCAAGCCAAATGATTGAATAAAATTTGAATTTTAAGTTTTTTTCCTGAAATTGAAGCCTCTCGAAATCATATTCAGAATTTCAGAAATTTTCGGCCAAAATTTGATCTGAAAAAATTTTAATAAGCTCTGAAATTTGGCTTTAAAACTTGGGTTACTGTAGCAATTTTCAACGCCAAAAAATTTGAAATACTGTGGATTTTTGGAAATCTCTGAGAAAGCTGATAAAAATCAAACCTCGTAAAATCTCAGAAAAAGTATGTAGATTTTTTGAAACAGTGAGAAAATGTGAGTTTTTTTTTTTATTTTTCGATGCTCAAAGGCCGTATCAATTCTCAAAATCACAGAAAAGCTATACAGAAATTCTGAAACAGTGAAAAAATTTGGATAAATTTTGAAAAGTAGAAAATTTCTATGAAAAAATTTTGAAACAGTAATTTTTCCTTGAATTTTTTCAAGTCAAATAATTGAATCTTCAGATCAAATTTGAATTCCAAATTTTTTTTCATAAAATTATCGCAAAGAAAATTCACATAACAATTTTTGAGACGTTGAGAAATTTCAGATTTTTTGAATACACAAAACCTATCTCATTAAAATCTCTGAAAATCACGAAAAATCACATAGAAATTTTGAAACAGTGAATTTTATTAATTAATTTTCATTTGGACATTCTACGAAAACCGTAACCTATTCAAAGATTACAAAAAAGAAATCAAATATTATTGAAACAGTGAATTTTTTCGCAGCTAAAAAACACAAAAAAACCCCAATTTTTTGCAGGTCTACGTTCTCGAACAATTCGATCCAGGTCTAGAATATGAGCCAGGAAAACGACAATTCTAGAGCTCTAGGACACTAATTTTTTCAATTTGCTCAATTTTGAATTTTTGTTTGAAAACTCACCAAATTTGTTTAATTTATCCCACTTATTCAAAATTCATCTGCTCAAAAATAGATCTGAAATTCATTTGATTTTTCTTAGTTTTGACCAATTTTTTTCTTTTTTTTTGTCTCCGCATTCAATTTTTCAAATAAGGGTATTCCTCGACCATTCTAACGCCATTTTGCCTTGTTTTTTCGATTTTGAAAATAAAATTTTGACTTTTTTGTGGCCAAAAAATTAAAAAACATGATTTATATAGGCACATAAATATCACAAAATCAGGGGGAAATCGATAATTTTTAACATTTCAAAAAAGGTCTTAGGCCCTAAGGCCCTAAGCCCTTAAGGCCCAAGCCCAAAAGCCTAATCCTTGGATTTAGCTGTATAATACATCCAATAGATCAGATTACAAAATGTAAAAGTGATGGGAAAAAGTTTTTGACAAAATCGATCCATGTCTTCGCCATTCCAACGATGAAACAGTTTTCCGGAGACGAGGCGTTTCCGACGCTTCCGCGAATTGTTCCGCTGACGCACGAAGACTAGCATCTGAAAATTGGGTTGGTAAGGTCATTTTTAAGGGTTTTAGCTGGAAATTTTGAGTTGTTAGGGTAGTATGAAGTTCTTAAAGTAAATTTTAAAGTTAGAAGACATTTAGAGTCCTAAAAGCTTAAAAGCTAGATAGATTATAATGTAGCCTAAAATTTAAGTTTAAAATTTTTAATTCTAATTATCCTCATTAAATCCCCGCCGGATCATTTTCCAACAATTTTCAATTTTTAATATGTAATTTTTGAAACAGTGAATTTTTTTGGCCAAATTTCGCATTAAAATCCTTTAAAAATATTTCGAAAAATTCACTGTTTCAAAATTTTTAGAATAAAAATTGAAAATTGTTGGAAAATGTTTTTGAGTTTCAAGCCACCCATTTTAAAAAAAACCTGAATTTCACATTGAATTCGAAATTCGTAATTTTCAATTTCAAAAAATTTACTGTTTCAAAGGTTTAATATCGAAAAAGTTAAGATTTTCAAAAAATTCTCAATTTTTATATGAAATTTTTGAAACAGTGAATTTTTTTGGGATTATTTTCCGTTGTTGAAAATACTTTTGGTAATTCTGTTATTAAGTAAAAGCTTCAAAAAACCGTGTTACGAAAAAAAAAAATAAAAAAATTTTTTTCTTTACAACGACACTCCGCTGTCACTCTGCCCATTGTTTAGCGTATTAGCGCGTTGCCAACACGATTTTTATTTTTTATTTATTTTTTTCTTTTTCTTTTTTTTCGAAGCTGTAAATTGGATGAAAATGTGAAGAATAAGTTGAAATTTTGAAAAATGAGTGAGTTTTTCGAGAAAATTTGAATTTTATTGGAAATGTTGGGTTTTTAGGTGATGAAATTCAGAAGGAGGAACAAAGTTTGCGATTTTGAAGCGAAAATAATGGAAATGTGGAAGATTTTGGAGTTTTCGAAGCGAATTTTGTGAGTTTTTTGGGGCTGGGTTTGAAAAATATTTGAAAAAAAATACTGAAAATTCTTCTGGAAAATTGTAAGACGCCAAATTTTAGCGCTGAAAATTAGGAGTGTTTTGAGTTAAATACCTTAAGCTAAATAAGTTTGACCTAAAGTTTTGATTTAAATTTTTTGAATTGAACTAATTTTCCCACAGCATTTTCCAAAAATTCTCAATTTTTGATATGAAAATTTTGAAACAGTGGAATTTTTTGAGTTTTTGTTGGTGTTGAAAAAGTTCTGGTAACTTCCAGCTAAAAAAATAGTTTTCTTCTCAAAAAAAATTCACTGTTTCAAAATTTTAAGATAGAAAATTGAAAAGCTCTCAAAAATGTTTAGGTGTGAGGATAATAGGAAAAACAAAATAATTTTCCGCTGAATTTTTATGCGAATTTTCGAATTTTGTACAGTTACCCTAACTTTAGTTTGTTTTCCTAACATAACTGAATTCTTGGTTTTTAAAGTTTCTAGGGAGATCGTAAAACAACAATAACGTTTTGCTCAATTTTTCAATTTTTAATATAAAATTAAAAACTATCATAACATTTTCCAACAAATCTCAATTTTTATTATGAAAATTTTGAAACAGTGAATTTTTTGGGATTTTTTTGGTGTTGAAAAGGTTTTGGTAACGTTCAGTACAAGCTAAAAATAAGTGTTTTTCTCAAAAAACTTCACTGTTTCAAAATTTTAATATAGAAAAATGATAAATTCTCAAAAATGTTAAACATTGGTAAAAAAAACTATTCGAATTAAATTTCCGCTAAAGTTTTATCCTAACTTTGTTCATTTTTTGCTGGCTTCTGAATTCTGGAGTTGCCCTAACTTTTGTTTTCTCCTAATATAAGTGAATTCTTGGATTTTCAAGTGTCTGGGGTCATTTTGTTCATCATTTTCCAACAATTCTCAATTTTTCATATGAAAGTTTTGAAACAGTGAGATTTTTTTGGGATTTTTTTTTTATGTTGAAAAGGTTTTGGTAAAGTTCAGTAAAACCTAAAAAAAATAGTTTTCTTCTCAAAAAACTTCACTGTTTCAAAATTTTCATAAGAAAAATAAACAAGTTTATAAAAATGTTGAGGATATTTACAATAATAGAAGACATATTTTCAAACAAAAAGTTTTCCTTACAACGACACTCCGCTGTCACTTTGCCCATTGTTTAGCGTATTAGCGCGTTGCCAACACGACTTTTTATTGATTTTTCTCTCTTTCTGATTTTGTTTCAAGTACAAAAAATATTATTCAATGTTTCAGATCATTCCAAGCTGAAAACTGGATGAAAATGTGAAGATGAAGTTGAAATTTTGAAAAATAAGTGAGTTTTTTTGAGAAAATTTGAATTTTTTTGAAAAATGTTGTGTTTTCAGGTGATGGAATTCAATATGAGGAACAAAGTTTGCGATTTTGAAGCGAAAATTATGGAAATGTTGAGGATTTGCGATTTTTCGAAGTGAATTTCGTGAGTTTTTTGGGGCTGGGTTTGAAAAATATTTGAAAATTCCTTCTGGAAAATTGTAAGACGCCAAATTTTAGCCCTGAAAATTAGGAGTGTTTTGAGTTCATCTAAAATTTTTATTTAAATTTTCTGAATTCAAGTGGATATAACTACAAAATCTCTAGCATTTTCCAACAATTCCAAATTTTTGATATGAAATTTTTGAAACAGTGAATTGTTTTGAATTTTTTTTGGTGTTGAAAAGGTTTTGGTGAATTTTTATCCAAATTTTCGAATTTTGTACAGTATTCTTCCATTTTCTAATTCTGGAGCTGTCCTAACTTCAGTTTTTTTCCTAACATAACTGAATTCTTGGATTTTCAAATTTCTAGGGAGATCTTGAGAAACAGTGAATTTTTTTGGATTTTTTTTTTTGGTGTTGAGAAGGTTTTTGGTAATTTTCAGTACAAGCTAAACAACTAGTTTTCTTCTCAAAAAAATGTCACTGTTTCAAAATTTTAATATAGAAAATCGACAAGTTCTCAAAAATGTTAATGTTGGTATAATTTCCCGCCGAATTTTTATGCGAATTTTCGAATTTTGTACAGTTTTCTCTAATTTTTGAATTCTGAAGTTGCCCTGCCCTAACTTTAGTTTTTTCCTAACATAAGTGAATTCTTGGATTTTCAAGTTTCTAGGATGATCTTAAAACCACATAGAAAATAATAGAACAATTTTTGCTGTTGTCCCGTGTTTGCAGACTCGAAAAAAGCTCGTCTCGTTTTCACGTTTTTCCACGTGTCAGAGAAATTTCGTTCTTTTTTCCATTTAAATTTTGAGAATGCGCCGCAAATTGCAAAAAAAAGAGCGGAGTCGTGTGTCTTCACGCGGTCAGAACAATGAGTCCGCAATTTCACGTGAAAAAGAAAAATGTTTTATTTTTTTCTATGTGTAAAACTACAATAACATTTTGCAACGATTCTCAATTTTTATTATGAAAATTTTGAAACAGTGAATTTTTTTGAATAATTTTTTTTCGCTGTTGAAAAGGGTTCGGTGACTTTCAGTACAAGCTAAAACAATATTTTTCTTCTCAAAAAACTTCACTGTTTCAAAATTTTAATATAGAAAATTGACAAGTTTTCAAAAATGATCGGGGTTTGGAATTCATAAGAAAAATATTTTTTCGCTGAATTTTTATGCGAATTTTCGAATTTTGTACAGTTACCCTAACTTTAGTTTTTTTCTAACATAAATGAATTCTTGGATTTTCAAGTTTCTAGGTACATCGTTTAATTCCTATAGCATTTTACAACAATTCTCAATTTTTATTATGAAAATTTTGAAACAGTGAATTTTTTTTTGAATTTTTTTGGTGTTGAAAAAGTTTTGGTAACTTTCAGTACAAGCTAAAAACAATAGTTTTATTCTTAAAAATTTCACTGTTTCAAAATTTCAATATAGAAAATTGAAAAGTTCTAAAAATGTTGAGGGTTATTCACACTTTGGAGTTGTCCTAACTTAAATTTTCACATGTTTCTCGTGTCGCACCTTATTATTCGAATCATTATCCATTTCCGCATGATGATCATTCTCAGGCGGTTTCGGTTCGGGACACTCAACATATGTCCGTTCCGTCCATTCCGGTCGTGTTTTCGGCCATTCGCCCCCGTCTTCTGGACTTGCACATTCCGAATATTGATGATGATGTCGAGCTCCCTAGAAAAAGAGCACACATTAATGCTCATTTTAAGTGCCTCCGGGCCTCTTTTTTTGCACATGCTTGACTGGATTTTGTGTGTGGTGGTGGTAGGCGATTTGGTGTTTGGACTTTGCATTAATTAATTAATTATGCCCACTGGTTTTGAGCCAAAAACTTTGGAGCCGATTTTTTTAATAACTTACATATCCGGATTTGAAAGACTTTGTAGAAAATGTCCGCTGAAACACATTTCGCTTGATCTCGTCGTCAGACATAAATTCATCGCCTTGTCTGCAAAAAAATAGAATTTTTTTGAGCTATGACGTGGCAAGATATTTTTTTTTTGAGAAAGAATTATCTAATCAATTCAAAATTTATAATTTTTGATTTCAATTTTTTTTGAAACAGTGAATTTTTTGAAAAAAAAAACGAAATTTGCTTATCAATTTTCCACAAGCCTCAAATAATTTTACAAAAATTTTGAAACAGTAAATTTTTTTGAAGCGGAAGAAGCTTGCGGAATGACGTGGAAAATTTTCTAAAAGATTATTCAAATAAACAAATATTGTTAAAATCAATTAAAAAATTATAATTTGTTGATTATAATTTTTTTGAAACAGTGAATTTTTTGCAGTAGCATTTAAATTAGGCTTATATTTATCATTTTTGCAAAAAATCTTGAAAAATTATGTAACAAATTTGAAACAGTGAATTTTTCTGTTACAAATAGGTTGAGTCTTGAGCACTTTTGCCTCGCAGAAGATTTCGGTAGCAATTTTTTAAAGAATGGATCAATGAACCATTTTTAAAAAGGTAAATGTAATAACATCCCAAGCAATCAAAAAATGCATTAAAACTTTTTGAAACAGTGAATTTTTTCAATAAGAAATAACACCTTTTCTCGCATTATCAGTTTTCCACAAGCCTCAAAAATTTTTAGAATAAATTTGAAACAGTAAATTTTCCACTACTCAGGAAAAAATTAGCGACGGTGCCATACATGTTTTTCTCTCCGGAAGGCCCTTCGGGTTAAAGACCCCTTTTTGTCAAAAATGAAAAAGTTAAAGACCCTCCATCGGAAAAATGAAGAACAAAAATACTGCCAAAAATCAAAGTAAAAGCTCTAGCCCAGAACCGAACCTTTGTAGCTGGATTAGAAAGCGCGAGGCTAACCGACTGCTCTATGCTCTCGTTGTTTTCTCCTCCTTTGTTTTCCCTTGTTATGCAACACACGCACTCATCTTTTTTCTTTTTTTTTTAGTTTTTTTCACAGACAATTCAAATCAAAAGCAAAACTTAACAGCTTAACGGCAACCAAATGAGCTAAAAATTTTCACAGCTCTACTTCAAGATATTTCACAGGGTTCGAAGACCTAAAAACCTCCAATAAAGACCGTTTTAAGGGAAATAAAGACCTATCCGGAAAAGTATAGGATGACACTATACTTTTCCGGATAGGTCTTTATTTCCCTTAAAACGGTCTTTATTTGAAAGTTTTAGGTTTTCGAACCCTGTGAAATATCTTGAAGTAGAGCTGTGAAAATTTTTAGCTCATTTGGTTGCCGTTAAGCTGTTAAGTTTTGCTTTTGATTTGAATTGTCTGTGAAAAAAACGAAAAGAAAAGAAAAAAATGATGTGGGCGGAGCCAGGTGCAATGAGAGATATGGTGTGTGGCGCTACCAGCGAACTGTCGGCGATGAGAGATATTGAAATATTTCGCGTGATTTGAGAATGAATCAAGGCGAAATTCTTGTGGAAACCCTGCTCCTCTTTGAAAGAAGAAGTTGATGCAGAGGTAATTTTGATGACTTGAGAAAATAATAGTAATTTTTTCATAAAAGTTAAGGACCTATTTTTCATGAAAAATAAAAAAGTTAACGACCCTTTTTTATACTTTTCCGGACCAAAAACATGTATGGACGGTGCCGCGACTTTTTGACGTTTTGCGATGGTACCGGTACCTTTTTGCCTTGGTACCGAACCCTTTTGCACTTTGGACTGGTACCGAACCAGTTCGGTACCCGTGCGAAATTTTCAAAAGTGATTATCAAACAAAAAAGGTAATGCACTGGTACCGAACTAAAGTTCCGCTCTTGTGCAAAAAAGTACTTAGCGATTGTTTGAGTGCGGTGTGTCGTATACGACTGAAACGAAAAACGTTGAGAACCCTTTTAAATTTTCACATCATTTTTGAAAAAATATAGTTCTTCGAATGTCTAGCGGCATATTATCGTCATGTGCCAGTCAATTTTCAAATAGTTTTCTCATTTCTACTTTTGGAGTTTTTGCGCCGTAAGAAAGAAAAAAACTCGACATTTGAAGAATGAAGAATGAAAGAAAATGTGATATTTTCCATTGAAAAGTAAAATTGTGATATGTATTTCGCTATTTTTCCTATGGAAATGTGAAAATTTAACATCAAATTCATCTAGCGTCAATTCCACAGAGTGTAATTTACTACCCGAAAAATTTCGCGCATTTTTTGAGACCTGACACGATCTTAGGGGTGGGACTAAAATCGACAAAATTCAACGCAAAAACGAGAGATTTAGAGAAAAATGATTTTTGATCTACCCAAAAATTAATGAAAAATTTGAGGTCTAGCGATTTGAGGTAGTAACTTACACCCTGTGTTCCAATAGGAAAATACGTCTGTCCTCAATGCTTTCATCGAAAATTCAATATCAAAATCTCACAATACGTTTTTAGAACAAAAATCATGACAATTTTCAATAAATCTCTTCTCAAAAACGATGATTTTCCGCCCGATATTCAAAAACATTGTTGAAATGTGTTTTCAAAAAAGTTTAACATATGATTATGCTTGATTCTTGATTCTCAATCCGAATATCGCACCAGTTTTCATTAAAATCGTACTTTTCGTAGTCTTAAACGAAAAGGCCATCTCGGGTCACACAAGAAAGTGTGCAATTGCGCGTAAACTTGTGTGTGTAGTACGCAGAAGCAGAAAAACATGTTTTTTTTTCGTTTTGTTTCTTTTCAACGCTTTTCTTGTTTTTTTCTAGGTTTCGATGTAATTCTTTGTTTTCAGATAGTCGAAAATCGCTGTGCGAAAAGGAAATTACAGTTGACAAATTTTGCTCCAACAATTCTTGGCTATAAGAGGCGAAAAGACGACATATTTCAATGAACACACAATCGGCGTCTCTTCAGGTTTGATTTTTATGTATTGTCTTTCGAAAACTCAGAAAACCGTAGGTTCAATGATTAATTTCAGATCGAAATGATTGAAATATCATGTGGAACAACAAAGAAATCGAACGAAACGAGGAAAACATCCTGAAGAGCTTCCCAATGCAATGGAAAATGTTCAAATGGTCAATTCACCGCGATCTTCAGAGAAAACTAGAAGGTGAGTGTTTTTAATATAATATCTACTTACTTTTTAGAAAGTATGAGATATTCCTGGGAAATGTAGTTTATTAAAAGAAGTATTGTGATTCATTTCCTTATTTCTACAACTAATTTCCTATGATTTTTGATTGTCTTCGAAATTTCCACTAAAAATATGAAAACTGGGTTGAAAGCAACACAGAAAATTTGAAAGTAACTTCAGACTTCCATTTATCATTTATATTTTACAGATTTCCTCAAACGTGACGTGGAATCTGCAATCAACAACAAATCACTCCAAACCTGAACGAAGACGCCTTAATTCGTTAATTTTTCCTGTATTTGACAGTCAATAAACGTTATTGTCAAACTGTGTAATGTTAGTTGTGGTTTTTAAAGCTCATTTTCAAGCGGCGAACCGCTTTTATCCTGCATATACCCAATGCAAAATGCGTAAATTTTGCACCGGTGCGGATCGACTAAAACCTAAATGCACTGGTACCGAACATATTTTGTTCGGGTGCCGTACGCTTTTCGCCCTGGTGCAGCGACGGGGCGGGTACTTTGACAAAATGAGTTCGGTACCAGGGCCGATAAGGTTCGGTACCATCGCTAATTTTTTCCTGAGTAGCCTCAAATAATTTTACAAAAAATTTTGAAACAGTTAATTTTTCTGAAGCGAAAGCTTGCGGAATGACGTGGCAAAATATTCTATAGATTTCAATAAACAAATAAATTAATTTTAATTTTAAATTTAAATTTTTTTTGAAACAGTGAATTTTTTGCAGTAGCATTTCGGCTTATATTTACCACTTTTGCAAAAATCATGAAAAATTATGCAAGAAATTTGAAACAGTGAATTTTTCTGTTACAATTAGGTTGAGCCTAAGGCCGTGCCGCTTCGCGGAAGCTTGCGGTCAACACTCGCGCCGTAGGCGCTCGCCACGTCATAACCATCTCCCAAGTTAGCCTAACTCACTTGATCCTCCTCTGCTCCAACGATCCAACCACAGCCAATTCAACAATACTCAAAAATATATAAACAATACATCCGAACATGAACAAATCCAGACCTTTCACGTAGGAAACCTGAAAATAATTTTAAATTTTTGTGACTCAGCTGAAAATTTCAGACAAGCGGGTGATTTTTTTCAGACAAAGAAAAAGCGTGCTGAAAATGTGTGCTATTAAACATGGGATAAATACCGATTCCAGTAAACTTGAAGCTACTTGGAAGTTCTAAAAAAATGTTTTGCCTGAAATTTGAGGGGATTTTGGAGAGGAACTGGCTGAAAATGGGGAGGAAATTTTGAAAAAAATTCACTGTTTCAGAATTTTTCGAAATATTATTCGTATCAAAAAATTCTGATTTTCTTATAGTTTTTGGTGGTCGAAAAATAATTCCAAATTTAGTTTGAAAAAAATTTAATTTCAAATCGAAAAAGTTGACTGTTTCAAAAAGTTTTGAAATATTTTCAAGACTGAAAAATTACAATACCTTTTTGACAGTTTCGGCAAAAAATGGTTGATTTTTCACATTTTTCGAATTTAAAAATTCACTGTTTCAAAATTTTCAGATAACTTCTCTGGCCAAAAAAAAACCCCAATTAACCGCATGCTCCAGCATTTATCTAACATAAAAAAGAGAAAAAAAATATTTTTTTGGATCCGTGTAATTTAAAAAAAACCTATTTTTTGTGTGGGAGATATCCACTGTTTCAAAATTTTCTGATAATTTTTCTGGTCAGGAAACTCCAATAAAAAAGAGTTTAAAAAATTAAAAAATCACTGTTTCAAAATTTCTAGAACAATTTGAAAGAATATTGGATTTCCGATACTTCGATTATTTTTTTTTCAGAAAAAATTCACTGTTTCAAAATTTGTAGGAATTTTTTCTGGTCAAAAAATCCAATCTTATAATTTCAATTTTTTCAACACAAAATCAACTTTTCGCACCAAAAAATCTAGAATTTTCACAATTTTTTGGATTCAAAAATTCACTGTTTCAAATTTTTCTGATAAATTTTCTGACCAAACAAACTCCAATAAGTGAATAAAAATTCAAAATTTCACTGTTTCAAAATTTCTAGAACAATTTGAAAGAATACTGATTTTTTGATAATTTTAGACTATTTTTGTTCAGAAAAAATTCACTGTTTCGAAATTTGTAGAAATTTTTTCTGGTCAAATAAATTCAATTATAATTTTCATTTTGGTTTCAAATTTTTCTCTTAATTTTTCTGCTCAAGGAAACTCCAATAAAAAAGAGTTTAAAAAAAATAAAAAATTATTATTAAAAATTATACTGTTTCAAAAAAAAAATTACTGTTTCAAAATTAGAGGAAATTGAGAGCATATTTTCGACAATCGTTCAATGAAAATCACTTTCAAAATTAAAAAAAAAATGATTTTCAACTGAAAATCTTTTTCAGAAGCTTTGAGTTCAATCTCTCACAACTTTTGAATGTTTTTTTCTTCAGAAAAAAAATCACTGTTTCAAAACTTGTAGAAAACTTTGAACCATTGTGATTTTCTAATGAGTGCTTTTTTATTTTAACTAAAATTTGATTGTTCCAAAATTCAGTGATCTTAAGGAATCTGAAAATTACCTTAAGGTCTCTAGAAAGCCACAAAACCCCCAATTTCCAGCCAGTATCCCACCAAAAATCCCCTCTCAACTTCCCCTAACTCACCTTAGGCAAACTCCTCGAAACATTAGAGTACTGTAATGTTAGCGCCATCAAAGAGCTGACTCCAAGCGTAACTCTTGCCGGTAAACTTCGTCGATCCAACCAAAAAGAAATCCATGAGATTAGAACCATACAATAAGTGGGAAGGTAGATTTGAAGAATGTAGAACCCGTAAGAACGCCGGAAAAATAGTTTGATGTTGAGCTGCAAGGAAAATTTGAATTTGAGTTTTTTGCGCGAATTTTTTGAGTCCGAATTTGATCTGACCCCGTTTTCTCGCCAAAAAACAAAGAAAGTTCAACGATTTTTGACCAGGGTGATCTATCAATCAAAAACATTTTCACACTTTTTGTTATTTTACAAAAAAAAAAATGAAAATGTCCTGAAAAATGTGTCAGGCAAAATGATTGATGTTGTGTTTTGTTTTTATTTGAGCTACGAAATTTTTTTCCTCGGTCAGATGATGAATTAGTTGATCGGAGAATGATTTTTGAAGGTTTTTCCGTAGCGAGAATTTTTTTGAACTGAAAAGTAAAAAAATTTTCAATGTAAAAATTCACTGTTTCAAAAATTTTTTATAATTTTTGAAACATTTTGGCTAACAATTCAGTGTCTCAATATACTAGAGGAATAGCACTATGAATTGGGAAAAATTCACTGTTTCAAAAATTTTTCAGAATTTTTAAAATATTTTGCCGACCATTTCGAATTCGTAAAAAATTGGACAAAATGATTTTGCAACTTTTGAAAAGTTCAGATTATTTTTTTACGAAATTTTTCACATGTATAACTATTGACGAGAGTAAATCTAATTTTTTTTTTGAAAAAAAAATCAAGAAATTTTGAAACAGTGATTTTTTTTCCAAATTTCTAGAAAAATTTGCTATTTTTGATTCCAGATGTTTGACACATCATAGCTCTATTTAAAAAAAAATTGTTGAGAAAAAATTCACTGTTTCAAAATTTTTTAATAAAAAAAAGATTATCGAACAAAAAATAATTAATATGAGAGCGTCCAAAAATCAAGAAACTTTGAAACAGCGAATTTTTTTTTGTTGAAAAAAAATTTAAAAAATTAACTGCAACTCAAGATTTTCTGCCACGTCATAGCACATTGGTCAAATTTGACAAAAAAATTCACTGTTTCAAAAATTTCTCTAATTTTTGAGAAATTTTGGAGGACAATGTTGGTTTAGTGTTTTGTTGTAAAATAAAATGAAAAAATGACTATGACGTGGCAAAAATTTGATTTATAATTAGAAAAATTGCTGTTTCAGAATTTATTCTTTAGAAATTTTGAATTTTTTGAAAAAAAACAGAACCACTGGCAAATTAAAAAAAATACGAAAATGTGGAAAATTTAGAAATTTTGAAAGAGTGAATTTTTTTTTTTGAAATTTTTCTCAAAAATTTTTTGCAGTGACTGAGAATTTTAGGAGTCTGAAAATTCCACAGTAATCAATTAGGTTTTAAAAAATTCCTAAAATTCTTGAGAAAAAAAATTCACTGTTTCAAAATTCTTTTTAATTCTTGGCGTTTTTCTTGCTTTCGTTAGATGTTTTGCAAAGATCTATGCTAAAATTCAGAATTTTTTGCCCCAAAAAAAAGCCCAAAAACAAACCTGATCCCAAACTCCGGCCGGATAAATAAACGTGGCTTTCTCATGAATAAAAGTGGTCATATGAAAATCGGGCAACTTTACTTCATCAATAAATTCAACAGGTTGTCCCTGCCTTTTCCAATGTAGCCTAACTTTTCCCACATTAAAAGCGTAGCTCTCAAAAATCGTTGTGCACATCACACGATCCATTGGGAAGAAGCTGAAATCCATTTCGCACGGTGATTCAACTACCACACGATAATTCATCCAAACTGTGCCATTTGGGAAAATGGCCAGAAATATGTTGGGTGTTGGACTTTTGTGAATTGTGGAACCTTTTGAATTGACTATACAGACATTTGGAAGCCAAATTGTGTCGACCATTCGATGTGATAATGAGAGATTTGTTAGGCATTGAGCACCGTCTTCGTGCTGGAATTTTTTGAGGAGTTTGGGGAACTTTGGAGGGTTTTAGTGTGAAAATTCTGATTTTTCATGAATTTTTGGTTCGGTTTGGGAAATTTTGAGGAGTTAGAAGAACTCTGGGAGAATTTTAGTGTAAAAATTCGGATTTTTCACAAAATTTTGGCCGGGATTCAAAGAATTTCCAGATTTCAACTGAAATTTTGGGATTTTTGAGAGTTAGAGGAACTTTGGGGGATTTTGGTGTGAAAATTCGGATTTTTCACAAAATTTTGGCCAGGGTTGATGATTTCCATAATGGTTTGATGAATTCAGAGAATATTCAGATTTAAAATGAAATTTTTGGAGTTTTGAAGAGTTAGGGGAACTTTGGAGGGTTTTAGTGTGAAAATTCGGGTTTTTCATGAATTTTTGGTTTGGTTTAAAAAAATCCACGTGGATTTTGGGCTCCAAAAAGATTTGGGGAATTTTGAGGAGTTAGGGGAACTTTGAGAGGATTTTAGAGTGAAAATTCGGATTTTTCACAAAAATTTGGCCGGGATTTTTTAATTGATTTTCATTATGGCTTGATGAATTCTGAGAATTTTTAGATTTCACTGAAATTTAAGGATTTTCGAGAGTTAGAGGAACTCTGGGAGGATTTTAGCGTGAAAAATCTGATTTTTCTTAAAATTTTGACCAGGGTTCGTGATTTCCATTATGGTTTGATGTATTCAAAGAACTTTTTAAATTTAAAACGAATTTTTGGGATTATTGAGAGTTAGGTGAACTTTGAGGGGTTTTGATGTGAAATTTCAGACTTAAAATGAAATTTTGGGATTTTCGAGAGTTAGGGGAACTTTGAGAGATTTTATTGTGAAAATTCTGATTTTTCACAAAATTTTGGCCGGGATTCAGAGAATTTTTAGATTTCAACTGAAATTTCGGAATTTTGAGGACTTAGGAGAACTCTGGGATGATTTTTGTACGAAAATTCGGATTTTTCACAAAATTTTGGTCCTTTCTAGTTAATTTTTATGCCGATTTGGTCAATTCAGAGAATTTCTGGATTTTTACTGAACTTTTGAGGAGATTTGAGGAGTTAGAGGAACTCTGGGATGATTTTCGCACAAAAATTCCGATTTTTCACAAAATTTTAGCAGGGATTCGGAGAATTTTGAGATTTTTTGAAATTTTCGAGAATTAGAGGAGTTAGAGGAACTCTGAAAAGATTTTAGTGTGAAAATTCGGATTTTTCATGAAATTTCGGTCCTTTCTAATTAATTTTTATGCCGATTTGGTGAATTCAGAGAATTTTCTAACTTCTGAAAAAGCCACGTTAATTTTTGGCTCAACAAAATTTGGTACGTGGCATTTTCCGATTTTTTCTGACCCGGAACATTTTTCTCGTGCTGAAAATTAATTAGCCTAACTAGAGTCTAGTTAGGCGATGGAATCCAAACAGGACCAAAATTTAAAAATCAGAAATTTTGGTGCCAAACTTTTTAGGCTGAAAAAAGCCCCCGAAAAAAATTCCACGTCATTTTTTGACCTCAATTTTCTCCCAGAAAGACCAATCCATCAAAATCACATTCAGGAAGCGATTAAAAATTTTTTTTGTATAAGTAGTAAAAAAAAATTAAAAAATTATTATTATGTCTACCCCCGCGCATTTCCCGTCTTTTGTCACTCACCTCAAACGACAAACCGGGATCATGCCAAATTTGACTGAACAAAATGTGCATTGTACTTGCCGACTGAATTTCTGAGATCTCCGAGACTCGTTGAATCAACAATTCCACGTCGACATCGACACCCTTCATTTTTGGAACCATGTTTCTGTCGTATTTGTTGAGAACGTCTTGGAGAATTCTGAAAATATCAGGATGAATTTAGGCTAACTACGTGGATTTTCAAGGGGCCCTTGGAATTTGCGATTTTTTGAGACCAAACATGACTGCCACGTGGATTTTCGATGAATCAAATAGTCTGAAGTCTTTAATAAACTTCGAAATTTCAAATTTTTGTTAGAAAAACCTTGAAACAGTGAATTTTTCCGAAAAACAGAACAAAATTTTGAAAGTTATAAGAAAAAATGCCACGTGGCAAAAAGTAATTTGGAGCCCGAAAATCTTGCTCTCAGAATTTTTTGGCTTGGAAAATTCAGAATTTTTCCCTAAAACTTCACTGTTTCAAAAATTTCTGAATCAAAATTTCAGAGAATGTTTAAAATAATTTTTCACTGTTTCATAATTAATTATAAGTTTTTTAAATTTGGAAAATTTTGTTTATGATATCAATGACGTTTCACATTATCAAATTTTTTTTATTTTTTAAAATTTCACTGTTTCAAAAGCTGCTGATTAACAATTCTGAAAGTTTTCTGTGATTTAAAGCCGCTGCATATTGTAAAATGTAATTTTCACTGTTTCAAAATTTGGAAGAGAAAAATAATTTAAAATTTCAATTTTCAGATTCATAAAAATTTTCGTATTCTGAAAATGTTCTTAATCAGAACATGTTAAAAATATTTCAGAATGTTTTATAAAAATTTCACTGTTTCAAAAATTTTTGAATTGAAATGCTAATAGGTTTTTGTGATTTCAATCTCCTGTTTATTGTAAAATGTAATTTTGACTGTTTCAAAATTTTGAAGAGAAAAAATATTCAAAAGTTCAATTCTCAGAAATTTCCAGAAAATTTTTATGAAAAAAAAAAATTAGGACAAAAATCTCTAGAAAAGTTCACTGTTTCAAAAATTTTTGAACTTTGAAGAAATTTTTATGGTGGATTGATTCTTGGTAACGGAAATGTTATAATTTTTCACTGTTTCAAATTATTTATAACTTTTGCTGTATTCTGAAAATTTTGTTAGTAACCACGCAAAATTTTTAAAAATTTCACTGTTTCAAAAGTTGCTGAATAAAAATTTTAAAAGTTTTCTGTGATACTAAACAGATGTTTCATTTTCATGTAATTTTAACTGTTTCCAAAATTTTAGACGAAAAATATTCAAAAGTTCAATTTTCAGAAATTTCCAGAAAATTTTCTCAAAATTATGAAAGAAATTTAGGACAATAATCTCTAGAAAAGTTCACTGTTTCAAAAATTTCTGAATCGAAATTTCGAGAAATTTTTATGGTTTTTCTTTGTTTTACAGAGCAGAATTGTTGTAATTTTTCACTGTTTCAAATTATTAATAAACTTTTTTAAATTTGGAAAATTTTGTTTATGATATTAATGACGATTCACATTATGAAAATGTTTTTTATTTTTCTAAATTTCACTGTTTCAAAAATTTTTGAATTAAAATGCTAAGAGTTTTATGTGATTTCAAATTTCTGTTTCTTGCATAATTTTCACTGTTTCAAAATTTCAGCGAAAAAAAATTCAATTTTCAGAAATTTCCAGAAAATTTTCTGAAAATTATGAAAAAAAAAATTTTGGAAAAAAAACTCTCTAGAAAATTCACTATTTCAAAAATTTCTGAATTTGAAATTCTAAAAGTTTTCTGTGATTTTATCCCTTCTTCTTCGTTAAAGTTAAAGTTGAGTCTTTTTCACTGTTTCAAATTATTAATAAACTTTTTTATATTCTGAAAATTTTGTTAATTAGATGTTTCCGTATGTGAGATAAATTTCAGAATTTCTTTTAAAAATTCACTAATTCAAAAATTTCTGAATTTGAAATGTAGGATTTCCCTTTGCTTTTTGAAAGTTGAAAGTTTGTAAAATGTAATTTTCACTGTTTCAAAATTTTGAAAAGAAAAAATATTAAAAAGCTCGGTTTTCAAAAACTTTACTGAAAATTATTTTTAAAAAATTAGGAAAAAACTCTCTAGAAAATTCACTGTTTCAAAAATTTCTGAATTGAAATTTTGGGAAATTTTTATGGTAGATTGTAATCTTATAATTTTTCACTGTTTCAAATTATCCATAAAATTCTTCATATTCTGAAAAATTTGTTAAGCGGAACATATACGTGAAAAAATTTTTTTAGAATTTTTCAAAATTTCACTGTTTCAAAAATTTCTGAATTGAAATTCTAAAAGTTTTCTGTGATTACAAATTGATGTTTGTTGTAATTTTCACTGTTTCAAAGAACTTCCTGGAAATCACAAGAATTCTCCCCAAAAAACTTGAGATTTCCCCTCGATTTTTTCTTCGTATATCGCCATGTTTTTAGTGGACATGTTGTCCGCACGCAGCAAAACAACAAAAACACAAAATTCAATTTTCGCACACCGCATTATTCAAATTTCCATATTTTTTTTTCAAAAAGCTTTTCCCCCTCCTCTATATTTTTTTTTGACTTAGCACAAGTCCAAAACAAAACAAATTGGGGAATATTTTATAAGATGAGCAATATAGTTTTCCTGTGACACATTTTTGAGATAGCGAAACTAAAGATTATCTTGTTGGAAATTTGAGATGTTATGTTATGTTCGACATTTTTTCCGGGGATCTTGTGATATTTTTTGTGTCTACCTGAAAAGATATCAGATTGCTGATTGTTGAGAAGAATTTTTTGAAACAGTGAAAAATTTGAAATAGTCAGATAAGCATGGATCACAGATATTTTTTTAGAATTTAAATTGACCAGTTTTTGAAACAGTGAATTTTTTTGCTAAGAATTTTGGAACAGTGAAAATATAATATCTCAATACCAAAAAATTTTTTCGAAATTTCAATTCACAAATTTTTGAAACAGTGAATTTTTGGAGAAAAAATCCCGGATTTTCCAGGAAAAAAATTTCTGAGAGCAAGATTTTCTGACAAAAATTGCCACGTGGCGTTTTTTTTAATTTATAACATTCAAAAAATTGTTACTGTTTTTTGGAAAAATTCACTGTTTCAAGGTTTTTCTAACAAAAAATTGGAAATTTAAAATTTAAAAAAAATGGTGAATCACAGAAAATCTATGAGAATCATACTTAAGCAATTTTTGAAACAGTGAATTTTTCTAGATCTGGAATTTTCTTCAGAAACTAAAAAATCGTGGCAATATTTTAAAGCAGGATTTTCTAGCTCAGAATTTTAGCCACGTGGCTGAAAAATTCAATTTCGTTCTGAAATTCAGATCCGCCTGAAATTAACCAACATTTTGATTGAAAAATTCACTGTTTCAAAAAATTTTGAAAATAAATTTCGGATTTTACACTTTGATGAATTAATTTTCTCAAAAGACGCTTGAAATTATAGTTCCTAAAGTCACAAAAAAATCCACGTGGCAAAAACCAGAAACTCTAGGATACTGTAACTTTTGGCGCCAAAACCCAGTCACATTCGGTGTCAAAAAACCCCCAAATGCCACGTGGCAAGACTCACTTGGTCGCCGTTTTCTCGGCCTGCCCCAACAAACAAACAGGCGCCTCGCCGTGCTCTTCCGAATCATCACCCGAATCCGGAAGGCCTGTAGATCCACGTGTCAATTCGCTGATCACTAAAAAAATTTTTTTTTGAAATTTTCTTCAAAATCCCCCTCGTGTTTATTTTTTTTCATAAATCCCTTTTTCGCGCGCGCGAAAAAAGTTGAAAAATAATAATCGAAAAATGAGAAAAATGCAATAAACATATTGTGCTGCCGCCTCAAGTGGAAATGAGAAATCTTCGAGAAATTTTCGCCGGGCAAAAAAAATAAAAAATCGAAAAAACTTACCAGCGCATCTTCCGCTGGTGATTCGCGCGAATCCTTCGCGACACTCGCAAGTTTGTGTGTTGTTTGGCCACGGTTTACAGTAGGATGAGCCCATGTCGCATGTTTTGTCGTCGCAGACTGCAAATATGTTGAGGTTGTTGTCTGCGTCTCTAGTTGTCTCTGGTTCTCTGCTCTAGCTCTGCGTCTCTCCCTCTCTCTTATTGGTCTCTAGCCGTCGTCTGCCTGTCTGTCTGTCTAGCTGCTGGTTAGAGATCACTCTGCGTCTCTGAGTTGTCTGCGTCACTATTTTCCCAGTGATGTTCGTCAGTCTATCTGTCTGCGTCTCTCAAAATTGTGTGCTCTCTAGTTGTCTCTGGTTCTCTGCTCTAGCTGATTAGAGATACCTCTGCGTCTCTAATCTTCAAATACTCTTTAGCCGTCTGTCTGTCTGTCTAGCTATCTAACTATCTATTGAACTCTAACCGTCTGCCTCTCTCTCTCTCTCTCTAACATGGTTAGAGACGCAGAGTAGTGCTAATTTGATCTTTAATTCTGCACTATTAGAGAAGCATCGACACAAAAAGGTCGAGATTAGTTGAGAGATTAGTGTTTCGACACTTTTTAAACAAATTTTTTCTCATGTCAGTCAGTGAGAGATTGAGAGACGCAGAGATAGGGGGTTTTTTAGGGGTCAACCAGATATAGTGTGTGATTTTTAGAGGTGCGGAGACAAGATAGACAAGAGAGAGAGAGGATTCTCTGCGTCTCTAGCTCTCTAGTTTCTCTGCGTCTCTAACTGCTCTCAGTTTCTCTCGTAGCTCTATATCTCTAAGTTAGAGATTGACTCTAGCTTCTCTAACTCTCTCTCTCTCTTTATCTCTAGCTTCTCTGCGTCTCTAGATTAATATCTCTCTAGCCTCTCTAGCATCTCTAGCTCTCTAGTTTCTCTGCGTCTCTAACTGCCCCTAGCTTCTCTACTATCTTTGTATCTCTGGCATAACTGCGCCTAACGTCTCTGCTTCCTTCTCTAGCTAGCTTCTCTGCGTCTCTAACCAACTCTCGTTTCTCTGGCTTCTCTGCGTCTCTAACCCATTCTCGCTTCTCTACCCCCTCTGCGTCTCTAACCTCTCTAGCCTCTCTAGCCTCTCTAGCCTCTCTACTATCTTTGTATCTCTGACATAACTGTGTCTAAATCCTCTCCATCTCTAACACTCTCTAAATATAAGGGCCTGCCCATCTCAAAAAAATAGGAAAGTTGCACAAAACGTGATAATATTTGCGATTTTTGTTGATTTACAGAATGCGATGAATGACAACGAAAATTATATTTATGAACACGGATCGAATTTTTTTTTCTGATTTTTTTTTGTGTTTTTAAACCTTTATGTTTCTAGTTTTTTGTTTGTTGTTTGAATTTTGTTGAAAATTACGGGATAAACTTTATTCAATAAAAATATATAGTAGGATTATTATTTGAGCGAAAGCGGTTTTGGCGCATTTGTTCCAATATATCCTTTTCTCGTTAAATAAGCATTAACAGTTTCGGCTTGATTCGATCGATTAGAGATGACGGATGATGGTTTTGCTTTGAGAATATTGATCAGAGTCATGATATCTGAAAAATTAAATTCATAGAGTGAATCTCTTGTCAAAATAACTTTGAATTGACCCCTAAATTATTCAAGAATTTGTCAAAATGTAAAGAAGAACTTTCTCAAAAACATTTATTTATTTAGAAAAAAAAATTCACATTTTTATTGTGAACATTTTTACGTGAAGCAAACATGATGCGAGAAAATGCAAAAATTTGTATTTTCTTCAAAAAATTGGTAATGCTAAAAAGAATTCACGTTTTAAATTCGAAATTTTAGACGTGGAGCGAACATGATGCGAGAAAATGTGAGAATTGGTATTTTCCGAAAATTTGTTATTTCGAACTCACCATTAGTGGAGTATTTTTCCAAACATTGCAGAGTGGCTTGTTGATGGTGCATCTTGAAATGGCCGGCGCCACATTTGAATAAACTCATAAGCGATTTTCGTGTATTAACCAGTTCTGGATAAATGATTTTTGGGCGAAAATTTTCAGCAATAGTATTGTCCTGAAATCAATAGATTGTAAGATGAGCAGTGTTAGCGATTCTGCAAACCTTAAAAAGCGGAAGTTGTATAGCTTCTTTATGTAATTTTTGAAATGCTTCAGTTGTTGCAAATTCGGCTACACATTGCATTACCACATCTTAAATTCAAAAAAAAAATCAGTTCATCAGGAGTTCCAACTTACTGTCGTTTCCTTTATACAGATGAAGTTGGTGGTGAGTTGTTCTATTCGTCAAATGAACTATATTTTTTTTAAGTTCACTAAAATCAAACACAGTATACAAATTGCGAACTCCTTCAGCTGATTTCAATGTTTTCAGAGCATTATCATATTCTAAATTTGGAATTTGAAAAAAATAACAATGAGGAATTTGGAATCTACCTTCAGTTGAATAAATTGTTTTTGTGCTCAAATATGTGTTCAAAACTCCGAAGAAACCATCTAGTTCGTTGTGGGTGTGACCCACAACATTATTTATCAGCGTAACCTTGAAAAAAATAAATTTCAAAAAGAAATGAAGTAAAATTGTCAAGACAAAATTGTGTAGTTACAGTAATCCATTTAGTAATGTTTTAAGATTACATTGACATTAGAATCAAAGAAAAATTCAGTATTTTAGAACTCACGGATTGTAAAGCCGGTAGATGAATCAATAAAAAACCATAACAAGCGATAATTTCATCCGATTTGTTAGGACTTGCGTTATCACATACAAGGAACAACTTTTTTGGCACTTTTTCGATCTGTTCAAATAGATTTTAATTCCGAAGTTTTAATATTTTTAGAATAAAACTTACTCTTAGCAAAAAATCCAATACAACCGAAAAATAATATGAAGAATTTTTCTTATAACGATCAGCTAAATTCATAAAACAATCTGTCTTGAAACGTGTTACACCTGCAATGAAACATAGTAGAAGATCGAAATTAAGTCACATTTACCATTTGTTGGATACTGCACCCCTGTGAGGGTATACGGTACCCTATCGGTGTCCGTAACCCGTTTTGGTCGATAAGCAATGATCGGGAGCTTTGTTGTTTTATTGGACGCTGCGTCCACTCGTAAAACCAAAATTTCTTGGCCCGACCTGCATCGATCATCCAAAATTTGGAAAACTTCTCGAGTTTGCCTAAAATAATTCCATAAATAAAAAACATCAGAAAAACTGGACTCACATTATCTCATCAGAATGTTGTTGTTTTTTCAATTCGATTTCCTTCAATTCTTCTTCATTAGCGGTCATCCGGTCATTTTCCAAGTCACTACAAGTTTGACACTTGTTCATGGACAGAATCTGGGAAAAAAACAATTTTTGTTAGAAAAGTTGGATTTTTAAGAAAATACCTTTGTTTGGTGAATTGATTCATCCATTACTTTACCTATGATCTTCATTCCTAATCGTGTTCCATTTCCACCATAAACATCTCTGGAAAATGATCTGGTGAACCAGATAATTATTATATCATTTCAAATTACTTTTTGAGAACACCGCGGTTCATAAACCGACCCCCCGTGGGATTCAGCTGAGAATTGATCAATACTTTTTCGATGATTTTCGCGATATTTTCATATCCTTTTTGAGTGGGTAAGCTCAAGCGAGGCTTTTTCGAAGGTAAAGGATCTTCAACTGGACGATTGATCATTAGTATTAGCCTGAAAATAAATCTCCCTACACGATTCTCAAAGTAATACATTTTTTCGAATGGAATGATAATTCCAAACTTTTTTTTTCCGACTGATAAAACAATTTCTCATTTGGTGTTTTTTTTTCAAATTCTATGCTTATTTGGAAACGTCTGAATATAATTAACTATAATGCATGAAAATATTGAAATGGAAACGCAACAATGCATAAGTCTAATTCATAACATTAAAATTAATGAACTAACTTTTTTGGTCCAATTCCCAGAATGTCTCCCAATAGCTGAATACAAAATATTTTTCCAGCCAGTTGTAGGTTCAATAAAATGCCATCGTCATCTTGAATTGCAATTTTTGACAGAAATACAGAAACAACCTGAAAAATTGAGTGAGATTTTCGAGAAGCTCATGATTCAAATTACCGAAGACATTGGAACTGATCCTTCTGTAACACGTTGACATAACATCAATGCTGCACGACAATACATTATATTTACTCTGTGATAAGTATTGTAGTGTTGATTTGAATGCACTTCAACTCACTGAGAAAAAAATAATGTACACCGACTTGGACAACAGTTTTCTGCTGGTGACAAAACCTCTAATGGGCTCAATTTTCTTGTTGGAGGCATTTGATTATAATAATCGCTCGATAATTTTTCGATGTCATCTAGAGAAAGCTGAAATTTTATTTTTGTAGCTGAGACTACAGAGCTAAACTAACTTCTTCCATTTTATGTTTCATAAAATCCTCCATCTTGTAAAACAAACAAAAATCTTGAAATGTTCGAAATGTTCAAAGTCCAACAAGATTCCAACGTGACTACGTGGGAAATGTTCATTTTGAAATATTTTTAATTCATTTTTTTTTGGAAACAAAAAATGGCTTTCAACAAGGTAATAATTTGTGTTTTTTGTTATTCCTAATTATTTTTTTCTGTAGATCGAAGATTTTGGGAGAACAATCATTGTTCCCGATGAGAATCTTCCAGATTCGCGACTTTTGAAAAAATATGCAAAAGGAACGGTTATTTTTACAAATGGAAAAATCTTAGACAATTACGAAGATGGACAGGTTAGTTGATCACAGATTATTATGAAGAATATTTACGAATATTTAGATTATCGATCTGAACGAAGATGTCATGTATGGTCTTCTTTGCAATGATAAAAAATTGCAACTATACAAATGTGACCAAAATGGAAAAGTTTTATCGGATGACCAGTTCGAAATAGATACTTTTGCTCATCTTGAAGGTGGAGCTGAAGTGAGTGTTCATTTTTTTTTCAAATTGAAGATAGTAAATTTTCAGATACTGAAAGAGGGAAAACGACAATATTTGGAAAATAAAAAAATATACTTGAAAAGCGTCCGTCAGAATAATCAATCTTTCTTCGAAGATCTTGACAGTGATAACGATGACAACACAGTTGATGATGTTAATGCGAAATTGAACTCGAATTTAACTGGCGACGTTGTGACAGATGATTCAACAATTAGTAATGATAACGATGACAACACAGTTGATGATGTTAATGCGAAATTGAACTCGAATTTAACTGGCGACGTTGTGACAGATGATTCAACAATTAGTAATGAAGAAACCATCGGAGATTCCTCAAATTCTTCTAGCTCTTCATCAAACAACCTGAACTTCGCTCCAAAAGTAAATCAAAAATCAAAAAAACTGCGCAAAAATGATCATAAAGGAAAAAGGAAAAATAACGATGAAGTTATCACAACAAAAAATGTGAGTTGAAGTTATCATAATATTAGTTTTCGAATGTATTTTTTCGAGTTTTTTGGATTACATACAATGCAAAATACTGGTATACTGTAGTGTTTTCTCAAAAATTTTGAAGATAAATTTCTGGGTTACTGTAGTTTTCATTGAATTTCAAGAGCTACAGTGTTCTAGACTTACAATACTATTTTGAGGAATTTGGAACTTTCATTTGGATAAAAATTCTTTAAAAAATTTGAATCACTTTGATTTAAATGTTTTCTTGCAGAAAGCAAAGAAGCGAAAGCAAGCCGATAAAACTTGTTCTGCGAAAATTCAATTCGAAACTGCTCAGACATCACTACGAGAAATAAAAGATTGCGAAGCTCAAAATTTTGTTGCAACAGACGTAGAATTAAATGATATCGAATTCGCCGCGATTCTGCGAGAAAATGAAGAAGGTTTTGATTCGTGCAGTGCTTTATTTGGATACAGAGATTCAACGAGGTAAAATTGCACTATTATTGAAATTTATTCTGAATTTTTTGATTTCAGATCGGGAAAAGTCGTGATTCTTTCCGAACACACGTCTTTGGAACAATTGAAAACTAATAAAGATGGAAAGGTAATTTTATTTTGTAATTTTACATTTATTTTTTTGAAAGTGTTTTTTTTTTCAGGTTACTGTTCAACTCATGTCAAGTGATAATGCCAAACTACACCTGTTAAGTATAATGAACACGTTTTCGATTCGCGAATTTGGAACAACAGAAAAGGTATCCAAGATTTTTTTTTGTGTTTCAATCAATTTTTTTGAGATGACACATATTCGATTCATCTTAGATTCATTGGACATGAGCTTTGAGTGGTTAAGAAGCTTGACGACTCAGAAACTGGGCAAATTGTTTTCCGAATTTTCAAACGTGAGTTTTATGCTCGTAATAAAAACAATAAAACTTCAGAATTTCAAATTTTCAGGCGTTCTATCCACTTTGGTTGATTAGGATCTCGATTTTCGATAGTATTTTCAATGATCTTCTCAAAAAAGTCATGCGAAAACTAAAAACAAATGGTCTGACAATCGCACGAAAATTACCATCACTTTATCCAAACCATCGAGATAAAATCATTGAAATTTTCAACACTTTTGACAATAGTGTGGACCAAAAATGTGGCGACATAACCAAGGTTTTTTTTCTAAATTTAATTCAAAAAATTTCTGAATTTAACAAATAATTTCAGGAACTGAACAAACTCCAGACCAATGATTCAATTATTTTGAATAGAAAAGGATTTCCTTTGGATGTGGTGAAAACGTTTTTGGACACGGTAAAAGAAGAAGAAAATATCACAGCATTTTGCAGGTGAGCTTCGAAAGCATTTATATTCAAAAATATGAGTTGTTATTTCAGAAGTGTCGAAAAAATCAGCGACTGTGAAACACTTGATTATCTAAAAGGACAATTTGATAAATTTAAAGAATGTGGATTTGGAATAGTTTTTGCAGAAAATATTGAGCCATCAGAATGTGCCTTCATGAATGGTGATGATGTGGTATGTTACACAATCTGAAAACCACCAGACCACACATTTTTGCAGACTGCATCATCGAAATGGTTGTCATCGCATTTTGATCTTCAATTGTTGTTCATTACAAATGACGAAAGTGATATTCCATCGTTGAAACGAACTGTTTATCTCACAACTCCGTTGATAAATGGATCTGATAGTAAGTTCAAAAATACAGAATACAGAAATTTGACTTATAGATGTATTTATTTAAATTTTCCTCTCAAAAATTCTAGCTATTTTTTCATTTTCTCGCATCATGTTCGCTCCACGTCTAAAATTTCGAATTTAAAACGTGAATTCTTTTTGGCATTACCAATTTTTTGAAGAAAATACAAATTTTTGCATTTTCTCGCATCATGTTTACTTCACGTTTTTTTTTAAATTTTTAATGTGAAATATTTTTTCAATTTCAGAATTATCAGAAATTTAAGAAACAAACATAACTCATTCTTTTTACAGCGGTTAAACTAATGCCGATTTCGATTCGCCTATATAAAAATGGAATTATTCTTTCCGATGTTGAAATGGTTCAATCTATTATTTTGGAAGAGGCCAACATTTCAACCGACAATTTCGAACTCTCAGACTTCAAACAAGTTATCAAAAAACTTGGTCGTTTATCAATTCTGAATGACTGTGGTAAATATTTCAAATTATGTCAAAAGAACAAGATTTTTCTTTTTCAGAGCTTGGAACGTATATTCTGCGCAAATATGAAACTGGAGCAGCTCATTCTTCCAACAAATTATATAAATTCAATAAAAACTTTATAATATAATTTTTTGTTGTTATTTGAGTAATAAATTTTTCTTTAAATGAACAACTTTATTTGAAAACAATAATTAAAAAATGAAAACAAGAAGTAAAAAAAATTGTTCAAAAAAATGAAAAATAGAACGTTTTGCTTCGAGCACCTGATTTTCATACACACTTCCATCTTATTCAGGTGTAATAATGCTATTTCGTATCGCGTCTCACATCGCAAATATTATCACGTTTTGTGCAACTTTCCTATTTTTTTGAGATGGGCAGGCCCTTATATATCTATACTCATCTAGCTCCTCTGCGTCTCTAACTCTATTATATCTAACACAATCGCTTCTCTAGACCCTCTGCCTCTCTAGCCTCTCTAGCCTCTCTAGCCTCTCTAGCCTCTCTAACCAACTCTCGCCGTCTCTAGCCGTCTCTAGCCGTCTCTAGCCTCCCTAGCCCCCCCCCCCCTCTGCGTCTCTAACCCACTCACCATCCATCGCAGCGACAATGCTGATAGTAAAAGTGAGAATAAACGAGAACACCATGATTTTTCATCGCGATCTCATCTCGAATTCCAGACAATTTTTTTTCAATAAATTTTTTTTGTCGATCTGAAAATGAAAAAAAATAGGCAATATGTGTGGGCTTTTTTTGCAAAAGAAAATTGAGAAAACTAAACTAATTTCGGCAGAGCTCAAAAAATCTGTGCTCCGGCACAAATCTGAGCTCAGAGCTCCGAGCAAAAAAATAATAATGGGAAGAGGAAGGCTCACACGCACCATTAGACTTGAACCTTGTTCTAAGTAAGTTTTTTTGGAGCTCTAGAGAGCTCGGAGCTCCAAAAATGCTCCAAGTTGGACTAACTCCAAAACAACAAAACGTCACAAGCAGGCGATAATTCAATTTGGTGTTGTTCTGTTTTTTTCTTGGCGGCGGCAACTTGAAAAATTTCAAAAAATCTTTTTTTTTCCAGCACAACTTTAGTAGTGGAGCTCAGAGATTTACGAGCAAAACCAAAAAAAAATAAAGAAAAGGGGGACCCTGAGGCCACGCCCCCACTTTTTTTTGACCGCGGAGGCCGAAGAAAAAAGGGGCGGAGCTTGGAGTTTAGGTGCACCGTAGCAGCAGAGATTTTTGAGACTTGGGATTTGAAGTGTGTGTGGGGTAGATCAGAAATTAATTTGAGATCGGGATTTTTCGGCGGGAAAAATTGAGATTTGAATTTATTTAATTTCGCGCAAAAAATTCAGGATTCAAAAAATCGGCGCGAAAAACGAAGGATTTGAAATTTTGAAGTTTGGGTCAAAATTTTGCCACGTGGAATTTGTGAACTGGAATTTTGTCGCCAAAAATTCAGGATTTAAAATTTCAAATTTGGCGCCAAAACATCGTGACCTAATTTTTTGTGGAGAAATTTTGCCACGTGGATTTTCTTCTACTGAAAATTTGGCGCGTGAAAATCAGAATTTGAATTTTTTTGAAATTGGATCTATATTTTGCCACGTGGAATTTTTTTTGGACTGAAAAGAATCTGGATTTGAAATTTTTAAATTTTTAAATTTCGCGCTAAAAAATTGGGACCTAAATTTTTTAATAGAAATTTTGCCACATGGAGTTTCTTCTACTGAAAATTTAGCGCGAAAAACGCAGAATTTGAATTTTTTCAGAAATTGGATAAAAATTTTTCCACGTGGAATTTGAGGGCTCAAAAAAATCAGAATTTGAAATTTTCAAATTTACACTAAAAAATGGAACCTAAATTTTTGAATAGAAATTATTCCACGTGGATTTTCTTCTACTGAAAAATTGGCGGGAAAAATCGGAATTTGAATTTTTTTAGAAATTGGATTAAATTTTTTGCCACGTGGAATTTATGGACTGACACATCGGCGCGAAAAAATCTAAATTTAAAATTTTTAAATTTCCCGCTAAAAAATTGGGACCTAAATTTTTGAATAGAAATTTTGCCACGTGGAATTTTTTACTTAAAATTTTGAACTCTAACTATAGTCTAGTCATGAAACATTTTTGGCTAAAAATCGTGTGCCACATGGAATTTGTGGACTGAAAAAATCAGAGTTTTGAATTTTCAAATTCCGCGCAAAAAATCGGTTCAGATATTTTTGCCACGTGGAATTTTGGACCTAAAATTTTGTTCAGAACTCTAAGGCTCGTAATTTTGTGCAATGTGGGTTTCCCAAAGCTCTTGCAAAATTTCTTGCAAAAATCCAAAAATTTTTTTGCTCAAAACACCGTGTAATAGTGCAAAAGTAACTGATACCCAACAGAAAATGCTCAAATTTCCTGATAGATTTTTGAATGTTAACATTCGAATATCAAATTTCCAAGAGGGGAATTTTGCACAGGGGAACAATCAGGGATTTTTGAATTTGAATTAGAATTTGAAAACCTAAACCTTAAAAAATTCTTGAAAAACTCACACAAAGGACCACTTTGAGAAAAAAAAGTGAAAAGTGAAAAAGATAAATGATAAATCGAGTCCGCCGGGCTGATTTTTGACAATTCTGACACTTTTCGAGAAATAGTGTGGAGATTGGTGAGAGACGCAGACGCGATAATGGATGTTGTAACACGGATTTTTGAAAATGATTGAAATTGTTTGAGAGATGATGAATAACCGCATTGTTTTGATAAAGGACAATGGGGCGAGGGAGAAAAGGTTTTGAGGGGAAAAATTTAAAAAATTATTTCACTGTTTCAAAATTTTTACAAGGTTTTATAGAAGTTATGAAATTTATTAATGTTTTTTAAAAAAACTTTTCAAAAAAATTCACTGTTTCAAAGTTTTCATAAATTTTTGGAAATCTTCCTGGCATCATTACAATTGTAGCATGATTAGAATTATTTTTCACTGTTTCAAAATTTTTAGAAGTTTTTGAAGAGTTCTTCAAAGTTGTTATTGTCGATTATTTTATCAATTATCGTTGATATCTCAAGAATTTTTAGAAAAATTCACTGTTTCAAAATTCCTATATGATTTTCTAGAAATTGTGGTAATCGTTGAGTAGTGATCCGCTTCAACCCAGAAATAATCAAAAAAATTCACTGTTTCAAGTTTTCTTTAATGAATTAAAAAAAAAAGTATTGACAATATTGAAAACATATGATTTCAAAAATTACTGTTTCAAATTATTTTTAAAGAAAAAGTTAATTTTTAGTGACTATTCCACAAATATTTCAAAATTTCTATACATTTTCGAATGGAGAAAAACACTTCAATAGTAGTTTATTTAGCATTTCAACAAAAAACACTGTTTCACAATTATTTGAACCAAAAGTAAGTTTTCTGTTCAAAATAAAAAAAATTATAGAAATTTTACTGTTTCAAAAATCCGTAAAATAAAAATTGACATTTCTCAGAACAGTAACTAACTTGAATGAATTATTTTCGGTAAAAAAAAGTACTGTTTCAAAAAATTAAGAAATAAAAATTTAGTTAAGTGAGCAAAATATTATCCAACGGAATGCGAGAAATGTGTAATTGTTGAAGTTCAATAAAAATATTACTGTTTCAAAATTTTTATGAATTTTTTTTGTGTAGGAAAATTTTGTATTTTTCGCAATGATTTGTTAAAATTATTTTTCACTGTTTCAAAAAATTTTCAATCATTAAGAGAACTATTTTTATTTTGTTCGGGTGTTAAGACATTCTAGAATTACTAGAAAATTCTCATTGTTTCAAAATTTTAATAAGTTTTTGAAAGGTTTCTGAAAGTTGTTATGTTTCACGCCCAGTTTAAGACATTGGAAAATTTGTGTGAAAAAATTCACTGTTTCAAAATGTTCTCAAATCAATGTTTGAAAAAGTTTCAAGATGATCTCAAGATGTGTGAGGCTATCAACAAGAAAAAAATCAACATTCAGAATTTTTATATTTTTTTTTCGAAAATTTCTCTACAACTATTAATTCGGAATAGTTGATTGAAAAATTCACTGTTTCAAAAATCAAATGAATTTTTACAGATTTTTCAATACTCGTTGAATGTTGTCAAAATGTAGAATTTTTTGAATCTGTTGAGATATAAGACATAAGAAAAATTAATATTTTCTGAAAATTATTGCTAAAAAATTAGGACTCTTGATTAATGTCATATAAAATTTTTTGAAAAATTTCACTGTTTCAAAATTATTTTAAACAAAAAGCAGACTTTTAGAAAACAGTAACATTAATTTACTCTGAGCAAAAACAAAAAAAAATTTCACTGTTTCAAAAAGTTTGGAAATAAAATGACTATATTTAATTTCAGTTCATCCAATACTGCTATGAGAAAAAAATTTCAAAAAATTTACTGTTTCAAAATATTAACAAATAAAATTCATAAATTTTAATATCAGTAAACACGCCGTAAGATTCATAAAAAAATATGCTCAAAAGTTAGAAATAATGTCATATAAAATTTTTTTGAAAAATTTCACTGTTTCAAAATATTTTCAAATTAAATTAATTTTTTTTTAAACGATTTCTGTCGAAGTTTGATCGAAAACCTTTATAAATTTCACTGTTTCAAAAAATTTGGAAATAAAAATTACTATATTTAATTCCAGTTCATCCAATACTATGTGAAAAAAAATTTTAAAAAAATTTACTGTATCAAAATATTAACAAACAAAATTCATAATCTTCAATATCAGTAAATACGCCGTAAGATTCATAAAAAAATTATGCTCAAAAGTTAGAACTAATGTCAAATAATATTTTCTGAGAAATCTCACTGTTTCAAAATTATTTTAAACAAAAATCAGACTTTTAGAGAACAGTAACATTAGTTTACTTTCAAAAAAAAAATTAAATTTCACTGTTTCAAAAAATTTGCAAATAAAAATGATCAAAATTACTAATTATTAACACTAAATTTGGTGATTTTTAGGCTCATAAAAATTTTTTGATCAAAAAAATTTTGACAAAAACTAAATTATTGTCATATAAAATTTTTTTGAAAAATTTCACTGTTTCAAAATTATTTTAAACAAAAAATCAGACTTTTAGAGAACAGTACGATGATCTTTCTAGTTTCCAAAAAAACTTGAAATTTTCACTGTTTCAAAAAGTTTGGAAATAAAAACTATTCTATTCAATTGCATTAAAATTATAAATACGTAAAAAAAAATACAAAAAAAATTCACTGCTTCAAAAAAATTCTAACAAAATTTAGGGCTCCAAATATTGTCAAATAATATTTTCTGAAAAATTTCACTGTTTCAAAATATTTTCAAATGAAATTGAAAAATTTTCTAAACGATTTCTGAAGAAGTAATATATATTTTTGAATGAAATTAAAAACTTTTTTAAACGATAACTGAGGAAGTTTCATCAAAAACCTTAATAAATTTCACTGTTTCAAAATATTTTCAAATGAAATTAAAGTTTTTTTCAAAACGATGAGAAATTTTTTCACTGTTTCAAAGAAAAATTTAAATTTTTCCCCTCAAAGAAGCCTCTCAAAAAAGTCTATTTTCGTCCCAATTAATCCACTAAAAAAATTAAGACGAAATTCGGAAATTCCCAAAAGACTCAATCAATTAAAGCCATCTCTGTTGTCTTTTTTTTTTCTTCAAAGAACATAGGCTAAGTAAGCCGAAGGAAGAATTTGGAAGAATTTGTTTATTTTAGTCGCCCAAACAATGAAGTTTCGAGAAAAAAAAACTAAAACTAATGACGAGGGGACTTTTTTTTGGAAATTTAGAAATTTTCAAATTTCAAATTGCCACGTCATAAGTCACACGCTGAAAAAAATAGGGATTTTCACATTTTTTACCACAAATAACAAGAGAAAATGTGCAAAAATTGATGAAAATCGTCAGAAAAATGAGAGGATGAGTGACAAGTTATCTTAAGTATTTATGACTTGTTTTTGGAAGATCAGACACATGTTTTGTGAGACAAAAACATGACAAAAACATTTGGCTACGGTAAAAATGGGCCTAAGCCTAATAAGCCTAAGCCTAATAAGCCTAAGCCTAATAAGCCTAAGCCTAATAAGCCTAAGCCTAATAAGCCTAAGCCTAATAAGCCTGAGCCTAATAAGCCTAAGCCTAATAAGCCTAAGCCTAATAAGCCTAAGCCTAATAAGCCCAAGCCTAATAAGCCTAAGCCTAACAAGCCTAAGCCTAATAAGCCTAAACCTAATAAGCCCGAGCCTAATGAGCCTAAGCCTAACAAGCCTAAGCCTAATAAGCCTAAGCCTAAAAATCTCTTAAAAATTTTACCCAAAAAATATACGTTTCAAAATTTTATGAAAAAATTTGGCATTTTTTTGAATTTTGATGCGGTGTTATTTCTTGGGAAAAATTTTTTTCTGAAAATAAAAATCTGAATTAATCCAATTTCCGAATGGGAAATTGGAAATCAAAAATCACAAGAAAAAATCTAGTTTCTGGAAACTTCCCGGAACATTTTCAGAATCTCAAAAAAAAAAGATAAGTTAGGCTAACTTGAATCAAATTTTTAGAGCTTCAAAATGAGCCTTAATACTTTAGGGTTCTTAAGAAGAGTTAGGCTAACTTGGGTCAAATTTTAAAAAGCTTCAAAGTGAGCCTAAACACTATAAGGTTCTTAAGAAGAGTTAGGCTAACTTGAATAAAATTTTCCCCGGTTTAAAATAAGCCCAAATACTCTAAGGTTCTTAGGAAAAGTTAAGCTAACTTGGGTCAAATTTTTTGGGCTTCAAAATGAGTCTAAACTCTCTAGGGGTCTTAAGAAGAGTTAGGTTAAATTTTAGGGATTTATAATGACCCTAAGCTTCAATTCTAGAAGTTAGCCTAACTTTAGTCAAACAAAAATCAAACACAAAAATAATAAAATTAAAATTTATTATAAAGTCTCAATTTTTCGTAAATTCCAAAATTATAGGTTTCAAAATCAGCCGACTCTCTCTCTCTCTCTCTTTCTCTCTCACACAAAAAAAGTAGCCGAGGTCGACAAAAAAAACATTTTTTTTTTGCATAAAAAGGTTTTTTCGCGCATCTTTCAGCCATTTATCGAGTTATTCTTCCTTTTTGACTCGCGCTAGCCAGAAAAAAAGAAAATTTTTTTTGGACACACATTTTTTGGCGCCAAAAATGGAAACAAAATTATAAATACTTGATGTTTGATATTTGAGAGAGCGAGAAAATTTCGGAGGATTTTTTGGTGCGAAAAAATTTGTCATAGGAAAATTTGGAGATGGAATTGATCTCCGGACCTTTGATGTCAAGGAGCCGAGCCTTAAGAGCTTTGTTGTCTAGGACCCAAGCCTTGTGACTCTTGGTGTCTAGTAATTGAGCCTTAAGAGCTTTGTTGTCAAGGAGCCAAGCCTTGTGAGTCTCTCCGTCAAGGAGCTGAACCTTGAAGACCTTGCTGTCAAGGAGCAGAGCCTTGTCGACTACAGTGGTAAGCATCCGACCCTTAAGAGCTTTGATGTCAAGGAGCTGAGCCTTGTGGACCACAGTGACAAGCATCCGAGCCTTGTGAACATTGCTATCGAGGAGCCGACTCTTGTCGACCACAGCGGCAAGTAGACAAGCCTTCTCGACTTATGTGGCAAGAAGACAAGCCTTGTCGACTTCTGTGACAAGGGGCCACACCTTGTGAGTCTCTCTGTCAAGGAGCTGAGCCTTGTCAGCTTCTATGATTATCAAGGAGCCGAGCCTTGTCGCGCTCTATGCATAGTAGCCAACGCTTGTGAGCATTGCTGTCAAGGAGCCAAGCCTTGAGAGCCTTGTTGTCAAGTGGCTGAGCCTTGAGAGCTTTGATGTCAAGGAGCCAGCCCTTGTGAATCTTGCTTGTCAAGCAGCCGAGCCTTAAGAGCTTTGTTGTCTAGGAGCTGAGCCTTGTGAGGTTGGCTGTCAAGGAGCCAAGCCTTGTCGACTTCTGTGATTGTCAAGGGGGCGAGCCTTGTCAGCTTCTATGATGGTCAAGGCGCCATGCCTTGTGAGTAGCTCTGTCAAAGAGCTTAGCCTTGTGGACCACAGTGGCAAGCATCCGAGCCTTGTGAGGCTGGTTGTCTAGGAGCTCAGGCTTGAGAGCTTCACTATCAAGGAGCCGCGCCTTTCGAGTTTGAAAAAAATCCACGTAGCAAAAAATGAAGCCCTCATGAGGATTTGATCCCCACACCTTCCACCTGATAATTTTTCATTAACAAAAAAAATTCCACGTGGCATATCCACCTCCAAACCAAAAAAAAACAAAACAAAAAGTATAAACAATGCGAAAAAAAATTTTTTTTCGCAACACACAAATTTCCACACATGTGTGAATCAAATCGCAGTCAAGCATGTAATTGGCTCTTTTTTTTGCGGGAAGAGCCCCCCAAAAAAGTGGGGAAGAAGGGTCCCAAAAAATACTAAATTATGCACAGGAGAGAAACCTTTAAAGAAGAAGCAAAAAAGAAAATGAAAGCAGGAAGTTGGGCAGGGGGAATTTTGCATAATATTATTTATGTGTTTGATTTTTTGGCAGGCAGAGCAGCCTTTTTTGCTGAAGATCTTGAAAATATTGATTTTCAGCAATTTTCAGCAATCCCATGATTTTAAGCACGAAATTTCAGCCTAGAAACTTGTTTTTTCTATAGTAACCCAGCTGATCCAAAATTTCTAGAATATCTTTCTAGACTCAAATTTTGTGCTGAAAATCATAGATTCGCTGAAAATTGCTGGAAATCAATATTTTTATGGTTTTCAGCTCAAAATTTCAGTCTAGAAACTTGTTTTCAGCTTTTTTCTACAGCTGATCCAAAATTTTGGAATTTTCGGCACAATTTTCTACAGTATCTTTCTAGACTCAAATTTTGTGCTGAAAATTGTGGAATTACTGAAAATCGCTGAAAATCAATAATTTCACGATTTTCAGCACGAAATTTCAGCCTAGAAACTTTTTTTCTCTACAGTAAACTGATCCAAAATTTTGGCACAATTTTCAAAACTATCTTTCCAGACCTAAATTTTGTGCTGAAAATCGTAGAATCACTGAAAATCACTGAAAATCAATCATTTCCTGATTTTCAGCACGAAATTTCAGCCTAGAAACTTTATTTCGCTACAGTAACCCGGTTGATCCAAAATTTCTGGAATTTTTGACACAATTTTCTACAGTATCTTTCTAGACCCAAATTTTGTGCTGAAAATCATAGAATTGCAGAAAATTGCTGAAAATCAATAATTTCACGATTTTCAGCTCAAAATTTCAGTCTAGAAATGCATTTTCAGCGCCAAAAATCACAGGAGCCCAAAAACACTTCAAAATATGAATTTTTATTCAAAAAATCGTCATAAAAAGTGAAAAACACGAAATGAATGAAAGTGTCTGGTAGTAGTAGTAAAAAACAAAACAAAACAAAAAAAATTCAGTTTTTGGTGAATTTTGTTTTTTTTACGGCTCAAAAAACTTGGGAAAACAAAACAATCGAAATTATGACGGCTCCGAGTGTGACGTGGAATTTGAGAGCTGACGGTGTGGAATTGCAATTGTCATCGTCGCAAATCTCACATCTTCCGATGCCGCCTTGATTTGCGCACATGATTTCCGACGCTTCGCATCTTCCGCCTTCCGGAGAGCAAGCGCGGACTGTGAAGTTGCCGTCGACTGCAAAAATTTATTTTGTTTTTGGAGCGCCGCGCGGAAGAGCTTCCGGAATGCCTGAGTGTATCCCTGAGCCTCTATTCAAGCCTGATCGCGCGCGGAAGAGTCCGGAACGCTTTGCGGAAAATTCCGCGGCACACTAAAATGGGCGGAGCTAAAATTTTGAGGTTTAGCTAACAAATCACATTTTTCTGATCCTCTGCGTCTCTACCCTCCTCTCATCGTCTAAGCACACTCTTTTTCTAATTATCTGCGTCTCTAACCTGTTCTCTAGCTGTCTGACTCTCTCTCTTTCCAATTTGCTATGTTTTGTGTCCTCTGCGTCTCTAACCCCTCCTCTAGCTGTCTAACTCTCTTTTTCTAATTTGCTATGTTTTGTGTCCTCTGCGTCTCTAACCCCTCCTCTAGCTGTCTAACTCTCTTTTTCTAATTTGCTATGTTTTGTGTCCTCTGCATCTCTACCCTTCTCTCATTGTCTGAGCACACTCTTTCTCTAATTATCTTACTACTTGTTATGAATTCTCTGCGTCTCTAACCCCTCTAACTCTCTTTCTAGAACTCCATGCTATCTAACTGTGAGAGACGCAGACAATCAGAGAAGTCTCTTGTATTTCTCTGCGTCTCTAACATTTTCTCTCGCTGTCTGACTCTCTATCTTTCTCATTATCTCAATATCTTTTGTTTGTTCTAGCGCATAGAGTGTACTCTGCGTCTCTAACCTCTCTCTCTCTCTCTCTCTCTCTCTCTCTTTCTTCATTATAATCTTTCGAATTTCTCTGCGTCTCTAACATAACTGTCTGACTCTCTCTCTCTCTCTTTTTTCTCTAATGATCTTCTAACTACACTCTCTTTCTCTAACTCTGCCTTTTGCTATTTTGCCTCCAGGTCCTCTGCGTCTCTAACCCCCTTCCCTCTCTCTTTATACTCATCTCTCTAATATCTTTGCGTCTCTACCTTTTCTCTCTCGCTGTCTGACCCCCTCTCATACAAAACAAAATTTCTATGAGACGCAGACAGTGAGAAAAATCTCTTGTCTTCTCGTTCGTCTCCCTCTGCGTCTCTAACCTTTGCTCTCTCGCTGTCTAACTCTAGCTCCATCTTTTGATCTCAAAAAATTTCTAATTGCCCAATTTCCTTTTTTTTCCCGCCAAAAAAAAAAACAAACTACAAAAACCAATTTAAAAAGTACAACAACTCAAATTTTGGCGCCAAAATTACTTCCGGTAACTCGCGAAAAAACACGGAGAATAGACAGGAAGGAAGGAAGTCAAAACACGCCAATTATAGATGATTATCTGGAAAAATCTGGAAAAACTTCACAACAAAACAGGGACCAAAAATAGAAATTTATGAATTTTTCAGAATTTTTCAAGGCACAAATGATGGGAGGTCCAGAGATCTTTTTCAGCTTCAGCTTCAGCTCAAATATTACAATTATCATCGTCGCATCGCGAACAGCTTCCGGTTCCTTTGCTGAATTTACAGATTGCCGGGCCAGCCATACATCCCATTGATTTTGAGGCGCAAGTTCGGAGGATGAATGGAGCTGTAATTTGACAACACGATATTTAAAGGGACATGCGGTGTACTGTAAGATTACTGTAGGTGAATTCTTATCTTGATCTACAGGGGCTCAGGGTACTGTAGTAGATTCATAGATAGTATTCTTTGAAGTTTGTGATGTATTGTAAGAGGAGTACTGTAAGAGTACTGTAGAACAATACTTTGATCTACTTGAAATTGGGAATGTTTTTGAGATTTTTGGGGGTACTGTAGGAGTACTGTAGTTGAGACACTATGTTTAAAGGGACATGCGGTATACTGTAGGATTACTGTAGGATTACTGTATGGGTTTTGATCTACAGAGACTTGTCTTGTCAGGGTACTGTAGCTCACTGTTGTGACTTTTTTGATCTACTCTAGAAAATTTAAAGGGACATGAGGTACTGTAGGAGTACTGTAGAGGGTTTTTGAACTACCGGGGGATCTTAGAGTACTGTAGGAAATTTATAATCTATATTTTTTTATCTACTTACAGTTAAGATTTCACTTGGGTACTGTAACTTTCTAGGCTGAAATTTTGTGCTGAAAATCATGAAAATATCAATTTTCAGCGATTTTCAGCGATTCCACGAGTTTCAGCACGAAATTAGGGTCTAGAAAGGTACTGTAGAAAATTGTGCCAAAAATTCCGAAATTTTGGATCAGCTGGAAAATTGCCGAAAACAAGGTTCTAGACTGAAATTTTGTGCTGAAAACGACAAAATTATTGATTTTCAGCGATTTTCAGCAATTCCACGATTTTCAGCACAAAATTTGGGTCTAGAAGGATTTTTTTATCTACTCGAAATTCCTAAGGGAGTACTACTGTAGATCTACATTTTTTCTGGAATCAAGGTACTGTAGGAGTACTGTAGTTTATAGGCTACAGTAACCTAAAAAAGTTCCCACAACTCAAAAAATAAACAATCACGACCACTATTACAACATGAGAAAAATCAACAAAAAATTTTTTTCGAAAAAAAAATTTTATTTATTTTTTTTTGGAAAATCACGTTCTCCTTGGGTTTCTGGACCAAATTTTAAATTTAGAAAAAAAAATTTCGCGCCAAATTTGAAAAATTCAAATTTTTTTTTCGAAAACTCACACTTTCCGCCTTCACACGTAAATTTCTGGCACGTGAATTTTCCATCAATTCCCGTATCACATTGCCTCGACTCATATTTGTCTTTGGAACCGGAATAGCATCGTTTTGCACAGTCTGAAAATTTTAATTTCAGCTAAATTTCAGACTGAAAATCTGGAATTTATTTCAAATACCTGAAACTACGATTAAAGTGATGAGCAAAATTGCGGTGATTTTAAGCATTTTTTTGAATTTTTTCTTTCTGAAATTAAAAAAATTTTTTGAAAATTTAAAAAAAATAAAAAATTTCAACACACATAGAAAAAGTGAAAGGGAAGTAAATAGACAAAAAGTTGGCGGAGAGATTGAGAGACGCAGAGAAAAAGATCGATTTTTCTGATTTTTTTGTGTGATGTGACAAAATAACAAAGAGTGAAGAACACCTGACAAAAAAATTTTGAGAAAAAAAATTGGGATTTGAAATTTTTATTGAATTCGGTGGAGAAAAAGCTGAAATTTTGTGCTGAAAACGATGAAATTATTGATTTTCAGCGATTTTCAGCAATTCCACGATTTCCAGCACAAATTTTGGGACTAGAAAGATACTGTAGAAAATTGTGCCACAAATTCCAAAATTTTGGATCAGCAGGGTTACTGTAGAAAATCGCTGAAAATAAATCTCTAGGCTGAAATTTTGTGCTGAAAATCATGTAATTATTGATTTTCAGCGATTTTCAGCAATCCCACAATTTCCAGCACAAAATTTGGGTCTAGAAAGATACTGTAGAAAATTGTGCCACAAATTCCAAAATTTTGGATCAGCTGGGTTACTGTAGAAAAACAAGTTTCTTGGCTGAAATTTTGTGCTGAAAAACAGGAAAATATTGATTCTCAGCGATTTTCAACAATTCCATGATTTTCAGCACAAAATTTGAGTCTAGAAAGATACTGTAGAAAATTGTGCCAGAGATTCCAAATTTTTGGATCAGCCGGGTTACTGTAGAAAATCGCTGAAAATATCTCTCTAGGCTGAAATTTTGTGCTGAAAATCATGAAACTCTTAATTTTCAGCAATTTTCAGCAATTCCACGATTTTCAGCACAAAATTTGGGTCTAGAAAGATACTGTAGAAAATAGTGCCACAAATTCCAAAATTTTGGATCAGCCGGGTTACTGTAGAAAAACAAGTTTCTAGACTGAAATTTTGTACTGAAAATCAAGTAATTATTGATTTTCAGCGATTTTTAACGATTCCACAATTTCCAGCTCAAAATTTGAGTCTAGAAAGATACTGTAGAAAATTTTGCCGAAGATTCCAAAATTTTGGATCAATTGGGTTACTGTAGAAAAACAAGTTTCTAGACTGAAATTTTGAGCTGAAAATCATGAAATTATTGATTTTCAGCGATTTTCAGCAATTCCATGATTTTCAGCACAAAATTTGGGTCTAGAAGGATGAAAACCTCAAAAAAATTCCAAAAAAAAAATTTTTTTTTTGAAATAAAACCTGCCAACCCAACCCAAAACAAATATATCAAAACAAACACAAAAAATTTTTTTGGCAAAAAAATTTTTTAACACAGGCAATTACAGATCAGCTTATTATTAGTCTATTATTGACTTATTTTGAAATTTGGCTTATTATAGGCTAATACGGTACATATTATTAGTCAAAAATCGATGAAATTTTCTAAATTTAGCCCAAAATTAGCAAAAGCCGTTTTATGATCAATTTGAAAGTGAGAAATCAGGGCATTTTTCAATCAAACAACTGTCCAAAAAAAAAAATTTTTTGCTCAAGAAAAAAAAAGAGGAAAATGCACTTTCCCACTCAAAAACTGACCATTATCTCTCGAAGAAAATTGGGGGGCAAAAAAGTATCAAATAACCTACTCGCCTGGAAAATTGTTGAGCATTTTTGGAGCAAAATTTGAAACACTATACATTTTTCTATCTGGTTAATTATTTATGGTCCCAATTATTTTTCAAAAAAAAGTAAAGCTTCTCAAAAATTCTTGTACTATGAATAAATTAGACGTGTTTACCAATGATTCTTGGAGGAAGTGCAACTTCGTCCTGAAAAAAAATATTTTCAATAGGGAGTACCGGGGGTCGAACCTGCGACCTTCAACTCAAACTCACACGTATTTTGAACTCGTCCGATTTGGTCACCGAAAATCGATAGCACATGAAGATAATTGTGTACATACAAGTTAGCAAAAGTGTTCCGGTGGTGAAGCCGAGCACAAAAATTGACCAACTATTGGCTGAAAATAGGGATTTTCAGCGATTTCATGATTTTCAGCACAAAATTTGGGCCCAGAAAGATTTTGAACAAAATTGTGCCACAAATTCCAAAAAAATGGATCAACGAGGTTACTGTAGAAAAATAAAGTTTCTAGACTGAAATTTTGTGCTGAAAACGATGAAATTATTGATTTTCAGCGATTTTCAGTGATTCCATAATTTTCAGCACAAAATTTGGGTCTAGAAAGATAATTTTGAAAATTGTGCCTAGAAATCGAAAATTCTGGATCAGATGGGTTACTGTAGCAAAAAACAAGTTTCTAGGCTGAAATTTTGTGCTGAAAACGATGAAAATATTGATTTTCGGCAAATCCATGATTTTCAGCACAAAATTTGAGCCCAGAAAGATTTTAAAGAAAATTGTGCCACAAATTCCATCAGCCGGGTTACTGTAAAAAAACAAGTTTCTAGGCTGAAATTTTGTGCTGAAAACGATGATATTATTGATTTTCAGCGATTTTCAGCAAATCCACGATTTTCAGCACAAATTTTGGTCTAGAAAGATAGTTCAGAAAAATTGTTGTGCCAAAAGTTCCATCAGCCAGGTTACTGTAGAAAAACAAGTTTCTAGACCCAAATTTTGTGCTGAAACTCATGGAATTGCTGAAAATCGCTGAAAATCAATGATTTCATCGTGTTCAGCCCAAAAAGTTCCGCTAACTCACCCCAAGGTACACCAAACAACTCACAATTTGCTACCATTTTGAAAATCTTCCCGGAAATTCGATTTCAAATCCGAAAATTTTCGCGCGCGCGCGATTAATAAAACCAATGAAAATATAAATAAATGTCTTATCTCCTCCAAAATGCAGCTTTCGATTTCTTTTACTTGTTTTTTTTTACCCAAAAAAAACACAGCCTTTTGGAGACCAAAAATTGGGTCAATGCCATAATAAAATCATAATTTTACTTGATTTTTTTCTCTCGGAAAACGAAAAAAAATAAATATAAAAATAAAAAACGTGACCCAAATTTCCCCGAAAAAAATTTCCCCAAAAAAAATTTTTCGGAACCCTCAAAAATCACGCCATTTTGATTTTGTATATTCGGACAAAATAGGCATGGTTCAAATAATGTGCGAAATGTTATCCAAAGGTAGGTCTGAAATTGCTGAAAATCAATGATTTCGTGATTTTCAGCACAAAATTTTAGCCTAGAAAGTTTTTTTCCAGCGCATTTCAGGCTGATCCAAAATTTTTGGAATTTTTGGCATAATTTTCTTTAAAATCTTTCTAGACCTAAATTTTGTGCTGAAAATCATGAAATTGCTGAAAATCGCTGAAAATCAATAATTTCACGGTTTCCAGCACAAAATTTCAGCCTAGAAAGTTGTTTTTTGCTACAGTAACCCATCTGATCCAAAATTTTGGCACAATTTTCTTTAAAATCTTTCTAGACCCAAATTTTGTGCTGAAAATCACGGAATTGCTGAAAATCAATGTTTTCATGATTTTCAGCACAAAATTTCAGCCTAGAAACTTTTTTTCTCTACAGTAACCCGGTTGATCCAAAATTTTGGAATCTCTGGCACAATTTTCTACAGTATCTTTCTAGACTCAAATTTTGTGCTGAAAATCATGGAATAGCTGAAAATCGCTGAAAATCAATAATTTCACGGGTTCCAGCACGAAATTTCAGCCTAGCAACTCAAAAAGCCCGGAAAATACCTTCATTTTGCCCCAAGTTTTTTGAGTGGCCTAGAAATCCAATGTTGGTTTTCTAGGCCATTCATATTTAGGTTCAAAAAATCGCAAATTTTCCCGTTTTTCCAGAAAAATTCGTACAAATCAGTTATATAACATTTTTTATACTTCAATTTCTGTTCGTAGTTTCAACCACATGCGCCAAGAAAAAAGGAAATAAAAAAGGAAAAAAACAGAAAAAATTGGCCACAAGTTCGAGAAGAGTGAGTTTTTTTGGCGCCAAAAAAATTGGAATTCAAAAAAAAATTCTATTTTTTTACAGGATGCCAGCAGCTCTTCGCAAATCTCCAGGGCAGCCAAGAAAAAATCATCGGCGGCTGTGATTTCAGCCAAATCTTCTTCGAAAAAAACTCAAAAATCTGGAATTCGCGGCGCATCTCAAATATCTGGAGCTCAAAGTCCAGCGGCTCCGGGAGCACAAGATGCTGCTGGCGGTGGTGTGTCAGCCTATCAACCTCCACCATATCACGAGCGCCCGAGACATCCAGGATTTGAGGCGCCGATTGAGGATACTGAGGAAAATAAGACCGAATATCAGGTGAATGGGTTTGCGGATGCCGAGAATTTTTGAGAGAAATGAGATCTGAAACTTGATAAAGTATTTATTTTACGTGTTTTTTTTAGATTTAAAAAAAACCTTGAAATTATACGTTTCAAAAAAAAATCCTAAATCTCTCAAATATTCTATGAAAATGTTCATTGGGTGAAAAAGATTTTTACAGAATTTTGAAAAATTGAAGTTTCTAGATTGAAAGTGGCCCGGAAAGCCCTTGGAAAAGCCTAGGAAGCCTGAAAAATTTGTTCCAGAAAATTATTTTTTTTCAAGAAATTATTTCACTGTTTCAAAAAAATCCTAAAAATTTCAATTATTCTATGAAAATGTTTTTTTTAGTATTTCTTCTTTACAGAATTTTGAAAAATTGAAGTTTCTTGGTTGAAAATGGCCTAGAAAGCCTGAAAAGGCCTGGACTGAACTTCAGGCCGGCCTAAAATCTTTTTTTTTCACTCTGAAAAATCGCATTTTTAACCCTATAGAAACTTCTAATCTGTTCCAGAAAATTAAAAATTTTTCATAAAATATTTCACTGTTTCAAAATAAAATAGGAATAAATTGAACTTTGTGCACAATTTCACGACAAAACGGGGAAAAATATGATTAAGAGTCCTAAGCCAAAAAATGATTTTTTTTAATCCCGGATTTCAGTTGAAGCTTTGAAAAGTCGCAATATTCACCGAATTTCATCGAAAAAAGTTCACTGTTTCAAAAAAATTCGAAAAATTATTGGAAAATTATACTTTTTGATGAAGCGTTCCCGTAGCCATTCAAAACGTTTGAATTTATTTATGGTGATTATTTCAGAAAATGCGAGGAAAATTGCTTTATTAAAAAAAGAAATGACTTTTAAGGTTTAAGACAAGGCACGAATTTCTCATCGGGAAGATTGAGTTGAATATCCATATTCACGATATCAAGATTATAATCAAATTTTCCCACAAATTTGTTAAAACATGCTACTTGAAAGCCAGTCTCGTCTTGGACGATATTATGGCATGAATGTGCAACCCGAACCCATACATCATAAACAGTCTGAAAACAAGAATAAGATACCACATGACACATTTCACGTTTAACTCACTTTTTCAGAACCACCTTTGTTTTCCACTGTTCTCTCACTGTTGAATATGCTAGTTCCGGTTCCAAAATTCCAGATTCGAGTAATATAATGAGTATTATTGGAATTGTTTTCATCGACATTAATTACATACATATAATAAGTGAATATAGTTTTTGGCCCATCGATATTGCAGGTTAGGTGGCCCGTTATGTTTGCAACTGTCGATTCGGCTCCATTAATGTTGATTGTGAAGAAAACAGCAAACAAGAACAAAATTGTTGATTTCATTTTCAATGATTTTGTTCGAAATATGTTGAATTAGTTCTTATATACAGCAAAATAATTTCATTATGTTATTTATTTTGAAAAATATTTATTATAAAACATTAATCATGGAAACGGAGAAGAAAATTGCTTGGTTTCAAAAATTCAAAAAACCTCGAAATTATACGTTTCGAAAAAAATTTAAAAATAATTTTTCCAGAAAAAAATCATTCGGTGAATTAATTGACTCAAAAACCCAATTTTTACATATAAATCCAAATTTTCTGTCGTTTTGAGCTGAAAATGGCCGGAAAGAAGTCTAAAATTGTCTAATCAGGGCCGAAAATGTTTTTTGATGGAAAATCGCATTTTTTACACAGAAACCTCTAATCTGTTGCTGAAAATGTTATTTTTTTCAAAAATTATTTCACTGTTTCAATAATCTTTTAATAAGTGCAGGTGAAGTTTTAACACAATTCTTCTTTTCAGTTTGAAATTAAAAAATTAAAACATCTGAATTTCCGCTAGAATTCGTCTATTTCAAGGTAACTTTCAACAAAAAAATTTTAATAAATTTTTCAAAAATGAACCTCAAATTTATACGTTTCAAAAAAAGTAGGAAAACATTTAATTTAATTTTTAATTTAATTTATTTACGACATTGGAAGAACACCGTCAGAAAGAAGAAGACAAATTACAAATGTAATTTCAAAAACGTAGATGACACAGTTTGTTGCTGACTATAAATGTTAGCTTGAGCAAAAATTAGAAAATAGAAGAAAAAAAGTGAGATCATGCGAAAAGGTAGTAGAGATTTTAAAATAAAAAAGGAAGGGGGGGGGGTGTGAGGAGTATAAATAGAAACAAAACAGAACAAACAAAAATATGACGGATATGTTGGGTGGACTAGGTTTAGTTGCTTGTTGATTGAAAAAAAATGTAAAAGGTTTGAATTTGTTATAGATATTTGGATTTGCTAAAAGACTACGATCCCAATCCATTGAAAAGGTTGGAATGTGAAAATTTCAGTTAAATGTGTTAGAAACCCAAGAATCCGAAACCAATACGAGAGCTAGAAAGAGCTGGATTTTGATATTTTTATTTGTTTTTATTTTTAATATTTTGGTTGGTTATGGTGGACAGAAAATGGAATGGACAGAAAATGGAATGGACAGAAAATGGAAAATTAAATTTTGAGCAAAAATTGATATGTTTATGAAAACCCAAGAATATAAAACCATCTAAACAGGTAAGAGAAGCACGCCCTGTATAGTTTGACATGAAAATAGATTCAAAATGTATCGTAATTCTTTACTGAAAAATGCACTGTTTCAAAATATCTAGAAATCATCGAAAATTGAACAATCCATGACGAATGTCTCATTATGAAGATCCAATTCATAGGTGAAGCCGACAAGTCCCAAGTTACATCCAACACCGCCAAGTCTTATGGCGGAACAAATTTGTTGACCAGAAGCTGTGCAATTATGACGCACATTGAGATAAACCAAATCAATTAGCATATTTCTTTCTGTACAACTCACATTATAATCATTGTTATTCAATTCTTTTTGTGTCTCCATTGTGATATATCCAGCTGATTCTCCACGGCTTGGGAAATCAGTGATCAACTGATTTTCTCCAGAAAGTTCATCGACTTCAAATAAATCAGCTTTAAAAGCAAAAGGAGTTGCCATTCCATTTGTATAACATGTTAGATTTCCCAAAGTTGTTAGAATTGTTGATTTGACTTCATTGATGTTGATTGTGAATAAGACGACGAACAATATTTGAATTATTGATCTCATTTTTAATGACTTTTTTCAAAATTAGTTTTTATATAGGGCGAAATTAATCATAATGTTATTTATTTATTTCAGAAAATATTTAATATACAACATTATTCATGAAAACGGAAAAGAGAATTTCTTGGTTTCAAAATTAAAACACAACGTTTCGCCCTCTCATTAAAATCCCGTAAGGTGAAATTTATTTAGAAATGTTCATTTCTCCCGGTCACGTGAAATTCTGATAAATATATATTTATCAAAAATGCTTCATTTCTTACCTACACGTGTGGTGTAGGCGGGGAGAGCGATGCCTTCCAATCAGGCAACCCGCCTTCTTTTGTGGGTTCGAGCCCCACTCGGAAAAAATTTTTCCCTATATCGAGTAATGCAGATTTTCGGAAATTTTGTTCCTTTCTCCCCAAAATTGCGAAAATTCGACATTCCAACGCGGCAAAAAAAGAAAAAAGAAGAAGGAATAAAAAGAGCTCAAAAATAATGAGAAAATCAAGAAAATATCCTGCGTGACCCATGAACGAAAAAGCCTGATTCTTCAGATGCTATTGGCATTGTTTAAGAATTCCTAATTCCTAACGGGCCAAGAATATTATTCAAGTCTTCAATACGAAAAAAAAATATTAAATAAGTTTTTTTTTTGAAAAATTTATTGATGACGTCATCCATGGCAAAATTAGGAAGCCTTCCTAATTTTGCCACGAATCATTTTTTGATCAAAAATTTCAAGATTTTTCATGAATTCAATTGTAATTCGTGTGATTTACCTCTTACGAGTAAATTTAATTCAAAAAATAATTAAATAAGTTTTTTTTCGAAAAATTTATTGATGACGTCATCCATGGCAAAATTAGGAAGCCTTCCTAATTTTGCCACGAATCATTTTTTCACCAAAGTTTCAAGATTTTTCATGAATTCAATTGTAATTCGTATGATTTACCTCTTACGAGTAAATTTAATTCAAAAAAATAATTAAATAAGTTTTTTTTCGAAAAATTTATTGATGACGTCATCCATGGCAAAATTAGGAAGCCTTCCTAATTTTGCCACGAATCATTTTTTGATCAAAAATTTCAAGATTTTTCATGAATTCAATTGTAATTCGTATGATTTACCTCTTACGAGTACATTTAATTCAAAAAAATAATTAAATAAGTTTTTTTTCGAAAAATTTATTGATGACTTCATCCATGGCAAAATTAGGAAGCCTTCCTAATTTTGCCACGAATCATTTTTTGATCAAAAATTTCAAGATTTTTCATGAATTCAATTGTAATTCGTATGATTTACCTCTTACGAGTACATTTAATTCAAAAAAATAATTAAATAAGTTTTTTTTCGAAAAATTTATTGATGACGTCATCCATGGCAAAATTAGGAAGCCTTCCTAATTTTGCCACGAATCATTTTTTGATCAAAAATTTCAAGATTTTTCATGAATTCAATTGTAATTCGTATGATTTACCTCTTACGAGTAAATTTAATTCAAAAAAATAATTAAATAAGTTTTTTTTCGAAAAATTTATTGATGACGTCATCCATGGCAAAATTAGGAAGCCTTCCTAATTTTGCCACGAATCATTTTTTGATCAAAAATTTCAAGATTTTTCATGAATTCAATTGTAATTCGTATGATTTACCTCTTACGAGTACATTTAATTCAAAAAAATAATTAAATAAGTTTTTTTTCGAAAAATTTATTGATGACTTCATCCATGGCAAAATTAGGAAGCCTTCCTAATTTTGCCACGAATCATTTTTTGATCAAAAATTTCAAGATTTTTCATGAATTCAATTGTAATTCGTATGATTTACCTCTTACGAGTACATTTAATTCAAAAAATAATTAAATAAGTTTTTTTTCGAAAAATTTATTGATGACGTCATCCATGGCAAAATTAGGAAGCCTTCCTAATTTTGCCACGAATCATTTTTTGATCAAAAATTTCAAGATTTTTCATGAATTCAATTGTAATTCGTATGATTTACCTCTTACGAGTACATTTAATTCAAAAAAATAATTAAATAAGTTTTTTTTCGAAAAATTTATTGATGACTTCATCCATGGCAAAATTAGGAAGCCTTCCTAATTTTGCCACGAATCATTTTTTGATCAAAAATTTTAAAATTTTTCATGAATTCAATTGTAATTCGTGTGCTTTATAATTTTTTGAATCAACCGAAAAAAAATCGGCCCGAGTTTTTCCAAAAAAAAATCGGCCCGAGTTTTTTTTTTAAAAAATCGGCCCGAGTTTTTCCAAAAAAATCGGCCCGAGTTTTTCCAAAAAATCGACCCGAGTTTTTTTTTTAAGTGAAAAAAAATCGGCCCGAGTTTTGTTTGACAAAAATACCCGCCCAAATGAAAATTTCGATTTGAGCGGGTAGCTGACAAAAATTGAAGTTTTTATTTTCGTGTATACAGTCAACAAAAAAGTAACAGATTTGGAATAATCCAAAAATGTAAACATGAAATCGATGAGTTGCGACCTAAATGACACTTCCTCTCAGGCTTAGGCTTAGTAAACAACTCAGAACCAACTTTGAAGCTAAAAAAAATTGAAAGAAAATTTTTAACACTGTTAAAAAAACGAGAAAATTTAGAATTTCATCCAGAAATGAAATTATTGTCTCCAAACCGAAATTTCTGTTTGGAGACGGTAATGTCTATAATTATGCAAATAAAAAAAGAGATTCAATTATGTTTTATGAAAAATAGTTTGATGACTTTATCCATGGCAAAATTAGGAAGCCTTCCTGATTTTGCCACGAATCATTTTTTGATCAAAAAACTTGAAATTTTTCATGAATTTGTTTTCCACAGAAAATTGAAAATAATCACAGAAAAAAGTGAAACTGAAAAAAATGAGAAGACTGTTACGCCTGGGGGCTAACAGCCCCTAGTCAAAAAAATTGAAAAAAATGAACCTCGAAATAATACGTTTCAAAAAATTCATTAAAAAACAAAATTAGAAAAAAAATTATTAAAAAGGTGTATTCCAAAAAAAAACAGCGGATACCATGATTTTAGATCTTTTTTGTAGCTCGAAATGGCTCAAAAACTCATTTTTCGCAGAAAAATACACATTTTCAGTCATTTCAGCCTAGAAATGGCCCAAGAAAACTAAAACTATTCAAACAGGGCTTGCGAAGCACGCCCTGTGCAGTTTTGGCCTAAGAATTGCTCTGAAGCCTGAAAAGAGCCCCGGAAGCCTGAAACTGACTGAACAGGGCTCACGGAGCACGCCACGTGGATTCTGAGTTGGAAAAAATGGACCAGAAGCCCAAAAAGAGCCCATGAAGCCTAAATCTGTCTAAACAGGGCTTGCGGAGCACGCCCTGTACAGTTTCAGCCTAAAAATGCACCAGAAAGCCCGAAAACGTTTTTTTTCAGCTTTTCCCTCAAATTCCACCCCAAAACCCACTTGGAAAATAAAAAATACCTTCATTTGTCGGTGAAAATGTCTAATTATATCTAACATAAGCAGATCTAGCCATCTGATTCTGTCTTCCTTCCAAAACTCCTTCAATAGCTTGTCGAATTTCCATCATATTATCTCGATCTGCCGGATTTTGTGGCCAACATTGTGCCGTCATTATATTTCGACAAATCATTGGCATTTTATCGGGTGGCGACATTCGATATCCTTTTCGAACTTCTTTGCTCACTTCAGCCAATGTCATTCCAGGATATGGAATTGCACCATCCATAAAGATTTCCCAGAGAAGAATACCAAATGAGAAAACATCGGATTTGAAGGAATATGTGGCAGTTACGATAACTTCTGGGGCAAGCCAGCGAATTGGTAGTTTTTGGTGGAGATCCTGCAAAAAATTTCACTGTTTCAAAAATTCATCAAAAAATCTGTAAAAGTATAATTTTGCTTGTGAATTTTCAATGAAATCATAGGATCGGAAAACATTAGTGGAAATTCTGAGAAATAATGAATTCAGGGATTTTTTTTGGGAAATTCAGATCTCTCTCAAAAATTTCACTGTTTCAAAAACCTGATAATTTTTTTTTTGAAAAATATAATTGTTAATGATATACATAGTCTTCGCAGATTCACTCATAAAATTTTAGACGATTGCTCATATCATAAAAATTTTTAAAAAGATTTTTAGAATCTGGAAATTTCAGTCTAGATCTTGGGAAAAATCAAAATTCACTGTTTCAGAAATCCATCAAAAAAAAATTTTGAGAATTTTTTTCTAATTCTTCTGGTCCCGCTTTTGAAGATAAATTCCAAAATTAATGAAAAAACTGAATTTTAGCTAATTTTTAAACAGAAAAAAATCACTGTTTCAAAAAATCCAGAAATTTCAAGACAAACAACAATTTTTAATTCTATCGTCACCTAATTAGGAAAAAATTCTGCAGTTTCAAAAAATCCAGAGAATAAAAATGCAAAAATTTATACAAAACAGCAGAAATAATTGCAAAATTTGAAATTTTTTACAAAATTATTTTTTTTCAAAATTTGACTGTTTCAAAAAATCCAGAAATTTCCAGGAAATCGAAGATTTTTTATTAACAATTATTTAAGCCAAATAAAATTCACTGTTTCAAATTTTCTAGAAATTCCTATAATAATAAAATCTTCGATAATCGATATCTTTGCTGTTGGAAAATTTTTTTTTAAATTTCCATTTCAGGGATTGCTGAGAAATTTATGTCAAATTTGAATTCCAAACAACTTTTCTAATGAAATTATGAGATGGAAAAATTTTAGGGATTTTCCACTGTTTCAAAAAATAATTAAAAATTCCGAAAATCAAAAAATTTTAATTCATTGCCAAAATGATATTTTGAAAATTTCAGGTACAGTAATCCGAGGTACTGTAATTTTTTGGGACTAAAAATAGTGCCTGAATTTTAAAATTTCATATTTTCATCAAAAATTGAGAAGCTTTGAAAATCCTATTCTTCTTGAAAACTAAAGATTGCTCATGTTATAATTTTTCCCCAAAAAAATCCCCCACCTTCAGCTTATATTTATGCGCATGATCCGACAATTGTTTCGACAATCCAAAATCCGTAATCTTAACCACTCCTTTATGCACCAAAAAATTCCTAGCAGCCACATCTCGATGAATACATCCATTTTGATGCAAATATTCCAATCCTTTACTAGCATCAAATGAATATTTCAATTTATCTCTTAATGTGATTTCATCTTTCGATGACGAATTCTTCAAAAATGAGTCAAGTGCACCTTGATTCGCCAATTCCATCACCAACATAATTGGCTCTTTTTCCACACAAACACCATAGAAACTGACGACATTTGCATGTTGATATTGTCGCATTATTCGAGCTTCTTTGCAAACATCTTCGATCATTGAACGTGTACTCATTTTATCATTGCCTTTGTTCACCTGAAAATTGAATTTTGAAAAACAAACTGGTGGGATTTTGAATTTTTCTTCAAAAAATCTATAGTTCATTGGAGCACACTTGCATTTTTCTGATTTTTTTAGTTTCAAAAAAAATGAATCCTATATTTCAATAGAGCGCATTTGCATTTTCCATTCGAAAGATTTAAAACCCAACAACGAAGTAATGAAGAAATACATTTTTTTCTAAAATTTTTGAAACAGTAATTTTTATAAATGAAAAATTTCATTTTTTCCAAAAACATGGCAAACATCTTTTCACTGTTTCAAAAATGTCATAAATTCTCAGAGAATTTCCAATAAATTCAGTTGCGAAATTTTTCGAATAATAATTTTACTAGAAAAAATCCACTGTTTCAAAAAATGTTAAAAATTTGGCTTTCAAAATGAGGAATGCTATAGCTTCTTGAAACATTGGATTCTATTTTCAAACTATAATTTTTCGAACAAAGAATGAAACCGAAACCATCAAAAAAATTTTCCAAAGTTTTCTAAAATTTTTGAAACAGTGTTTTTTTTTGGTAAAATTCAAATTTTCTGTAACTTTATAATATAAAATTACAGAATTCAAAAAAGCAAACAAATTGAATTTTTCGGGCTTTTTCACGACATTTAAGTTTGTAAATCTGAAATTTTTGAATTAAAGAAAATTCACTGTTTGAAAAATTTTTGAAAACTGAGAAAAAAAGAAAAAAAAACAATTTAGATAATTTCGAGTTTGTAAACAAAAATTACAAGATACAGAAAATCTGAATTTTTTTCAATTTTTTTTTGAAAAAAAAACTACTGTTTCAGGAATTTTTGAAAATTTTAGAAAAAAAAATTGTTTTTTGATCCTGTAATTATAATCAGATTTAGTCAAAAAATTGATCAGAAATTGTTTAAAAAAATGGCCAAATTTTTACTAAATAGTTTTTGCCAAAAAAAACTTTTTGGTCAAAAATGCACCAAATTTTGGTCAGGCACCTGTGTGTTGGCGTTTTTCTTTTAAATTTACAAAATTAACAGAACATTTGAATTTTTTAATTTTTTTTGAAAAATACTACTGTTTCAAAAATTTCATAAAATCTCAGAAAGCATATTTCAAACCAATACCAAAAACATTACATCTTTTTCACACCTCGGCCAGAATCGTGGTTTCCACAATAAAAAATTGTACGCTTACTTTTTACAGTACAAAACTTGTGAATTTTTCAGTTTTTGTCCTCTAAAAATTGTGATTTTTCAATTTTTGACCTCTAAAAACTGAAATTCAGATTTTTCAAAAAATTGTACTCTGGCCAGCCACGGCTTGGCCGAGGTGTGATCTTTTTTCAAAATTTGAACGGGAAATGCAAGTGCGCTCTGATGAACTATCGCATTTTTCAAATGAGAATAGAGAATTCTTCAAAAAATGTGCTCTATGAAACTATCAGATTCCTATTGAACTTTCGTTCAAAACAAATCTGATGTGAAAAGTTTGTTAAAAAAACTAGTCCTCATTTGTAAAACAAAATTTTGAAAATCTCTTGAAACAGTGATTTTTTTCAGAAATCTGTTAATTAAAATTTCACAGAATGAACCTCAAAACGATCGAAAAAATTATCCAAATTTTTCTAGAATTTTTGAAACAGTGTTTTTTGCTGAAATTCGATATTTCTGTAACTTCATAATATAAAACCACAGATATCAAAAATGCGAAAACAAATGCATTTTTCGGGCTTTTTAAGCTTCTAAATCTGAAATTTTTGAATTTTGTAATCAGAAAAAATCACTGTTTCAAAAATTTTTGAAAACTGAGAAAAAATTTTCTTTTTGATTCCAAGGCGTTCTCGTGTAAATCTACAAAATTAACAGAAAAACTGAATTTTATTCAATTTTTTTTTTGAAAAAAAATACTGTTTCAGAAATTTTTGAAAACTTCGGAAACATTTTCTTTTTGATGATCAAGGCGTTTTCCTTTAAAATTTACAAAATTTAAAGAAAATCTGAATTTTATTCAATTTTTTTTCGAAAAAAAATCACTGTTTCAAAAAATAAAAAAATTAAAAATGTATTATTTTTGAAAATTTTTTACTGGAAAAAATCCCCTGTTTCAAAAATTGTACAAAATTTTTCACTGAAAATTAGAACTGCTTTAGTAATCCCATATTTTCAAAATTTTGAGCGGAAAATGCAAGTGCACTCTAATGAACTATCGCATTTTTAGGCAATTTTCGAATTTCTTGAAAACTATAAAATTTATTAGATTTAAAAAATTAAATTTTTCAAAAAAATTACTGTTTCAAAAATTCCTCTGAAGAAATATAATTTTTGATTTTTTTATTATTTTACGTATGTGATTTTGAATGGAAAATGAAAGTTCGCTCTATAGAACTATCGATTTTTTGTGTTTCCGACTCACCTTCACAGCCACCGCCAATTTCTTTGATTTCAAACAAAAAACTGCCTTATAAACCCCACCAAAAGCTCCTTCACCCAACATTTTCTCCAAACAAATTTGATCATGTCTCAATTCCCAATCCTGTTTCATAATCGGATTTATCAAAATTGCTGGACAATTTGCTGAAACTGGCAACTTCTTCGATCTCAATTGATTTATCATATCACAAACATTTGCAAATTTCTTCTCATCCAAAATCACACTTCCATCCTTGTTTTCAGCAATTTGCCAATGATGACATTTTCCTTTGTATTTTGCTGATAAAACCAGTTGAACACTGTCTTTTTCCTTGTCTTTTTCCGTGTTTCGGTGTGATTTTCGGACAATGAAATCGCCATCATTTATCAGGATTCTGGAAAAAAATTGGAGAATTTTGGGTGAAAATTCAGAAATTTTCCATTTCTCCATGATTTTTTCACAATTTTTCAATTTTAACCATCTTTTGGTTAATTTTTAGTGCAGAAAATCAGATTTTCAAATTTGCCGCCAAAAACATCAACGCGTTGCGGTCACGCGCTGCGTGTCGTCTGAAGAAGCTCTCCAATTTCCAAGCAACTGCAGCAAAGTTGCTCTATTGCACAATCATTTTTCTATCGAAATCCGGGACGCGTTGCGGTCACGCGATGCGTGTTTCATTCTTCGAGAAAACACGCATCGCATGACCGCAACGCGTCCCAAGAAAAACTGATTGTGCAATAGAGCAACTTTGCTGCAGTTGCTTGGAAATTGGAAAGCTGCCAAAAGAGAACTTTTGTGCATTTTTGCGTGAATGAAAGAATTTTAGAAGACACGCAGCGCGTGACCGCGACGCGTCCAACAACATTGCTTAAAAAACCCACGAATTAATATCAGCTCTCGGCAAAAGTCCGTGATACCAATCCTGCTCCTCGTGACTTGTTGGTGTAGTTATACCAACCGAAATTGTGTCGGCTGAAACAATTTCACCCATCACCGATCTTCCACGATCTTGTTGTTCTTTGCTCATTTTTGACTATATTATTGATTTTTGGCTCCTTCGGCTCTTTTTTTTTTGATAAGAATAAAATTTGATAAATCTATCTGGTTTGAAACCGTTTGGTTGAGTTGGGATATAGAAAAATGAGCGGGTTTTTTTGGATTTTTGGTTTTTTTTGGTGAATACGTGGCTGGTTTTTAGGACACGTATTTTTCTGGGGAAAAACAATTATTTTTAGATTTTTTTATTTTTGAAAAGGCGTGAAATGTGAATAACACTTTTAAAGGAAATTTTCGAGATTTTGGAGAAAATTGAGCTCTCAAAACCGATTTTTTTGCTTTGAAAACAGAATTTTCAACAAAATCTAGATTTTCAGTGATTTCATCGAATTTTCTTCGCTATTAAATTTAAAAAATGGTTGAAAATCAATCTTACCTCATTTTCCAGCATATTTCGTTCGATTTCACCGTGAAAATCCATTCTAAACACTGAAAAAAGCATTTGACTGCAAAAAAAACAAAAAAATGAAATGCGCGTCAAATAAAATGAAATGTCCGCAAGTGTGTTTGCACACAAGCCAACACAGCTACAGTAATAATCGATTTATTTATTTATTTTTTCCTCCAAAACACAAAAGCTGATGTTACAGACAAACTATAATGTGCTGAAATTTTCAGAAAGCAGGTGAAAATCAATCTGACCGGAACCAACAATGGCAGCTGAAAAACTCACTTTTTCTCGAAATTTATCGAAAAAACCATGGCAAAATGAGTTTTTGGGAGATAATCAACAATTGTTTGGTGCTTTGCGATGCTCCGGACAATTTCGAGCAACTCTTCGATGTTCTCGAATATCATCGGCTGAATTTTATCGATCGATATCGATTGATTTTGTGGATTTTGGGAGTTGGCACAAATCTCATTGTGATCTCAACGATTTATTTCATTTGTCGCGTAAAATCGGCTGTTGATCGAAGTTATCGAAACATCATTTTGATGAATATCATCCTGCCCTGCTTATTCACCAATTATATTTGCTTTATCTGGCAACCGTATTCGATTGCACCGTATTTCATGTTTTTCGTTGTGGGACCCATTGTTGTCGATCATTTTGTGACTGGAATTTGTATGATTGTATGGGTGAATTTGATGATTCCATTTGTTTATTCGTTGATTTCGCAGCTCAATTATCACTTTTTTATTGTCGTTTATCCGTCGAAGATTTTGTGAGTTTTTCACGGGGTTTTAGATTTTTGACTCAAAATCTTTGTAAATTTCGTGGTTTTTCGGGTCTCGCCACGATTTTTAATTAAAAATCGCTTTAAAATTCCAATTTCAAGGTCTCGCAGCGATTTTTAGCTTAGAATTCCCTGAAAAAACTCTATGCGCCTTGAAACATCGATTTTTTGGGTCTCGCAACGATTTTTAATTAAAAAATTGCTTCAAAACTTCAATTTTGAGGTCTCACAGCGATTTTTAGCTCAGAATTTCATGGAAATCGCGGCGAGACCCAAAAAACCTAATGCGCCTTGAAAAACTTTGAAGGAATATCGATTTTTGGGTCTCGCCACGATTTTTCGTTGAAAAATCGCTTTAAAATTCCAATTTCAAGGTCTCGCAACGAAAAATAGTTCAGTAAATTTGTAAACTTCGCTGCGAGACCCAAAAAACTTGATGCGCCTTGAAATTCATTTGAGAAATATTGATTTTTTGGCGCCAAAAAATGCTACGTGGCAAAAAACCTTATAAATTTTCCTGCAGAAAAATGCGTCGCTTCGTAATCTTCTGGAACGTGGCCACAATCCTCTCCGTCATCTTCAACGTCACCGTAATGTATTGGGCGATTTGCGATAACTCACAAACCTACGATCACATTCTCCAAATCGACATTCGTCTCAAAGATCATCTCACCAACTTCGCCACCTTTGTAATCGATATGAAAAATGCGAAATTCGCCATTAATTTATTGATTGCCGAAGGAATTTATGCGATAGTTCTTGCAAGTTGCGCACTTCTCTTCTCATTTTTCAAACTTATCATAAGTTTCAAAAATCAAGAGCTTCAATTGCTCACAACATCACTTTCCAAGCAGAAAAAACGAATAGTTTTGGTTCTTTTGGTTTACGTCATCACATATTTATTGATTTTGGCTATTCCGTCAATCGTCTTGGGTGGTTTATATTTCACCAATGCAAAAATCGAATATTATCCAATTCCCGCTTTGTTTTTTATACTACAGTCTAGTCCAGCTATTTTGTTTTGCTTGATTAATTTGCTCACAATTACACCGTTTAGAGAGAAATTGTTTTCGAGTTGTATACCAAGGGCGAGACATTTTGTTAATAGTGTTGGAAGTTCAACTACCTAATTAATTAGGTACTTAATTAGGTGTTAATTAATAAATTTTTGCTTTTTGGGTGCTTTAGCTTGCGAAATTTGCTATTTTTTGGCGAAAAAAATTCACTGTTTCAAAATTTTTATTTGAAAAAAATTCGAGTTTTTGAGAAGTTTTATATTAAAAATATAGTTGTAGAGCTAAGTTTTAAGGTCCTTAAGGAAAATTCTTGTTAACAGTTCCCACAATTCAATTCCAAGTTCCCATAACTCTTCAAAACTCTGGTCAAAAACAAAGGTACCAGGTAGTTCTGGGTGGCTGGCAATAATATTTGCATTTTTGGGTGGCCTATTTGTTTTGGGCTCCTCCTATCTCGTATTTACTTTTGACTTTGACTTGTAGGTTACTTATTTTTGGGTGGCACCAAATATATTTGTATTTATTTTGTTTTTGGGTGGTTGGTGGTCAGGGCTTATGACACTTGGTGGTCTTTTTTTGGGGATTCTGGAGCTTCTGAAGTTGCTGGTGCATTTTTGGTAGCTTCTGAAGTTGCTGGGGAATTTTTAAAAGCTTCTAGTTTTGCTGACGCATTTCTAGCAGCTTCTGAATTTTCTGGCGCATCTCTGGTAGCTTTTGAAGTTGCTGACGCATTTCTAGAAGCTTCTGAAATTGATAGCACATTTCTGGTAGCTTCTAGTTTTGCTGACGCATTTCTAGAAGCTTCTAGTTTTGCTGACGCATTTCTGGTAGCTTCTGAAGTTGCTGGCGCATTTCTGGTAGATTCTAATTTTGCTGACGCAATTCTTCTGAAGTTGCTGACGCATTTTTGGTAGCTTCTGAAGTTGCTGGCGCATTTTTGGTAGCTTCCAGTTTTGCTGACGCATTTCTGGTAGGTTTTGAAGTTGCTGGCGCATTTCTAGTAGATGCTAATTTTGCTGACGCATTTCTGGCAGCTTCTGAAATTTAATTTCAGCACTTAAAACTCGAAACTGCAAATTCATGAATATTCTCAAAAATTCACTGTTTCAATACATTTTTAATTGGATTTTGTGATAAAATTTTCTGTTTCTGATTCTTCTTTTTTTCCTGGCCCAAAATTAAAAAGGTTTTTTGTTTTTTTTTTCAAATCTCAAAAATCCCGCGCAAAGTTCAGCATTAAAAACCCACATTTTTAATGAACTTTTTCAAATTCAATTTTTTTCGAATAAAAAAAATTATAAATTTTTTTTGCTGAACTTTTTGTGTACTTTATGCATGCTTTTTGTCAGGCGAAAAATCGTTGTTTGTCAAAATGACGTGGCAACAAAAATTGAAATTGTATCAAAAAGTTGGTTTTCTCGAAAAATTTTGATCAATTTTTCTGTGCCGAAAACTTATTTGGTAACCTGGTAACAGAGCAGCCTTTGTCTTTTTGCTCAGAGCTCCAAACATTTGGAGCTCTGAGCATTTTTTGGCTTCCCCTTTTCCAAAAATGTATAATTTTCTTCTTATCATGTGTATTTACTTTTATCGATTTTTTCTGATAAAAATTTTGAAATTTTAGATCTCTAGCTTCAGATTCAGATTCTCTTTTATCGATTTTCAGATACAAAATTTTCAGCTCTCTCAAAAAAATCAAATTTAAATTTCAGATGCACACCTCTCGCCTTGTATTTCTCTGCAATGTTTCTCTCGTAATTCTATCGATTGGCGGACTTTGTCTAACTTCGTCGATTTTTGATTTTATAGTCAGCTCCAGACTTTATTATACTGTACCGGATCATGTGAGTTTTTTTTTTGTTGAGGAAATTTGCGATTTTTTGATACCAAACATGTCGGGGGTTACTGTAGATTTTTCCCCTAATTTTGATTTACCAGAACTTTTAGGATAATTTTTTATCATTGTCAAAGTTGGGAGCTACAGTAACCCTGGGGCCTAATTTTGATCTACCAAAAAATACCTTTTGGCACAATTTTCTTCCAGGGTTACTGTATGTTTTCGCCTCATCTACAGTAACCCTGAGGTTTCTGAGAACCAAGTTTTGATCTACCAGAAATTTTTAGATTTCAGTAGGGATACTGTAGATTTTTTCAGAACTACAGTAATCCAGGTTCTACAGTCACAAAAATTTGATATACCAGAATTACAAGATAGGGTTTGGCTACTGTAGATGTCAAAACTTAGGAGCTACAGTAACCTTGGGTTTTTAGGAACCGGATTTTTGGGGATCAATTTTTGATCTACCCGAATTCTTCCACAGTAACCCCAGTCAAATTCGGTCTCAAAAAATCGCAAATTTCTTTCCCAACACCAAATAAAAATCCACGTGGCAAAACCCTCCCAACTCTCAACTATTCCAGAAAGTTCTGATCAATCCTCTCCTCGCCCTCTGGCTTTTTCCCAGCTCAACACTCTCCTTCATCCTCTCATTCTCCACAATTCTCTTCCTGACTGCCGGCCAAAAAATTGTCGATTTCGCTGTCGACCATCAATTTGTGTTGAGCTTTTTTGTGAGTTTTTTTTGGCTGAAAATCTGAAAAAGCTGAAAATTTTATTGATTTTTTCAGCACGCCATTTTGATGTGCTGCAGTTGCATTTTGTCGTCGTTCGTCAGTTTTTTGTGCGCTCAAAATGCGGCTGATATTGGAGTGTGAGTTTCGGGAAATTTGTTTTTGGCGCCAAAATTTACAGTACCCTGCCACGCTTTGAAAATATCCCAAGTTTAGTCTCAAAATTCTCACCGCCTTCTGAAAAATCCTGATCCCCCATCAAATTCAATTTTCCAGCTACGCAGCTCACGCGAGCCCTCCACAATTCCAACAAGCGTCATCCTGGTATTTCTCGCGTCTCCGTGCTTTGGTCGTTGTTTCAGCAGCTCAATCCATCTTAAACGCCGTCATCATTTCAGTCCTCTATTTGGGCATCAATTGTAAATACCGTACTTTTGTGCAAATTTCGAATCACGACGAGAAAATCACGATTCCGGATTTGGTCGAAAAACGCACGACCACTTATTTTGCTTGAAAAATTTTCGATTTTTCAAAAAAAAGTTTTGAGCTTTAAATGACTTATGTTAAGATCTCTCTGTGATATTTTTGAATGAATTTTTTTATTGAGCGAAAAATATAAAAATTTTGAAACAGTGATTTTTTTTTGTGAAAAAACAACAAAAAACACGTGCGCTAACCACTTGACCAGATCTAAGCATCATCTGAAAACAATATTTTTATCAGATTTCCAAGGTAACATCGTAAATTCACCATGAGTTTCGTAAGAATACTCTCGATAATCCACATCCGAATCAAACAATCCTTCAACATCCCAATCAAACATCCAAACATCCGAATTTTCAACAACTTCAAATATCAATACTTTTTTCTTTCTAAAAATGATTTGTGCTGATGTTTCTCCAGGTCCTCGAATTATGATTCGTTTGCTAGAAATAATTTTTATTCGAAATAATTCACTCAATTTTTGATAACTTACTAACGATTGACCACTTCAGTGTTGAAAAATCCGAAAAATTTTGGAGCATCAAAAAAATAAAGATCCCATTTACAATACTCTAGATTTCTTCTTCCATTTTGCCAAGACTTGATAAATTCAAAAATATCTTCTGCTTTCAAACCTCCAATCGGCATTATTATTTTCTTTGCAGATAATTTAAAAAGTTGTTCACGAGTCAACTCAAAATTTATCGATAAATAATCGGAAACTCGATAAATTTCAGGACAATCCGCATAATTGTTATTCCATTCATCAATCTCCAGATATTCCAACGCATCTCCAGATTTTGATAAAACTTCTCTTACAATATTTGGACAGTCTCTTAAAATCAAATACCGCAAACTAGGAAAACTTGAAATATTTCGCAAATTAGCTGAACATTCCCCATAAATCGTAATACTTTTCACAGTCTTCTGATATTTTTCGAGTTTTTTCACAAACTTCCATTTGGCAAATTCAAGCCCATGTTCACAATTTTTTGCGTTGTCTGAAGTATGTATCTTTTTCGCCGCTGGAAATGATGTTTTGTGATATTTCAGTGGTCAAGAAAAAACTCACAATACCATGCGATTTTCATGACATTCAATAAAATGTCGATTTCCTACAAATGGATATGATTCATTGAATAATAAAACAATACTTTCGTCGAACTTATACCAACTAATTCCGTCAAAAAAACTTCTCGATTCCTTCCAAATTGCACGACATTTCCGCGAAACTTTTCCAAAAGAAATTCTAAAGAAAACATTGTATTTAAAGCAACACCCTCGTATAATAGGCACTTTCTTGAAAAAAGCCCAAATGTTCTCAAATCTTAGATTTAGCTTAGTTTTACTGTCTTCTAGTTCGGAGAAAAAATTCAAAACGTTTGAATAAGTATTAGCCGAAATATGGAAGCCCATTGAAAAACTGAAAAAAAACTCAAATTCAAACAACGCGGGCCAGCGTCAACGCGGAGTCTCGTTGTTTTCTTTTCATTTTTTCACAAAATTTTTCCGTTTTTTTCGGAAAATGACAATTTGCATGGAAAAAACTGTTTTCTGGGTATGAAAAAAATAACTTGAAGAAGTATAAACACTAAGATTCAATATTTCAGACGAAAACTAAATTTTTCAATGGAAATTGTGTTTTTTCAGTTTTTGACCGGAATATGCAATATAAAACTGAAATATCATTGTGAAAAATGAAAGTAGAGATAGTTAAGGATGTTCAGAAATCATTGTTATAATTTATTTCATTGTTTTCAGTGAAAAAATGCACTTTTTGTTGAAAAAAAAGTTGAAAGGGGTACTGTAGCACACAATTTTCGTCACAGTGTTTGCACAAATTTCACGAAATTGCGGATCTGCACAATCTGCAGGCGATTTTCAAAAAAAAATAATTTTTTTTCTCAAAAGTGGTCAAATTTGATCGTTTTTGATTTTTTCTTTTTCATATTGCTTGTGAGCATAGCTGGATAGGTTAATTTTATATATTTTCGTGTTTGAAATCATTTCGCAATGGTCTTATTATACGAGGGTTTTGCTTTAAATTGTTTTAAAAAACAAGAATTTACTTATCCCGTTGATCCATTTTATCAAAAATCAATAATTGTAGTTCATTTGGAATATTTAGAATATAACATGGTTCTTCATCTACGGCCTCCATTTTTGATAAAAAATAAAAAAAGAATGTTTCGCAAGACAAACAATTTTGTTTGCATAAATCAGCAAAGGTTAGTGTTGCTGGAGTGTCGTTTGTTTGAAAATTGATAATTTAAAAATCTACTGTTTCACATTTTGATATTGAAAAAATTGGCTTATGAAATTTTTGATTGGTTTTCTTTATTTTCAGGTTTCAAAGCTCGAACAAATTTATTTACGTCAAAAAAATAGAACAAAAAAAATTGCAGCAAAAATTAATCAGAATCTGACTCTGCTGAATCGGTATCACTTGTTGTATAGGACTCACTATCAGTTGTGGACTCACTATCTGGAAAAAAAATTTTCCGGATTTTCAAAAAAAAAAAAAATGAACTCACCACCAGACGAATAACGATAAATTCTATCATACCTTCCTTCACCATCGAAACCAATATTCTGTGGATTTTCAAAAACTTCAATTTCCAATCTCTTTCCCTTTCTAAATATTATTTCTGCTGATTTTCCTCCGATTCCTCGAATCGTAATTCGCTTGCTGGAAAGAATTTTTGTTCGAAATCATTCACTTAATTTTTTTGATAACTCACTAACGATTGATCACTTGAGTATTGAAAAATCCGAAAAATTTTGGAGCATCAAAATCATTCAATTCTTCCCATTCACAGCACTTTATATTTCTTCTTCCATTTTGCCAAGATTTGATAAATTCAAAAATATCTTCTGGTTTCAAATTTCCAATCGGCATTCTAATATTCTTTGCAGATAATTTGAAAAGTTGTTCACGAGTCAACCCAAAATTTATCGATAAATAATCGAAAACTCGATAAATTTCAGGTAAATCCAAATTTATTTCGTTATCCCGTGCATCAATATAAATCTCCAAATATTCCAACGCATTTACAGATTTTGATAAAACTTCTCTTACAAAATTTGGACAGTCTCTTAAAATCAAATACCGCAAACTGGGAAAACTTGAAATATTTCGCAAATTAACATTGCATTCCTCATAAATCGTAATACTTTTCACAGTATTCTGATATTTTTCGAGTGTTTTCACAAATTTTTCCTCCGCAATTTCAAAACCGTTTTTACATTCTTTGCGTTGTCTAAAGTCTGTATCGTTTGAGCCGCTGCAAAATCCACAACCTTCCTTTTAAATGAAAAAAAAACTTACAATTCATAGTGATTAGGAAAAAATTTAACGAATTGTCCATTTCCTTTAAATGGATATGAGTCATTGACTGATAAAACAATTCTGTCAAATAAATTATCCCAACTAATTCCATCAAATAAACTCTTCGATTCTTTCCAAATTGCACGACATTTTCGTGATGTTTTTCCATAAGAAATTCTAGAAAAAACAGGATTTGTATTAAAATTGTGTTGATGAAAAACAACTTACTTATCCAGCTGTTCCATTTTATCAAAAATCATAAGTTGTAACTCATTTGGAATACTCAGAATATAACATGGTTCTTCTTCTTCTTCAACTTCCATTTTTAAATAAAAACTGACGCGTAAATGTTTTTCAAAACAAACAATTTTGTTTGCATAAATAAACAAAGGTTAGTGTTGCTTGGAGTGTCGTTTGAATATGTAAATTAGCTAAAAACATTTACGCGTCAGTTTTTATTGAAAAATGGAAGTTGAAGAAGAAGAAGAAGAACCATGTTATATTCTGAATATTCCAAATGAGTTACAATTAATGATTTTTGATAAAATGGAACCGGCAGATAAGTAAGTTTTTGTTTTTAAAAACCATTTAAATACAATTTTCTTTAGAATTTCTTTTGGAAAAACATCGCGAAAATGTCGTGCAATTTGGAAAGAATCGAAGAGTTTATTTGATGGAATTGCTTGGAATTACAATAAGTTCGAAGAAAGTATTCTTTTATCATTCAATGATTCATATCCATTTGAAGGAAATCGACAATCTGTTGAATGTCATGAAAATCGCATTGTATTGTGAGTTTTTTCTTGACCACTGAAATATCAAAAATCATCATTTACAGCGGCGAAAAAGATACATACTTCAGTCAACGCAACAATTTTAAACGTGGGCTTGAATTTGCCAAATGGAAGTTTGTGAAAACACTCGAAAAATATCAGAATACTGTGAAAAGTATCACAATTGATGGAGAATGTTCAGCTAATTTGCGAAATATTACAAGTTTTCCTAGTTTGCGGTATTTGATTTTAAGAGACTGTCCAAATATTGTAAGAGAAGTTTTATCAAAATCTGTAAATGCGTTGGAATATCTGGAGATTGATGAATGGAATAACAATTATGCGGATTGTCCTGAAATTTATCGAGTTTCCGAATATTTATCGATTTTTTTTGAGTTAACTCGTGAACAATTTCATAGATTATCCGCAAAGAGAATCGAAATGGAAATAGGAGATTTGAAAGCAGAAGATATTTTTGAATTTATCAAGTCTTGGCAAAATGGAAGAAGAAATCTAGAGAGTTGTAAATGGGCTCTTGGTTATTTAGACGCTCCAAAATTTTTTGGATTTTTCAACACTCAAGTGATCAATCGTTAGTAAGTTATCAAGAATTTAGTTATATTTTGAAAAATTTATTTTCTTTTCTAGCAAGCGAATTACAATTCGAGGACCTGGAGAAACATTAGCACAAATCGTTTTTAGAAAGAAAACTATATTGATATTCGAAGTTTTAGATGACTTAGAGATTATTGATGCGGATGGTGCAGAAGGTTCTGATACAAATGTGGATTATCGAGAGTATTCTTACGACACTGAGGGTGAGTTTACAATGTTACCTTGGAAATCTAGAAATATATTGTTTTCAGATGATTTTGATGACTAATTTTTACTGCGCAATTGCAACGGGTTGCCCATTTCCAACAAATTAAATGATAATCAAATAAACTATTCAATTCTTTCCAAATTGCACGACATTTTCATGATATTTTTCCAAAACAACAACAACCAGCGCAAAAATTATTCAGAATCTGTCTCCCCTGAATCGGAATCACTAGATGAGTCGTAATCACTAGCTGGAAAAAAATATTTTGCCGGAGTTTCCATAGTGAACTCACAATCAGACGAATAGAGATAATCTCTATAATCCATATGCGAATCAGTTCTTCCTTCACCATCCGAATCAATAATCTCTGCATTTTCAATAACTCGAAATTCCAATGCTTTTCTCTTTCTAAATATTATTTCTGCTGTTGTTCCTGCGATTCCTCGAATTGTGATTCGTTTGCTAGAAGAAGAAAAACGAATTATTCAAAATGTTCCACATGATTTTTGATAACTCACTAACGATTGATTATTGGAATATTAAAAAATCCAAAAAATTTTCGAGCATTAAAAATATAAAAATACCATTCACAACTCTCTAGATTCCCCTTTGTTCCATTTTGCCAAGATTTGATAAATTCAAAAATATCTTCGGGTTCCAAATCTCTCATCGGCATTCGAATATTTTTCGCTGATAATTTTAAAAGTTGTTCACGAGTCAACCCAACATTTATCGATAAATATTCGGAAACTCGATAAATCTGAGGACAATTTGCAAAATTGACAGCCCTGTCGCAATATGGATAACCCTGTCGGTAAATCTTCAAATACTCCAACGAATCTTCGGATTTCAATAAAATTTCTTTCATAATATCAAAAGCATCATTGAACACCAAATATCGCAAATTGGGAAAACTTGTCACATTTTTCAACGTAGCTAAACATTCTCCATCAATTGTGATACTTTTCACAGTATTCTGATATTTTTCGAGGGTTTTCACAAACTTTTCTTCCGCCATTTCAAAACCGTTTTCACATTCTTTGCGTTGTCTGAAGTTTGTATCGTTTGAGCCGCTGCAAAATCCACAACCTTGGTTTTTGAATGCAAAAAAAACTCACAATTCTAAGTAATTTGGAAAATATTCAACGAATTGGCCATTTCCAACAAATGGATATGATTCATTAAATGATAGAACATGTTTTTTGTACGCTGAAATTGGAGGGAAAAATTAAAAATTGGCCCACAGTTGGCCGCTTCAATGTGATTTTTCATGTCAAAAAAATGTTGCAAACCTACCAAGAGTGTAAGAATATTTCCAAGCAATTCCATCGAATAAACTATTCGATTCTTTCCAAATTGCACGACATTTCCGCGAAGTTTTTCCATAAGAAATTCTAAAGAAAACATTGTATTCAAATAATTTTATAAAACAAAAACTTACTTATCCGCCGGTTCCATTTTATCAAAAATCATTAATTGTAGTTCATTTGGAATATTTAGAATATAACATGGTTTTTCATTTACGTTTTCCATTTTTTTTGCAAAAATAAAAAAAAAAAAAAAAAAAGAAAAGGAAAAATAAGAAGAAAGATAAGTTATCAGTTTGAAATAATTGACTGTTTCAAAATTTCATTTTAAAAATATTGACTTTTCGAATTTTCGATTTGTTTTAATATGGACTTCGATTTTCAGTTGAAAAGTTCTGTTTTGAAATTTTCTCTCTCAAGTTTTTCCAGGTTATCTTGATTATTTATGAATTTGAACATTTCAAATCTGAAATTCCCGAAAAATTCTGAAATTTTCAGATTCTCCAGATCAAGGGAAACATTTTGATATAAAATTTTTTCAGGATTCCAGAAATTTCTAGTTTAATCTGAAATTTCCGGACGAAAAACATCACAGGGACTTGAATATTCTCTAGTTGTCTGTGCACTCTTCAAAAGTACACTATCTTCCTGTGAAAGGGAAGCGTTGCGAGACCAATTTTGAATAAAAAACTATTCCTGGATAAAAATTCGGGCTGATTTCTACATTTCAAAACACAGATTTTCAGGAAATTTTCAGATTTTTGGAAATTTCAAATCACGGGGAACATCTTGATATAAAATTTGTCGAAATTTTATGATTTTCAGAAAATCTTGTTATTTTCATGACAGGGACAGCAATTTTCTCTAGTCGTCTATGCACTCCTCAAATTCCACACTCTCTCTATACTTTTTGATGGCAGGGTCAAGAGAGAGAGAGCATAGACAGTTAGAGAAAATGTTCGTCCCTGTCATGAAAAATAACTAGATTTTCTGAAAATCTGAAAATGTTGACAAATTTTATATCAAGACGTTCCCCGTGATTTGAAATTTCCAAAAATCTGAAAATTTTCTGAAAATCTGTGATTTGAAATGTACTTAGAACTAGTTTTTTATTCGAAAATGGGTCTCGCAACGCTTCCTTTTCACAGGAAGAGAGTGTACTTTTGAAGAGTGCACAGACAACTAGAGAATATCCAAGTCCCTGTGATGTTTTTCGTCCGGAAATTTCAGATTAAACTAGAGAACAGAATTTTTTTGGACTTTTTTATATCAAAATGTTTCCCTTGATCTGGAGATTCTGAAAATTTCAGAATTTTCGAGGAATTTTGGATTTGAAATGTTGAAAATCACGAATAAAAAAGACCCTAAACACATGTGGTTTCAATAAACGTTGACCTAACATTATAACAGATTGCGTTATTATTTTTCCATCCGAAAATCTTCAAAATCGCTTCTCGATAATCAACCAAAGCAAAAATAATGATAATTGGATCAAAAATTGGATAAATATTGATGATTGGCACAATTATTGAATTGATATAATAATTTGAATTCGAACTTGAATTTGAATTCGCAGATTCAAAAAATGGCGCCAGCCAAACGATCAAACAAGGTCCAAACGTGAAAATTGATGGAATTGCTGTTTGAGCAATTAGGGTGATTAACAAAATTCGATGGACCTTTTTGACATTTTCACTGAGGTTTAGGATTTTTAGAGCGAGGTAGATTTTGATGGCGAGAAATGTGTCGAGGGATAAAGAAGCTATGGAGACGATTGTGGCTAAGGCGATTCCGATTAGACCGTTTTTGGAGAATTCTGGGTTCTGGAAACATCTGGAATTTTGTTGCCACGGACGGCAGGACCCAGGAATTTGCGATTTTTTGAGACCAAATATGATTGTGGAACAAAAACTACAGTAATCCTAAGAGAAAATTGTGCCTAAAAATTCCGAAAATTCTGGTAGATCAAGATTTGATTTCTGTGAATTTGGGGTTACTGTAGCTGATGTTCTACAGTAATCCTAAGAGAGAATTGTGCCTAAAAGTTCCGAAAACTCTGGTAGATCAAGATTTGATTGCTGTGAATTTGGGGTTACTGTAGCTGATGTTCTACAGTAATCCGATGAGAAAACTGTGTTAGAAATTGATGGTAGATCAAATTTCTGTGATTGAAGAAACAGAGTAACTGTAGATCAAAATTTCGACCTCAAAAGCCTTAGGATTACTGTAGCTCCTCTTTTTTATGTAAAAATCTACAGTTGCCCTGCAAATAAATCCACGTGGCAGAGAGTTCCGAAAACTACTGGTAGATCAAAATTTCGACCTAGGATTACTGTAGCTCCAAATGTGTTATGTTAAAATCTACAGTAACCCTGAGAGAAAATTGTGCCAAAACCTTCTTGTAGATCAAATTTGTAAAAGCCACAGTAACCCAAATCATATTGGGTTTCAAAAAATCACAAATTTCTATCACCAAAAAATCCACGTGGCAAACAAAACCCACCCCATAATCCGCAACGATAAACGGCAAATCCACAGTACTCTCATTGTATTTGTCCAAAAAATCCTGATCCAATTTTTTTCTGATGGAAATATCCGGCCACATCCATTTTGCAATTATCAACAGCCACGTGGAACCGTAGGCAAAAACCAGAAAAATTGTGAGAAAAATGAATTTTGGTTTGAAAAATGAGTTTGTTAGGTGGATTTTGCAGATTGCGAAATATCGATAGAGAAAATGAATTGAGATGAGACCGAAGGTGTAGGCTGGAAATGTCTGATTAACATGAGCAATCGAATTGTCTGTTTAACATGAGCAATTGCTCATGTTAATTAATACCTATGATTGAGCATCTCAGCGAAACCAAAAACTGTGCCAAATCCCTAAATCTGTAGATCAAACTTTCGCCAACAAAAACAATAAAACTGAATTCGAAACTCTCTGTGGAAACTGGTGTAATCACTTCAAGACACGTGGCAAATATATTGAAACTCGAAAAAGTGACGAGAAGATATTTGTATTTTCCGATGGTTGGCGAGGATTTTGAGACGACTAGAAATGTGAAGAGAATATTGATTAGAATCGAGAAAATACAGAGGATTTTTGGAATGTAGACATGGGCCAAACTTATGAAAATCATTGGGTTTTGAGTGTTATTTTGAGGGAAAAATGTACTTTTTGATGAAAAAAAAAAAGAAATCATTAGAGATTTCATTTTTAATTGCTTTTTTCTAATTTTAGAATTCGTGGCAAAATTTACTGTAAACTTTTTTCTTAAAATCCAATTTCATATTCCCACTTTTTCAAATTTTCTTAGGAAAAATGGGTCTTGCAACGAATCGCTTTTCCAAAAAAAATAGTGTGCTTTTTGAAGAGTGCACAGACAACTAGAGAATTCGCAAGTCCCTGTCATTTTTCTGCCCATAGAAAATCCAAAAATTCTAGAAAATCCGAAAATTTTATCAATTTTTGACTCAGAATTTTTCCCGTGGCTTGGGGATTTCAAAAATCGCAATTTCATTTTTAAATTTTGATTTTGAAATGTTGAAAAATCTTCAGAAATGAAATGAGAGCAAAGACGGAGCAAGAGTGCATGCATTTTCAAGAGACGCCAGACAACGAGGAAAAACTGGGTGGTCAGTTAGATAGCCTCGAAAGAGAAGAAAGAGAGAGTATGGAAATAGGAGAGAGTGCAGACAGCTAGAGAAACTTGATGTGCCTGCCATTGTCTTAACTCGACTAATTTAAGATTTTGTAATTAGCGATGAAAATTTGAAGTGGGTTATGAAATGTAGATCAAAATTTTTCCCAGAAGATGGTGATTCTGAAATTTTCAGAATTTTTGGGAAATTTTGGATTTGAAATGTAGAAATTTACAAAAAAGCTTGTTATCAATCAAAAAAAAAACAAAAAAAAATAAAAAAAAACGTGACCTGTTTTAAATTCACGAAACGTTTCAAAATGTGTCATTTCTCACAATTTTCAAGGTAAGTCCGAAAATTTCAACGACACTCCGCTTGCCTGTTGTTTAGCGCATTAGAAAAATATTTTTTTTCAAATTTTTCTCGAAAAGTGATTTTCAAAAAATTCATTGAATCATAAATCAGATATGAAACGTTGTGATCTGAACTTTTGTACTACCAACACTTGAAAAAATCAAGCTTCTTGCAAAAAATCGATAATCTTTAACAGTTATAATCATAACAATGCAATTAATACTTGAATGACAGCTTATTAATAATTGATGAATCATTAAAAAATTTGGATTCGCAAATTCCAAATATGTATGAATAAGGAATGTAAAAATTGGAATGAAGAGAACAGAACATACTAAAGCCTTAACAAAACATATGTTTTTTAAGAAAAAAAAAAGAAAAATAGTGGAAACAACCTGTGCAAACAAACTATACATTGAATTTTGATGAAATTTTCGTTTAGAAATCGATAAATTCCCCATAATTTCTTTAAACGTTGTGAACATATGATAACTAAGAGTTAACGCAACAAAACCCGCGGTAAAAACACATAAAACTGTGAAAACCAGAAAAAGTGAGATGAATGGACTGCCGTGAAAACATCCAAAAGTTTCCAGATTTTCGAATTGCTCATAAACACTCGGAAATTTTAGTTGGATAAGTTGCAGGCATGTTTGCCGGGGAATATTTGATAGGTAGAACAAAAAGGAAATCGATTGAGAAAACTAGGAGTATAGCAAAATATGAGAAATGTCTGGCTGTTGGGTTCAGGATATATATTTCGTCATTGGCGAGGTTCATGAAAATTTGATGTTTTTCAATGAATTGCAAGCCTAGAACAAATGCTAGACAGAGAAGAGAGAAACCGAGGATTCGCTGCAAAAATTTTGGTAAGTTCACGGAATCATACCACGCCCAGGGTGAGCTTCGGAAATTCACCTCGCCAATTTGAGATTTTCTTGAAAAACAGCAAATTTTTGCTTGTTTTTCCGTAAAAAAGTCGTATTTTTCAGTCGGAAAGGTTGTTCGCCAAAAAATTTCAAAACCCACATCGCCAATTTTTAAAGTTAATTTGCACGAAGCTAGGCGTGGTATGCACGGAATTAAAAAGAATGTAAACAATAATAAAAACCATTAAAACGTTTTTTAAAACCGTAAACGTATACCCGTTATTCAAGCGCCTAGGAGGTTAGGACACTGAGTACGGGTGGTGTACGACAACTAGCCATTGAGAATTTAAGTATCCCTGTGCCGCAGGGGACCGATTTACCTTGCGTAGCGAACTATTACCCACTTACGACTGGGTGCATCGAGGAGGAGCGGGCACCGGGGATCGCAGCCGTTACCCTGAGATCGCCAGAACCACTGAGCTGTCTCACCCGCGGTACAAAACCAAAAACTTGATTTACGAACTGCATTTAAAATCACTTTCTTAACAAACATCGTAGCGAACCCCAATTGAATAAGTTGAAAGCATCTTAGTGTTCAGAAATGTCATCCCAAGCCCTTTCAATTAAGGTAAGGTAACTTAACTTACCTTACCTTAATTGAAAGGGCTTGGGATGACATTAATGAACACTAAGATGCTTTTAACATATTCAGTTGAGGTTCGCTACGATGTTTGTTAAGAAAATGAATAAAAATACCGTTCGTGAATCAATTTTTCTGATTTTTAACGTTAAAACCCAGAAAAATTGATTTACGAACTGCATTTAACATTATTTTTTTAACAAACATCGTAGCGAACCCCAACTGAATAAGTTGAAAGCATCTTAGTGTTCAGAAATGACATCCCAAGCCCCTTTAGGTAAGGTAAGTGCAGTCTTAAATAATTTAACACGCGGATAACGATGCCGCAAATTTAGCTTACCTTAATTGAGTAATTGAATTAAGGTAAGCTAAATTTGCGGCATCGTTATCCGGGTTACCTAAGACTGCTCTTACCTTACCTTAATTGAAAGGGCTTGGGATGACATTTCTGAACATTAAGATGATTTCAACTTATTCAGTTGAGGTTCGCAACAAGGTTTGTTAAAAAAATGAATAAGAATACCGTTCATGAATCAATTTTTCTGGTTAAAAACGTAAAAAACCCGTTTTTTAATGAATCCCCTCATTAAAATAATCACAAACCCCTGATTGATATGCTTCAATCCCAAAAAATCTCCAAAAATAACCCTCATCTGTTGTAAATGCCCAAATTGGAAATGTAAATACAATTTGACAACAAAGAGTGAATAAAATATCGAACATGATTGAGAAGACTTGGAAAAATAGTAGATAATACTTGTAGCTTCCAATTTTTGAACTTTTGAATATTATCAAATAGAGTCCGAAACTATTGATAATTAATGAGATGCTTGAAATAATGTGATATGAGATAAGAACCCAAAATGGGTTTTTGAAACTTATATTTTCGAGATTCATGTGGACTAATAGGGAATGTATGAATGAAAAGTATAAAGGAACGCATTTGCAGCTGCTTTTGAGTTTTCGGAACACGCTGTTTCGAGTATCAATGTATCGATAGAATATAGTCTTGTCTAGTCTAGTAAGTAAAGAACTTACAAGTCTGCTAGCTTGGGGATTTTCAGTGGAAAAAAGAGTTAAATGGCCTAGAAATTCAAATTCGGATGGCCTAGAAATCCAAAATTCATCATTTTTGGCCTGGATAACCAGATTTAGTACGAAAATTCGAAAGGAATCCTCGAAATTCAAAAATTTTCATATTTTTCCAAAAACCCACTCGAAAAACTCACCAAATTCTTCGAAATCGCCTCCAAAATCCCATTCCGAATTCCAAATCCACCAATCAATCGAATTTCCACCTGAAAACCCAGAAATTTCACTAAAATTTCAAATTTTCACTGAAAAACTCACATTTTCACAGGGATTTGCGGTGTTCAAAGCAGAAAAAAGTGAAAAAAACGTCCAAAGCTCGCGTTTTCTTCTTCATTTTTCAAAAAGGTCTCGCAACGAACAGAGAAATAGTGTGTGTAAACGAGAGAAACAGACAGTTTGACATTGAACGTTCAAATTTCAAAAGTCATCCAACGACACTCCGCTCGCCCGTTGTTTAGCGCAAACGCGCAACAAGAACATATTTTTATTGTTCGCGCCTTTTTGACTTTGCTGCGTCAAAATCGAACAGAAAACGGTGATTTTAAAGAAATTCATTGAATTTTCAGATCTTTCAATCTTCGAAATCATGAAACTTATCGGAAATTGTGTGATTTTGTGGTTGGATGATGCGATTTCTGGATTTCGATGAAAATTTGAGGAAAATTGCATTTTTTAGATGGATTGGTGAGTTTTTGGGCTACATTTAGGAAACAAATATCTGTAGAAATCATGACATTTACAAACTAAATGTCAAAAATTCATTAGTTCAAACAACAACTGGTAATTATGTTGTTATTTTATTCCTACTGCATAACATTTCATTATTTCGAGCTAAAAATCTCCTTAGATTAGTAAATTCGTTTCATCAAAATATTTCCTATAAAGAGATGATTGATAGATCTGATTATTTCTACAACTTATTCTATGTTATCATCTCTTACATTTTCTATTCATTTTGGATTCCATATACAATACTCTTTCTGAAAACACCACGGGAAGAGAGAAACACAATGATTTATCCGCTTCAAAAATATATTTTCATCCATTTACAACAACAATTTTTGAGATCTCTGTTTTGTTTCGGTGTTTTGGCTTCCCAACCACTAATTTCTGGAGATACTGTTTTTTAGTGAGTTGTTGATGAAAACCGAATTTTTGTCAATGATGGTGTTTCAGTTTTCTTTTTCTCGTAATTGTTTTTCCTGGTCAAATAAACGGCATGGGTTTTTATTTCTTGATCACTATTCAAAGAATCATAGTTATTTGGAACCTTCAAAGTTTAATCAAATATGTTCAAGGAAAATGGTTGTTTTTTGGTTTTTTGACAACTTATTTACTGATGTATTTTCAAAGATTGCAAAGTTCACAAGATTGCACTCACTTTTGTCCACTTTTAGCTTGGATTCATGAAAATACAACTTGTGTATATCGTCCGAAATTGTCAATTGATATGGTCCCAATAAAATATAACTTTTTGGTCAATTTAACATTATCCACCAGTTGTCTAATTCTTAATTCTCTTCTTTTATATACGATATCTGGAAACAAAGAAATAATGTCTGAAACGAAAAGAAAATTCGAAAGATCGATGATTTTACAAACTCTACCCGTTTTCATCACGCATTTTGTACAATATTCAGTTTTGTTTGTTTACTTGTATCTTCCTGAAGAGTTTTATTTCAAAACTTTGCTCAAAACTATAATATGTAATGATTTAACGAAAATCGAATATCATATTCCAGTTGCTTATACGTTTGCGAATTTGGGAAGATTCAGTAAAATAATTCGAAAAAATCACATTTTACCTTCAGCTTCTTCGACCGGAAGTTGATTTTTTTTTGATTCACAGACATTTGGAAGCCCATAATTATTTTTATTTTTTAACTTTATCTAGAATATTTTTCATCCTCACTTTCGTTTTGATAAATATGGAAATAAAAATTAATGATTTCAAATCTGGAAACTATAAAAGTATACTTGCAAACATCTCTATAAAATTTGATCTGAAATTAAAGAATAATTTTCAATATGTGGAAATGTATTCAAAAAAAAAATAAACTTCCAATTCTGATTTTTCTATTTTGTATTTTGAAGAAGTTTTTAAAGTGATTTCTAGGAAATTTAAAAATAGAGTTTCTGTAAAATAATTTTTTTTTCATAAATTTCATGATTTTTGCTTATCTTCTTGAAATTTTTGCTCAAAACTCCTATTGAAAAACAATTTTTCACACAAAAAATTCAAAATTGCATGCAACGATACTCCGCTTGCCCGTTGTTTAGCACAACATATTTTTTTTTCATTTTCTCGAGGTTTTCTTGATTTTTTTGGGCAAAAACGGGAATAAAAATGTGAATGTGCATAATTTCGAATTTTCAGCTTCGCCGCCATGTTTTCAATGTTCTTTTGGTGGAAAATTGATGGAATGCTGTGAAAATGTGAGTTTTTCAATGAAAATTTGAATTTTTAGAATTATTTCTGGTTTTTCAGGTGGAAAATGGGATTGGTTGGTGGATTTTGAAGGATTTGGTGAGTTTTTCGGGTGGGTTTTGGAAAATTTTTTGAATTTCGCGGATTTTCGTGCTAAATCTGGTTATCCAGGCTAAAAATGATGCTTTTTGGATTTCTAGGCCATTTCACTCGTTTTTCCCTATGAAAATCAGAAATTCACAATTTCCTATTCTTACATTTCCTGTTTTCCTCAAAAATCTATTGTTTTTCATTTTTTTCACAAAAAAATGAGAAATTCTATATATATTTTATATTTTTTGACCAGAAAAAAGTCAGCTTAATTTATAATTAGAGGGTGGAGATGACGTAACTTGTCTGTCTGTGTCATTTGACGAAAAATTGAGGGACAGCTGGCTGAGAATTGCGAATTTTTCGCGCACGCTCAGTTGAACACACGCTAATTTCTCTGCGTCTGTCAGATTTTGTGAATTTGGGCGGAGATTTGGCAGGTTAGAATTATGATGAGGCGAATTTTGGATTTTTCTCATTTTTAGAGAGCTTAAGGACTTCCTGTCATTTGTATACGTTAAGACTCGAAACCTTGACAAAAAATCCTGCCAAGGCGCCATCCCTTGAACTTCTTGTCAAGGCGACACTCCTAGAGACACCTATTCTATAGGCTCCGCGCCTTGACTCACTGTTCTTCTATAGGCGCCAAGGCTTGACACCCAGAACTTGCCTTCAAGGCTCCGATCCTTGTGAGGTTGTCACGTCTAAGCGCTGCACCTTGACTTTCACTTGTCCCCTAGGCTTCACTCCTTGACATCCAGAACTTCCCGTCAAGGCTCCGATCCTTATTAAATTGTATGCATTGTCTAGGAGCTGCTCCTTGACTCACACTTATCTTCTAGGCGTCACGCCTTTACCTCCAGAACTTGCCTTCAAGGCTCCGATCCTTGTGAGGTTGTTACGTCTAGGCGCTGATGCTTGACGTATATTTATTCTCTAGTATCTTCATTCCTTCTCACTCTGATTTGCCTCACAAGTCATGGCTCCTTGAAAATTCCAAGTTCTCAAGGCGCCACTCCTAGAAACCTTATACATATTTTCTCTAGACTCCACCACTTGACCTGTTTTCCTGAATATTCTTTCCCATTTTCTCTTGCGCATATAATAATGCAGCAAAATTCAATTAGCTGCTCTTTCATTCTTTCTCCTCACCCATTTTGTGTTCATAAATACGTTATTATTTGTTGTTATTGTTGTGTGGATAGGATGCGCGAGAAAATGGCTAATCTAATTATGAGCTGGAGAAGGAGATGGAGCTCACAGATTGACCTGAACATGTGTCATTTGGGAATTTATATGAATTAAATTAAATTCTGAATTTTGGGATTTTTAATGAAAATAAGTATCCAAAATACAAAAAATCTATGAAAATTTCCAATTAAAATTGTCCGAATCACGGAAAAACACTTGTATATTTTTTGTTACCACTTCAGCAGCTCATTTCATAATTAAATATTCATGCATCCTTGACATTTTTATTGTTTTCGTCTCGTTTTATTTGCTCCGTGTGCTCTTTTTTTCCAAATGGCTACATTTTACAAAACAACAAAACATATCCAATTACCTTTTTGTTTTATTTGTCCGATCTGGCAAGTTAGGCAATGTTGAGGCGGGTTAGTGCCACTAACTTAGTGGTGTTTGGTCTTGTGAAATTCTTGCCACGTGGATTTTTTCTAAAAAAAACTTTTATAAACAAACGGATTGCGTGTCTTTTTTCTTTTTGTGTTGAAAAAAATCGCATTTTTCTCTCCCGCAATGAAAAAAAACACGAAAATTGACGAAATTTATCGCATTTCAACACGCTCTTCCTTCTTCTTTTTTGCCTTGTGTTGCCTTTTTTCCCACTTTTTCTCGTAAAATGCAAATTTTTAACACAGGAAACATGTGTTTCCGTTTGGAGTGTTTTTTTTCACAAATTTTCTGGTTTTTCTAGTTTTTGTAAGGCCGCAATTGAGCATTCTTGACGTTTTTGGTCCCCAGAAAAAATTCACTGTTTCAAAAATTTCTAAGAATTTTCCGGGGAAATCCAGGAAGGTTCTATGCATTTTGTGGTAGAAATGTTCGAAAAGTTTTAGCGAAAGTTTGCCACGTGGCATATCCATCTACAGTACTCTGAATACTCTTAAAATTTCAGCAGAAAATCTTGCTGTAATTTATTTTTCGCGCGAAAATTCCAAATTTGTTCAAAAAAAATTCACTGTTTCAAAAATTACTGAAAATTTTCTGGGAATAATCAGGAAGATTCGTTTCTGCTGTTGTAGTTAAAACAATCTAAATTTAAAAAAATTTTGCCACGTGGAATTAATAAATTACAGTACTCTGAAACTTCGAAAATTTGTTTGTCCAGAAAAAAATTCACTGTTTCAAAAAATATTTATTTATAATTTATTTTTCGCGCGAAAAAATCCCGTGCCACGTGGATTTTGGGCATGAAAATTCCAAAATTTTCTGAAAAAAATTCACTGTTTCAAAAAATCTTCAATAATTTTTTGGGTTGAAATTTTAACAATGAAATCTTTTCATATGAATCCCATTAGAAATTTGCGGTTACTTTTTTCACAAGTTTTCCTACTGTATAATTTTTCGGCGCTAAGTAAAAATCTCGAATTTTTCGTCTGCGTCTCTTCGCTCTCTAGTTTTCCCAAATGACTATTTCGCAACTCTTCTTCGTTTTCTCCCCCATTTTTCTTCTTCCAAATCGAGCCCAAAAAGACAATGATGAGCCTTTGGGAAAAAAAGAGGGAAAAAGAAAATTAATTTTGCCTTC